TATGAAGATCGCTCGAGCCAAACAGACCTTTTTTTTGCTTGACAGTCCTCCCGACTACATACTGACTGAACTTTTGTATCATCTCCTCAACACAACCACAGAAGATCTCTGTCCGAATAAATATATTTCCTCTCTCGTTCCATCGTCAGCGGAAAGGTGGGGACATTGTCCCTCTGTCCCCACGGTCCCCATCGTCTTATAAACCCCTATCATCCTACAATATTCATGTCCCCCGATGTCCCACCCCTTCCGCGGCCACTGTAAATCCATCGTCATATGTAAAGTAAGAGAGCATCATTCTTTCTTCTTCTTTATATGAGAATATCTCTCCTATAAAGAATTGAATTCTCTCCTCTTTCATACCAAACCAAACCACATTTGACTCTGAGCAGAAGAAGGGAAGGAAAGGAACAACGAACTAAATGTCTACATCGTCTTCTTTTCAGTTTTTACAAGACCGATGCTTAACCAATGTCAGGCAGGATATGTATGGCCGGCGAAGAAGAGGAGTGATATGTACATATGACGACGTAAAAGAATAAGGTAACCGAGTATGGAATCATTTTTAAGGGAGGGGATTCCTCTTTTTTGTAGTCTCGTCTTGAAATTCCGAGATGTGCATGGTCTGCACAAATCTGTAAATCTCTCCGGTTAAACAAAACTAGGTGGGTTGTGGGTTCATGAAATTATTTCCATTTTACCACCACCACTAATTAATTATTGAGACAATATGGTCCACACGTTTTTTAGGGTGGGACAGAAATATGTACGTTGTGTGATGGGCATTACACGGAATCCTCCCCTTTTTTAAAACAACTCTAGTGACACATGAATGCGCCGTGATGTTTCCTGTTGCAAATAAATTTTAAAATTAGTCTGGCTAAATTTTAATTTACATAACGGTGCAGATTTTATTTTATGTAGTTTGCTCTAGATAAGGAAAAAAAGAGTCTACTACATAAGTTTATTTAAGAGGACGTTGCACTCACAAGTTTTGTGTGTTTTTTACCTATCTACTTTATTGTGTAAATAGTTATTAGTTATGTAAAATGTGGGATAAAAAAGTGTATGAAATTATTACATTTTTTTAGACTAAACTGACCAAGAGAGAATTTTATGAAGTCAAAAGATCAAATTGTTTAACTTACTGGTTCAGTTATTTAGCCTAAAAAATGGATGTGGTGCAGGCGAAGATTTCAAAAAAGAAGGAAAAATATTTAATAGAGAGATCTCTCACCTTAAAAAAATTGCATAATTTAAAAAAATCATGTACATACGACTTTTGTCTTTAGAGACATTACTGCCATTAATAATTTAATAATATGCACACATACCCATACGTAATATTGAATTGATTACGTGCCGTACAAGTGGTGGTGGTGGTGATATAATGAGTGAAATGAGAAAGCTTAATGAATCCAGCTGACTTTTGACAGGTATGATTGACAAGAGTCATTTGTTAACTTGTCTCTCTTTACATGCGTTTCAGTCCCAAGTTGAAAATTATGCGAGCTGTCTCAGACCTCTGGGGAATTTATAATTCAACACTTTTATGCGAATTGGCACCTCGAAATAATACAAAATTAGATGATACCAAAATTTCCAAACATCTCGATACATACATTGTCATCACTCTAATCTTGCATAATCCTTCTTCTTACGTAATAATCACACCACCACCAAAAATATCTATGAATGACAGGCGACAAAGTTTCTCCTGGAATAAAACCTGTGGGCGTAAACCAAATTTCGAAACCATTTCAACTCTGGTTAAACTGAAAACTCAATTTTAAACAAGTCTTTAACCAAAAACTTTTACATGCTCGGATTAAAAACCACACGTGCCCACCAAACCACCACCTTTTTCGAGAGGAATTCCATCTATTCAACAGTGCTTTTTGGGTAAATACAATTATCATCAAGATGATCGTTTTTATTATCCACACACTCTTCGTATTATGAGAAAGAGAGGAAGGATTGTCACCCACGATGGACATAATGGAGTATGAAATGAAACTGGCTGGTTGTAAATGGCAAAATTCCATAATAAAAACTGGAGAACCGGTTCCTCATATGTAAAATGAGAGATTATACATGATACGGATTCGTCGAATATCCGTACTACAAAAATAAGAAATATATTTTTCTCCAGGTTTTAAACATTACATAAAATTCCATCCCTAAATACCAACTACTCGCTAATTTAATTTATGCTTAAATGAAACATATCTAGATACCAATCTCTCTCCAATATTTGTCTCTCTTGTTTTATGCCAGCCAGACTAAAAAATGCCATACATACATTTTTATTCGATTGTATAACAAATGAAACGCAACCAACACAGCGTCTGGGACACCTTTCACTTTACAACATTAAATCAACTCAACTAAAGATTTAAGCGAATTATGATTATTAATATGGATCAATAATAAAGTAAGTGAATGGATTTCATATCTCTCTCTCTCTCTCTAATTTCATAACATTTTCAAGCAGTGCTGCTGCTGCTGAATTTAGTCACCTCTCATGATGCACCTTGCATGAATTTTTAGTCTCTTAGATCGACACGTATTTACAAGAAGTGCATGCATTTCTTTTCCCTCAACTTAAAGAGATACATACTAGATGATTATAATAAAAGCGGTGGTGGTGGTGGTGGTATGAAAATTGTTGAGTGTGGTGCCTTGGGCGATTTTAAAATCGTGCAATTCAGTTCACTAACCCAACAGAAATTCTTGGTACATCTCATCTCACTCACAATACACCTCACTCTAATTTCTTACTTATGTATGTACCACTACTACCACCAACAACAACGGTGGATAGATAGATAATGTGTGTAAGTAGAAGTGGTGGATGGATGGATGGATATATAATAAGAAGGACATGAAGGATTTTTATCTATAAAAGTAGCCATGCTTTTTCAAATTTGCAAGTACTTGTTGTCTACCCTGTTGCTAAAATGGGGTCTCTACACACAGACAGACAAAGACATGTTGGAGTAGTGAATAAGCCAAGCAAAACAGAAAAAAAAGAATCCTGTGCGGATGTAGATACTGTTTTTTTTTCTCGAAATTGGTTGACTTTTTGAAGGTTTGAAGGTTTTATTAAGAAATTATGATTCAATTTTTCTAAAAATATGTACCAAATCTGAAATGATCACAGACACTTGTTCAAACAGAAATCAGTATCGGATCATGATTTCCTACTAGACAAGAATGTACACCAGCATCATCACCATTGTTGGTCTAACAAAACACAGAATTAACCCTTTCAGTCATTGCACTACCAAAGAGTCTCTCTCATCATATCTTTATCTGCTTACTTACTACTACCCCGCAAAAATCCTCTTTTTGTCAATTCATACATACGTTGTAGGAGTGGTTGTGGTGTGGTTTATTGTGCAGATAGAGCACCCTCACCTCGTATGCACATATCCTATCCAAGCTTTATAAGACGGCTTTTATAGGGAAAAAAAATATATAAACGTCGACCAGCAAATTAGCAAATTGCACTCTGAAACCCTCACCCCTCGTATTTGGTACACATGTAAGTATTAGCTGCTAACCTGCATCATCTTCAAATCTTGTTTTACCCACATCCTTGTCCAGTCCAAACCACTTTCTCGTCAAAGATTATTACCAAGCAAGTAAGTAAGTAGGAGGGAGCTAAGCTAACCAGTGAGCAATATTTTTATTGTTGCAAAATCCAAGGAATGTATGTACTCAAACTTGCTGACATTCACACATTATGAAAAATACACTTGTTCATACCAGTAAAAAAAAGAGGAGTAGAGTTTTATAAGCTACTACCCGTGAGTGATCTCTGATGGGTCATTTAACTTTAATATTTTTATTATTAAATAAAATTCTTTCTTTCCTTTCGTATTACGAAATTTGCTAAATATTCAATGTACAAACTTTCTCAAAGACAACAATGATATTCTAGATTTGTACTTAAGTATATTAGCTAATTTGACCCACCTCCCTCTCCCTTCACATTGTGGTAAGAAACTAGATTTAGAAATCCTCCTTCCTTAAACTTATCATCATATACGAATTCCCTTCTCTCTCTAACAAACTCTCTACTTGTGCATGTAATAATCTGCAAAAGAATGAACGTGTTGAATGAAGCGACCTTATGAAAAATTATGATTATGACGAATCTCTTAACCATACGTTCATATCATCACTTTGGAATAAATCTCATATCCCTCTCGGCCAAAGATTTAGACGACTCAGGTTGCATTGCATTTCATCATCGACAACACAACTCTTTTCGAATTCCTTTCCAACCAATGGACGAATACGATTGTATTTTTTCGTCAGTGCGTCATGTCGTGACATCAAAACCATATTGTATCATATTATGCGCGATGATGATGTTTTGTATATCAGGCAGTTTTCTGTAGGTATTTAACCTCTCTCTCTCTGCACTGCATCTCATAAGGTGATCACAACTACCTAATGGAGGTTAAAACATTCTACAAAGTCTACATTCTATTAATTACTTGACACAGTTTTAAACCCTTCCAATGAACAATTGTGTGTGACCCCTTCTTCTTACGAAATGATGGAAATCAATCAATCAATAATTCGCTCCTCTCTGTAAACAATGCACAAAATCTATCTCTGTGTGGAAATAGATTAATAAATGAATCTGAATAAAAGGACATGTCAATTAAGTAAAACATTCTCTCGTAAACTCGCCTAATCATTTACAACAACACGATTACAACTTGTAAAAGTTTTACTCTTCCACTAATAAACTTTCATATTGCCAAATCCATAAGATTCAGGGGAGGAGGAGGACTACGACGACGAATAAAATGTGCAATACTACTAAAGTGAATGTAACAGGTTACAGTATTGATGCACCCACATGATTGATTTTTGAAAGTATCGACGATCGATTACGCCCAAAAGTTTGCATACATAAGAAAGAGCTTCTTTTTGTGTGGAAAATGCATGCCAAAATATTGCGAAAATGAGAATTGACTAACCTTTGTGATGTCATTTTATTCATAGGATTCATCCCGTTGACAGCAGTCCCCTGTTGCATCCTCGCTCTTCCGCGGGGCGCTAGTGGGGGCGCGACGCAGGCTGTGATTTTTATTTTTTATCGACCTCTTCCCACGATGATTTTCTGTAAAGGAAAAAAAAACATTTTTTTCTTACCGGCAAAATCTTGACCATACTTAATCATATTTACTTCAATTGGAGATTATCTACGCCTTATTATTATCATTTTTTACTGTGGTGGTGATGATGGCTACTTAATAATCAGCACAGTCAATAAATATATTACCTATATGTGCAATATGAAATGGATATTTAAACAAGCAAGGCACGTAGTTAGTTAATATTTAACACTCAAGTTAAAGTTGTAATAATCGTGTATACGTATTATTGAAAGAGGGATTTTATTACTAACCATACACAACAAAGATATTAAGTCAAGTTTTGCATAAAATCGGGCTAAGAATTATCACGGGGGACAAAGGTCACGAAAATATATAGGTTTTTAATAGATACATAATTATAAATGCAATGCATAAAGAGTTTGTCTATTTTTTATTAACTAGGCTGCACTCCACCTAAATCAGAGTTTATGTACATTTGCATATATTTGATACCGGTGTGATGCTGTGGTCACAAAATATGCAATTTCATAACTATAAAGGTTGGTTGGGGGTCATTTTTTCCTACTTTTTTAAACGTTCTGTTCTATCATATCCCTAAATACGTTTTTGATTTATGTTTTAGAGGTTAAAACTGGGTAGGAAGAATTAAATAAATATGTTAACGGCGTCATGCGAGACAATTTCGTATCGCATAAAACCTTAACTTATTCCGTGTCATAACCTAAACATTGTTAACAAAATCTACCTGTGTGGTTGTACGTACGTACGTAATTCACAATGACAATTACTGACTGACTATGCATGCCCTCCACAATTTTAGGATGATGAATTCTGCACATAAATCGTTAAGTCGAGTAAAGTAATGGTGCAACATTTTGCCACCTCAATCTCTCTACTCGATGGATATAAACCTTCAAACTTTATCCTCCGGAAATGGTCGAGGTTCTCGTTGTGTAAATTATTTTACTTGAATGAATGACAGTCAACGTGCATAATATGTGCAATCCCATCTCATGGACATATTTGCGATACATTTCATTTGGCACAGAATTGCAATCTGTGTGTGCGGATGGCTGCTTAAAAACATATTTGCAAATTCATCATGTCACACAATATTTGCAATGCAGATGAAGTCTTTCATTAAGAGATTTGCACTCCACTACTTGTTGCTCCAGAAATAAGAAGCTTTTCATCCAGTAAAGAAAGAAATCCAAGTAAATCATGACCTTGTCATCGAGTAATCATCAACATGAAAAACATGTAAAATAATCATTTCACAAGTCCAAAACAAGTAGAAACACAGACTGTCTCTGCACAAAAAACATGAATGGAAATATACACGTATATCACCAAACATTGTGGTGATGATTCCATACTCAACTGTGGCATCCAGGCAAGTATACAGATCGACTACATGGAATCAAGCGAAATGGGTTACGAAATAAATATATCAACAATTAAGTTAAACGAGTAAGAGAGGTATATAATTTTTGTCATAATATTTCAGCCACCAACCAATCAACCATACTTTGATATATTTTGTTTGAAATTCATGCATGCATGTTATTTTGACCTTCAACTTTATTTTATGTATGGATTTTATATACTCTCAGTTTGTACATAATTTTACCTTTCGTTCGTTCCTATTTAACACAACATCAACATCAACACATTTGCCACCAAATCTTAGATATTCCCTAGGCGGAAAATTAAAGTATGTAGACCTACTTTTTTATGCGATTAAATAATAAATTGTCTGGGAATTCTTCTTGTGGGCATGTGTGATTAATAAAAATGCCGTCACATTAGTAACTACGTACGTATGTGTAGATATGGATGAATATGAGTTTGCTAAAACGTTCTAATCGATATCTTCTTAAAATCGGGTGGAAAATGGGTTTCAAAATAGTCACCAACCACTAAATAAAACATGGTGAAAAACAACATTTTAATCAATACACACGTGGAAATTCGTGACTTGTGTCCTTGGCTAGTTTCTTGAAACTGTTTTTCCTTTCTCCCACACAAATAAGATCACAAACAGCGAGCGTCTTGGGGAGTAACCTTTCTCCAACTTCAAAGGACACCTACTTATGTCAACAATTTCCTCGGAATTATAATCTCCGTTGTAAATAACAGGAAGATTAATTCCCCTTTGAAGAAAGTAATAATTTGAAGAAAAAAATATATTTTTTACATAAAAGTTGTTTACCCCAAAAGAAATAAGAAGATATCTACGTCACGCTTTTATCGAAAAAAATATTATCCCCAAAAAATTAATCTACTCTGTTAACTCATCCCTAATTAATTAATATTTGAGTTCCATTTCCATCACTTTCCCATAAACTTTCTCCACTCGAACGTGGCGATAAATAGTTATGAAAACGATAAGCACAAGTGCTCCTGCTGATATTGCAGACCACCAAGAAAACCATCGAAATTTTGCAAAGTGAGTGCAAATGCAAATATAATTTGAGAATTTATGGATCGATGGTCTGAAATAATAATGAGATACCTGTCACACTCGGAGAGTTCTCTTACTAGGCTTTCTCTCCGGTGGACTGGACTCATTACACATTTGGACATTTTGTGATATGTTCTTTTCTTGGCTGGCTGGCAGCACTTAGGAGAGGAGTTTTCGGCCAAAAAGGAATCAATAGTTTGATCGAACCTCAAATTCCTTCTGAGACAAATACAAGAGTAAATATTGTTCAGAATTATCCACCAATAAACACACGGACGTCAGAATAAGTAGTTTACTTTGGTAAAGTGTGATGGAATTTTGTGTGCCAATAAAAATGGTCAAGTTTTCTTAATGCGTTCTATTTTTGCAAATGTTTTGTTTAATTATTTTGTTGATAAAAATTGGCTAAAGTACGATTTGGGTAGGATTTAAATCTAATTTCACAAATCCAACCTTGCATTAGCTTAGCTGACATTTTGTCCCGTTTGTCCTGTCAGTCTGTTTTGTAGGCGTGATACGCTTTCCCTGTGGAAAATTATCAAATAGAAGCTGCCATATACACTTTCCATTTCCGACCCACTCAGCCACACAAAAACAATGGACAAATAAAGGAGGTCACATCACGATCATTCACAAAGTTGGATAGAGTAGGTTAAAGACCAAGTGGAAATCGAGGAGTAAATGCAATTTGCGAAAATAAAATGAAATTTGTATGAAAATATTTGCTTAATTTATGATATATTTTTTGCATGGTAAAATATATGCCACTTGTCCAGCAGTAAGTGCTTAACGAGGGGATTTGTAGCGTTAAATTGGCCGTCTTAATTTCAGGTTTATTGATTAATTGCGACTACATGGCACCATCGCCACAAGGATAAAGTGGAGTGAAATAGAACCTGCCCTGCTGATCAATCTGACAAAAAATACAACAAAATGGGTTCAGAAATTCACCTAATTAAAGTTAATGAGATATTCACTTCCTCAATTTATGCGCGTCTTCTCTCTCACTCATTCACCTGTACTCGTGCATGTAAAAGTTATAAAAATAAAAATTAATTGCTATCCAGTCGGCTTAAAAATTGTCATAAAATCTAATTGAGCCATTTAGTTGGGAAATTTTCGAAACCATTTTTTGGGAATATCCATTTTTTTCTACGTAGGTCAATTAAATAACACATTTTATAATGGGAGATGAAAAATTATTATGGGAACTTTCCACACAAATTGGAATTATTTAAGTAGCAAATTTTCTGCCACCAAAATACTCTAACTAGTTACATAGATTTACATAGTTTTTAACCAAAAAATAAATGCGCATACAGAGCTTTAAGTAAGTGATCCACCATCCTTGTTTATCTAGTCACCTTTGAGAGCATCCCTAATTAAAGAGTCAATCGCAGTTGTAAAATTCTGCGCACGTAATCTAGGCCAGTGTACATATATTCATTGTAAAAGTAAGTACTGCTCGTGGTGGTGGTGGCGATTCGCTCGGGTGGTTTTAGTCAATAATCATTAATGTTCACCTGCTGCATAAGTAAGCACTGCTGGATTTTGTAATTCATTCTCTCCTCGACAAATTGTTACACGTTCATTTCATTTCATTTTCACAAACTTTATGACAAGTTTTTGAACAGATTGTGATCATGAAAAAAATTCATTGTGTGTAATATAACACAAAAATGGGACCACTACATACACTCTAAAATTTTGCATACTTATGGATTTATCGTCAGGATGGAATGCATGCACGCTGACCTGAATCCAACATTCTTTTATAAATTCCAATACGAAATGCAACATTCATGTTAATTTCAAACTTCTTTTTTTAATTGATTCAAGTGCACGATTTGCATATGTCACATGTAAGAGAGAGATATGGCATTATGGTGAAACAGTGTCGTAAATATTGGCGAATGTGTATGCATTCCATTCCTCGCTGTACAGAGATTGCGAATTAATTTTCGCCAATGATGATGATATTTGTACTGTGTAAGTAACCACTTAAAGTGTACGTGTATAATGATGGATGGGTTGTGTTGCAGGGAATAAATAAAAATATAAAGTGAGGTAGCATCTCTAATTCATCATTATGTCGCTGTACATATCTTTATCCCTGCAGAGGTGCCGGCGGTGAGGTGTTAATTAGTTTACCAACAAGGAAAATGTACACATTTTAATTAATCAAACATCTCTTATTAAGTGAAGAATCGAATTAATTGTCCAGAGATCTTCCATTAAAATTAAGGGCGAAAAATTTAATACCATTTTTGCCGGATATTTTTTATTACTAAGAAAATTTTTCTCATCCCAAAAATTTAACCCTTTTCATCAAAAGTGTAAAACTGCTTTTAAAACCATCATTTAACCCGACGGGGCATCTCCTAACTAACCAAATAACTCTTTCAACAGACAAAATACATGTTGTTTAAGCATAATAATAATGACGACCGAAATCTGTAACAATGCGAACGCAGCAGCATAAGTGCAGTTCAGTTGTTTTTATTTTATTTTATTTTATCTCGCTTTTTATTTAACCTGCCTGAAAGTGTGGACAAGTGTAGGAAATTCTGAATCCGTGTGAACTTTCCTGACGATGGGAACTCCAGAATTCATTTCATTTCTCACGTGGCTCTGGCTTCTTCTTCCAATCCAATGAAGAAGGATTTCAGTGAAATTTATGTAACGGATAAGTTTTAACATTTAACATTTGTATGTCTGCTGCCTAATTTCGTGTGTGGACCAACGTATGCTCCACGTGTATGAGGAAAACGACGATCACGGTGATGATGATGATGATATGACATTGCGTGCATTTTATTCATGGTCACGGACAATTATCGTAGACGGAGAAGAGTGATGCGACGTAAGAGAGAGAGAGTTAATAGTTGTCTGGTCTAGGAATTTTCAAGTGAATGGAATTTCTCATATTTTTAGAATGGATGGACACCAATTTAGTAGTACTGAAATTTTGGGTCGATTCATTGGTTAATTACAAATTGCTTGTTTCTTTCTCAATAATAATGCTGGAGTATTGATTCGATACTTTTGGGGACGGACACGCAGCTATCTATTTAGGTTGACCCCAAGGTGGGCTCTGTGGGAAAGGACGCATAAATAGGTTATCTGGGACAAAAAGGTGAGTTTGAGAGGATGAATTGGTTATTCTAGTACAAAATTAATTGGGAAAGTATTGAATTTATTTGGCTGGATTGGATAGCTATTTCGTGATTTGGGGAAAACAATTTGAGATTTCCAGACAAACACGTAAACAAACGAGGATAACGACTACTTTCCAGTAGTCGTGAGGGTCATCCAACAATAAAGGAAATAAAAAAAATGTGCTGTATCCAACCATCGATAAGAATCCCGGATAAGCCAGCTTATCATACAAACCTAAAAAGCTTTCTTTTTAAACAGTCTACCCATACTTTTTCCCATATCCGACCTTCCCTCAATCTCACCACCACGAACGAGAACCACGACTAAATATTACCTCCTCGCATGAATAATAAATGCACATACGACGCATGTAATGTTTTCCTGCCCTCTCTTTTCCATCCATATCGGCGACTACACGGTAGTAATTTCTTTCACCTCTCCCAAGGTGATATTGGTTTGTGTTCTATTCCCATTGTGCGGCGGCATGGAGGAAATGTATAAAAGTCGATAATCATATATACCCCACCACTCAATTCAGAGCAGTCGTCGTCGTCGTGGCGGTGGTGGAAATATGCACAGTGTGAAATTGAACAATTTCTTCATATTATTATTTCTATTTGGAAATGCCAACTGTAAAAATAGCAGACACCGCCATGCTTTCACCTTCACCTCATTCGCCACGTGTGTAGCCACCGCCACCGCCGCCATGCAAAAAAATAATGCTTACCTGTGATTATGATTAGTATAATCGAAATCAAACTGGTTGTTGTAGTTCATCATCTTCCATCAACCTTTTTTAACTAAAAGGTGGGCCAAATAGTTAGCGTGGCGTCATCTTTTTCGGGGAGAAAGTTCTGCAAAAATATGGAATAAAATTTGTAAAATTGGGAGAAAGTCGTGTGATTTTTCTATAGATTTTTCTATATCTAGATGTCAGAGCTATATACTTTCCCCTCAAGTCAATCGTCGCATGTATCGATTAGCTCTAACAAACTGTTGCCAACTGTTTTCCCCTCTTTCTCATTTCGTTTCATTTGTTATTAGGTTTTCAATTCGACGATACGACACAAAGTGGATGGAGTCTCCCTCGTTATGCGCATAATAAAGGAGAAAAGATTCACAAACTTGTTATGAATTAAATTATTTACTTATTCAATCCTAATAATCTGAAAACAAATTGAGTCAAATAATCCAATCAACTAGTTTGTGTATCTATGTATGTAGTAAATAAATATGTAAGAAGAAGTTGTTTGTTTACATGAAATCCATAATATAAATCCGTAATGTTATTTGATCTTTGTTGTCTTTTCGCTTCAGTAATTCTCTGTCCCATATTCTGTTAACGAGGAGGGACGGAAGTTTGTTTACTTTTAAGAATGACACGTAATAAGCTACGATGCCGGTATTGGTTTTAGTTTGTTTGTCGGAAATTGGTGTGTTTAAGGATTAATTATGATTTAGGTTAGCGTTTTTTGGAGGATTTTTTGTAGGAAAGCGGTGCCAATTAATATTAAATGATAATTAAAATGAAGACCTAAAATTATTAAAATTATGATCCCCCCTGCTTCATGACCACATTATTTTACGTAATAATATACTTAAATTTAAGTAGAATTCAGAGATTTAAAGAATACCGATTAATTATGAAAAGCGAGAATTTAATTGAGTTACATGAATTTTTTATTGCTCAAGTTTTTCGAAAAATTATACAAAAAGCTTGTAATAATGATATTTTGGTGTGAACTTTATCAGACCTCGCAATCTTGTAGAAAAGGTGAACGATTTGCAATCAGCCGACCGGAATCCAACCCTCATCGCTACTATAATCCTACCACTTTTTCGCAATTCTAGATTTTTTAGCACTCTTTTTGACATGTATTTACTTTGCTAAATAAAATACGATAAAACAGAGGAAACCATGACCTATCCTCTTATAGGAGGAAGCTTTTAGTCAATTAACTCTTTTACGACCCATGTTGCTCAATTAAAAACTAACAAGATTGATAACTACTTGATACCCGAGTGATAACCGCGTAAGCAATTAGTAAATACTAACGTCTTGAACCTTGCCATTTAATCGACGTGATAAATAAATACCTAATAAATTTCATAGCATGGAAATTTCTAGATTCCTGTGCAGTCAACTACATAAACTTTTTCCATAAACTACACAATTTCATCCAATTTAGCAAAATAAATACAGAAAAAATGCATAAATCGGTGTGTATATTTTTTCTACCGTATCGAACAACCACACATTTTATGACCATTGTTCACTAACCTTTTCTCAATAATTAGTCAATCATTTTTCTCTCACTTTTCTCTTATTCCCAAACAAAAATAATTATTAATAATCCACTCAATTGTTCAGCACCACTGCTTTTTTTCTGTAAAAAAACAGCAGACTTTGCTTAATGAATATGGAACGGCAATAATGAATAATGCATTTTTAGCCCGAGCCAGGGCTTATGTACCCGTTATGTCTGTCTGTCCGTCCGTCCGTCTGTCTTCGCGATAAGTCTTTTTAAACTCAACCGATCGACTTGAAATTTTTACCATATCTATATCTACCCAAAAGACAAATCAAGTTCGAAGATGAGCCGAATCGGTCCAGTGGTTGACCGGTGGGGGTCATGTAGGTGGTGGGGTTATTATGCATCAAATTTTCAAAATTGTCGTAGAAAGCTGAAATTTGGTACATAGGTAACTAATGGCTTATAATGAAAATCTATGAAGTGAATTTACGAAAATTTTTATCTGGAGGGACCCTATGGGGTCACCCAAACTGATTTTTCAAACTCGTTCAATTAAGCCGAAATTTGGTATGGAAGTCGATAACAGCTTATAATGAGAGTTTATGATACAATTTTGGCAATTTTGACCCAGAGGTACCCGGTGGGGTGACCCATACTGATTTTGCAAAATCACTCAATTAAGCTGAATTTTGGCATAAAGATTGGTAATGACTTCTAATGAAAGAATACGAAGTTAAATTTAACAAATTCAAGTTGCACCCACCCTGGCTCGGGCTAAGCAAAGCTGCACTGTAGGTTTTGTATCATATTTTCTGTGGGATATTGATCTCTTTTTTTCTACGTATCTATCATTTTAGCCAGTATAACTAAAAGCCGAATAACCAATGGTGGTCACTCACTCAGTCAAAATGATAATAAAAAATAGCGAAATACGGCCGTGAACAGGGATGATAAGGATGTAATGCATACATGTAAAAAATAAACCGTTGCACACAAAAAATGTAGTAGTGCGAAGGTAACGAACTTTGTACACAAACTGTCACTCGTCGAGTAGTTGGCTACACTTTTGCGATATCTATTTGTCTTCTTCCGTTTGCAGTACATACACAGAAAATGAGTGAGATTATTCTGTGGCGGTGTATGTACCGACGACGACGACGACGACTTATTATATATATTTTTTTTATCTTGAGGAAATGAGATGCTGATAAAATGTGGATGATGAGATGCAAGAGAGTCGTAGTCGTCGAGGTAGTGGTTTTAGATCTCGGAAGGATAACATCAAGTGCAACGAGAGGATTTTGAATGGAAATTGTTCCGTTATTAGACGGGTTTAAGTTTGTAGTAAAATGGGAAATTTTTCTATTAAGGAAAATCATGATTTTCTTAAATTAATTAAATAGAAAATATATATTTCTGGAGTGGGATTTCTTATTTCTAACCACTTTTTTTTCTTCCCTACAATTAGATTAACTAGCATCCTTTTTCTGTCGTCAACTTGTTAGATTCTCCCATCCCACCCTCGGGGGTTAAATTAGAAAAGAAAACTGGTAAATAAATTTCTTGATTTGACAGATGGTTCCGGTCTTAGAGTTTTTTTATTTCTTTCATAATTTCTACATCCTCCTCAATATACGTTCTTAAATATTATTCCATCCAAATTCATCCACTGACTGACCCTGACTTGCCCTGACCTGAGAGAGAGAGACCTATCTTCACAGCTTCTGCACTACGCTCTCAATCCTCGACACACAAAAAATGCGACAAACGCGCACAGTTATCAGAATCTGGTCTACTTTGTCATTCATTAAAGTAGGTGTAAATTTGTACAGAGAGACACGAGCGGAAGTCCTTCATATTTGTTTTGAGAGGGTATGGCGTTCGAGAGGGTCACTATTCCTTTACACAAAGAAGAAGGTTACTTACTCAATAATATCTCTCTCACTTTTAACGCTTATAATATGAACTTATTATGCTAATGTGGCTCTCTTTAACGTGGTGGAGGTGGTGGTGGTTGCTACGTATGAGATGGAAGTCCAACTAGACCGGATGACCTTTACTACCAAAATATGCCACGCTATCACCAAAGATTTTGTCATGTTACCAAATTGTAGCAGTGGTTTTGACATGGTAACAACCACCACCGCCACGACCATTCCATAGTGTGCAATGTGCAACGACCTTCTCTCCCTGTGTGAGAAAAGTAATCTGTAAGCGAAATCTCCGGTTTTTGATCCAACCAAGTTGAACCTGCTCGAAAAAAGAATAAACTGGTTTCTGTATCACGCACCCCAAAAAGACCACTTAAAACCACATAAATTGCAATTCTACACCCGAGCCGAGATATCCGATCGCACTCACTCAACAGCGAAAATCTCCCTCGTTAACAAATGGCCAGGAGTGGATGGAATGAATGGTTTTCGTAGTTTTGAAGGGAAATTTTGAAAATTTGAGGAAGTTTAGCGTCGTTTAAATAAATATGATCGATTTATATCTATATTTTTGTGTAAAATTAAAAGATTTGTGTGTAATCCTTGCAGAAATTTTTCCACAAAATATTTAATTTTGGAAATTTTGGAAATTGGACGAATGATCGATTTGACGAATTTTTTTTTTGTAAAATAATTTTCCAAAAAGCAAGATTTTTCCACTGTTTTCATGTAAAGGACAGAAAATATTTGAGGGTCTCTCTCTCCTCTCGGTGACCTCCTGCCTCTTGTTATTTGTCCGTTTTTGTTGTCGTGCATTTGCCTTCAGATTATTATTACAATTTGAGGCTTAGAGACCTTTCCGAGACCCAAAAGTTGACAAATTCTCAAGTGGTCAAACAATCATTGCTGTGATTTGGTGACAGCCGACGACGCCTTTTTTCGCAGTGTGCATGGGGAATATTATTTGGTTGTTGGTAATTTTTTGCATCAGGTGGGGTTTTGGGCAGGTTTGGGAGAAATTACATTTCATTAAAAATTAGGATAATTTGAAAGATTTCAAAAATAAAAACATTTCCCGAGGTTGACAAAACTTTTACAACTCGACGACATTTCCTAAAATTTTATTACTTTACACTTTGAGACGTGACAAAACGGAGGATATTCTTGAAACATTTTTACAATCCATCCATCAGAATTGACATCGTGGGAGGCTCGCTCAGTCAACACCAACGCCAAACATTTTCACAGATTTTTAGTTACATTTTCTTTAAAATTTCTGAATGGGGATTTTCTACTTCTTCTAAATCAAATGAAACTTATTTCATAATTTCCTCAGAAATATATATCCTTCCAGAAATTTCCTATAACTAAAATCCACCATTTAAACGATATATTACTCCATAATACTGGTAGCAAAACATAAGTACCCACCACACCACCACCAAACTCACTCAGCTCACATAAAGGAAAGCCCAGCAGCCATTTAATAACCCATCTTTCAATCCCTTTTTCACTTCTACAAGGCTCAAGTTTAACTCTGACTACACAACGAACGAATAACAAACATGTTATCAGAGAGTGAGAGGATAAGTGGTCCTCCGTCCTTATACACCATCCACACCACACCATCGCATCCCTTAAAAGAGGTCCCTTCTTCTTCTCAGATTATTTTTTCTCCACTTCTCATTTCTTCTTCTCCTCTGCTGCCTTTCAAAAAGGGGACGACAACGACTTAACTCTGCTTTTGCTGGAGCATTTACACGGAAAAAATGGGACCCTACGAACGATGATGATGACGATGATGAGATTGAAGTGAGTGAGAGAAGGTCTCCATTTCCTACCGTTTTGTGTTAAAAAATGGGAATGGAATTTTCTTTATGATTTAGGAGCCCTTCAGGGGAAAAAAATACGGTTAAAAAAGGTATTTGAAAAATGGTGGTGGGTAGAGATTTTGGGAAAGGGAAATGAAAAGTTATACGCGAGTTTTTGGTTGTGTTTTTATTTTATTTTATTTTAAATTGCACCCAAGTCTCATAGAAATCTTTTTAAAAATTTAAAAATTTTAAAAATTAGTATAGACGTTGCAGAATTACATTCTTTTTAATTTTGAGAAATGAAACTTAAGTTTTCGTTGTATAATTTTTTTAATTTATAAATATTTGCACCTTGTTAAATTGCATCTGGGTACGTTTGTTAATGGAAATCTATTTAAAAATTTGAAATTTTAGTTTTAAATTAATTTTAAAAATCGATCTCGACGTTGCAGAATTGCAATTTTTCTAACTTTTTAAGAGAAATTATATTAAGACACAACTTTTCATTATATAATTTTATTTTATTTATAATTTTGCACCTGATTAAAACCTATTAAAAAATCAATCTCTTGTTGTATAATCCCAATATTTTTTCCCCACTCTCCACCAAATTAATCCATCCCCAGAATTTATAGTTTTTCTGATCGCCCTCAGCCGAACATGACATCGACGCCTTGTAATTAACCGAGAGCCTAATAATTTATCCCCCCAACTAATTACAGGTAGTAAACATACTAGATTTTTTAAAGAAAAAAAAGTGGAACATGATAATGAGACGCAGACTATTTAATAAAGGTTACAAGATTTCCATCTAATTATGGATCTAAATTTTTGCACACACAAGGATTTGTTGTAGAGCAGATTGGATTAGTGTTTGTAGCTCGTGTAAATTTGCTTGTTGTATTTGCGCACCTGTCACTCAACCCTCGAGACTCTCTCTTGGAATGAAGTGGTGGATGGATGTAAATAATGCTAAAAATCGAAGGTCATGCTAATAAATTCATCCACGTGATTTGGCAGTGATGATATGTCACTCTAGCTCAGCAGCAACAGCAGCAGCAGAGTTCTTAAGGTTGTGATAAAAATGTGTGAATATACAAGTCAGAGACGGCCTGGAGCACGGTATGGATGATTTTTTGGAGATGACGAAAACGAGCCTTATTTGTCTGTAATTATGCGATTTTTTAATGTTGGTAGATTTTAGTGGGGAATTTTATATGATTTTTTAAATTTTTTTAGGACATTTTGAGTTTAACCAGGAACAGTTAAACTTTTTAAATGATTAAATGTTAATCATTTTACACAACAAATACTGAATTAATTCACATCTGCCATATTTTTGTATTAATTCATAATTTAATCTAAAATTCCTAAAAATAAATTTTCATAATGAAACGAATATACGCTCACTCGTTCACATCCGGCAAATAAGAGACCGGTTTTTTTTTAAGTTTAACTCGATCCACCACGTGCTTTTTTTATTATCCGACGTTGTGCATACGACGAAGAAGGGTTCTCTCTCAGAGAGGAAACTATTGAATGGGACATCCGTTTTACACTTCCCCCTCCGATTCCTTCCCTGTTATGCCCGCCTTGTAGTTTGGAATAGTAAATCCATCGGGTGTATGTATGGATTTTATGCAGGGTTTTCTATTTAAGGGGGAGATTCAGTGGGAAATATGGTGATGATGATGGAGGAGGAGGAGGGTGTGGAATGGATTTTATGGGTGAAAGTGTGTGTGTGCAGAGAGAAAGTGGTGTGAACAGGGTTTTATAAACTGGAATGGAAACTAATAAATCGGAAGTGGTTAAAGTGTGGTTTGATTAAAGGTAACTTGCGCCAATGTTACAATTTAACTATGGCGCAAGTTATTATCAATGAATGAAGTGTATAAGAGATGGCTTAATCACACATCACATTCCATTTAAGAATTTCTAAATATTTTTTTTACGTTTAGCAAAAAAAAGAGGATGCACAATTTCAATGCACATCGTGAGCTCTACGCTTTGAACAGGCTGAAACTGAAATAGAATTTTTGGCACTGTTTCCCCCTCTACGTGTTTCGGGTGTGTCGGTCGATCGGTGTGTGTGCGGTACCGGTGTGGTGGGTAACGAAATTACGGTGTTTTTTTATCGCTTTAAATTAACTGGTTGATATTTAAAAGTGTGGCTTTGTTTTAATTGTCTTTGTGATTAAGGAATTTGTGTGGATTAATTTTAGATTGAGTTGCATTTTAGAGAAGCGAGATTGTGGTGCATCCATGATTTAAGCTCATGCTTTTTTTATTGGGATCGGCATTCACATTCACAACAAAGATTGTGCATTTATCACGTGGATGGTTTTCATGCGGAATTTGTGCAATACGGCGAGTATTTTTAGTGAAAGGTGCATGCCCTCGTTGATTGGCGATTTGTTGTGGTATTTATTTGTACTTGTTCATATTTTGGAAATAATTAGTTAATAATTCTATGAAAATTTCCACTCAAAATTTCCTTAAAGAAAACCATTACTTCTCTTCTTACAAATTCTCTCGTAATAAATCTAAATTTCTGCACGTGCTTTGTACTGGCCTTGAAAACCTATATTTTAACCGAGATTCCACTCCATCCAAATTCCCTACCTGGATTTAAAGGTCACTTCTTATAACGACCAATTTTAAATAACTTCATTACGTATTCAAATTACATCTAAACTAATTAACAACCGAACAATTAATAATTCCATAAAAAAGTCCCACCCCACCACGAATAAAAATCCATAATCTTAACTCCATTTAAAAGAATCATCCATTTATTTCTCTCCCATTACAAGATCCCCACAAAGTTTAAAAATACATGCAAATTCTTCACAGTTATAAAGACACGCACACACTTGTTGTATCCATATAAAAATGCACTCTTTTTGCCCACCACCACGACGACCACGAAAGAACATTGTCAGCATCGCCGTGAGTGAGATACCGTTGCTGCGTCTCTCTCAAATGCAATTGTGTGATTTATGAAAATGCACCAAGAGGATGCAAATATACCGTTCAAATATCTTTTCTTCTCCTTCTCATTTAATTTTAGCTACCTGTTCAACGGACTCTTCTATTCTAAACTAATAAGCATTTCGTTTGTACCCTCTGATTTATTAGCCCCTCGTAAATAAGAATGTGTCACTTTATCACACACGGGGAAACCTGTAACCATGGCGACCATGTCGAACCCTTTATACTCTCGAACCCCACACGTTTTTGCGTCCCCTTCATTCACCGGGTGGGAAAATGATTGGAGCATTTTTGGAGAGAGAGAGAGACTTTGGCGAGGGGTGGATTTGGTATGGGTCAATTTTTGGGATGCGTTTTTCTAATGTATAAATTCGTTATACTGTGGGTAAAGCTCCGCCACGTGACCTTTCCCCTTGGGGAGTTGGGGGGAAGGTTTGTGTGAAATTTATTATGAAATTTGGGTGATGCATTTACCAATTTGGACATTAATTTTACACAGTTTTTCTACAAAAATTACAATCGATCTCTGCGAAAACTCTGGTAATTCATCACAATAAACGTGATCCCACTGTTTGACTCAGTCACCCTTCGTCAGAAACGATGACACAACAACCTTCAGCTATAATCCAGAGAGAGGGATCCTCTCTCGACCCTCTCGCATCGTCGTGGCGGTGTGGGAATGGGAATGGAGAAATGGTGGTCAGGATATATAGGAAATCGTATAAAGGGAAGAAGGGTCAAAGAATTTATATTTCATTTATATTGCACCCCAAACACGCTGCCTTTGCGTTAGTTGAGTGAGAGATGAGATGAGAGAGATGAGGGTACAAGTGGTAAACGTGCAATATGATTAGGTAATATGGTGGATAGATTTTTTTTTGAGGGGGGGGGGGCAAGGAATTGTGGGAATTATTTTTATTAAAAATTATGGGTAGCAAGTGTCGGATGGAGATTATATTTTTAAATGGACATGATTTTGTACAGTCGAAAATGTGCACGTGAAATGTAGGAATACATTCGATGAATAAAAATCCGTGGCACAATTTCAACTTGAAACTTTCAAGTGCATTTTTAATTTTAAAGTGCACAAAATCAGTCAAAAAGAATTAAAGTTATCTTTCAGAGAGAAAATCCGTGAAACTCGATCATTTCGTTGCAACAGAGATGTCAAGATAAGCTTAGAAACACTTGACCTTTATCTCCTGGAATGTGTGGCACTGATGGAATTGTTTTTGTTAAATTACCCAGTTTAATTGTAAAAAAAGAGTTGTTTTGTTGATGGGTTTTTTTTAAAAGATTGAATTTCAGTGAGTCAAAGTGGAAATTCTTAATGCGGGTGAGTATGAATTTTTTTACCAACGTCGTCTCCCAACTGGAGTGGAAGCACGTGTGTGTGCAGATTTATTTACTTTAAGAGTGGATAAAAACACGGGGTTTTTATGGGATGTTTATTATTCTGTTTTATGAAATTTTAAATGATTTCTAATTTTATAACAAATTCTAATAATTTGAAATATTTTGTAGTAAATGTTTAAAAGATCCAAAAAATACACCCACCTTTTTTCCTGAACAGAAAAATTGTCCAATAAAAAATCCAATAATTTCCCTTGTTAATAATCGTTTAATAAAACGTCACAGTTAACAAACTTCACTTTTTGTCAGTTGTTTTGGGTCCATATCATTCCAAATTAACCTTAAAGTTGTCATTCTTAATTAAATAATTGACACTTTTCCACTTAACTTTTTCACACTTTTGTCTTAAAATCCGTTTTTATTAAACACCAAATTTATCTTAATATACGACCAAAAAGACACATTTACTTCTCTCGTAAATAAAATCTCGCATATTTATTTTAACTTTTTAAAACATTAAAAAAAACAATTTTCGGCGTCAAACTCTTCCAATTTTTCTCAAACTTTCACTCTACTTTCTCTTCTTAATAAAATCAAAATTCCCCTTTTTCATCAGTCTTACAGTTAAAAAATCCTCGCCGCAAACTAAAAACCAGAAATTGTTGACACCCGACGCAAGCGAGGTGTATCTCGAGAGATGGAAAAGAGCGTGTTTTCCCGAGGAGCTCTTGCCTCTCCAAAGTAATTCGTTAGACTGAACTCTTTTGGTTCATCCAACAACACGAAAGTCGACGAAAAGAAGGTGGTGGTGGTGGTGGCAGTAGACTAGTGGACATGGTGGCAAAAGAGGGATCATCACACACATCAATGAAACCTATGCTTTTATAGAGAAAATAGAACAGATGCAGCAGCAGCAGTAGAGTTAGGGTGGGACGACAAATCCATCTACTTAACATACACAAAATATATACAACAAAACCTTTATAACACAAAAACCAGAGCTAAACTGGGAATACTGAATAAGATGGATATGCTTTGTTACACGAGTGAGAGAGAGATATTTGAGAGAGGGGAAATATGCCTAGAAATGCACGTAAGCAACACCGGTCTCTCTCTGGAGAGGTTAAACTTTTTGGCTGTGCTGTGGTGTTAGTAAAGAGAGAGAAAGAGTATTTTAGGGTATATAGGAGTGGGGGGGATGAGGGGCATTCATTATTTTTGTAGGGAATTTAAGAGTGAATGTGGTAAATTTAGTTGGTTTTTAAAGGAAGTGTTTTATTTGTGAGAGTAATTTTTTAGAGGAAATTATGTGATTTTTCTTTAATGAGGGGAAAATTTACAATTAAGAAAATTGCATTAGAAAAGCCGTAGCTTTTAATAAAGTGGACAAATTTTCGCACCCTTTCTGAACCCTCCCTCGTTTGGATATTATTTTGGACAATTTCTCTCTCGAAATATACATGCACCGGTTTCGCTGCTCTCTCCACTCGTCGTCGTCGGTGGAAGGTGAATTGTGTGTGACCAAGTTTAACTCTCTCGAAACAAAACATTGCTCGAGAGAGAGAGAGATAGCGACTTTCTCTCCTCGAGCGTAGTAGCAATTGTGCGGATATTTGTGAGCGATGGAGAAGAAGAAGAGTGAGTTATTATATGCAGCGGGGTGACGCTATATATGTGGAATCAGGGGTGATCACTGGTCGGTGTGGGTCGTTGGGTTGTAATCAGGGGAATTAATGGTGATGATGGGTTTGATTTTTTTGAAGGGAATTTGTTAATTAGTGGGGTTTTAATTGTGGTGGAATTTTAGGGGAATTGCTGAGTGGTAAATTGGGAAATGCTGAGTTTTTCTTAAAGTGGTTTTAATGAGTTAATGAAACTCATTTTACAGCAACGATTTTTCCGGTGACATGGACGCCTCCTGAAAGCCACCACGCTTTCACTTTGTCACACGCATATCAGAGTGGACGCAGGGTGGCGGCGTACCTTTCTCGTTTTGTGAGAACATAAGCTCGAGAGTTTGGCATGGCTTTTGTGATGCTATGTAAACTCGACCACCACAGAGATCACTCACTCACTCCGAGGGCAAAGGGATAGCCAGGGAACGAATGTGGGATTTTTATAGATTAAGGGAGACAAGTGTAAGCAGGCGCTTTGGGGAGATTTTTTTGTTATTTTTTTGTAAAATTTCAATGTCTGTCAATTAGGACATTGATTTCGACCAAATATTGTGACCCGAACGCCATGACTCTGGTCAACCTTTCCCCTTAAAATAACCCTCATAATCACGTGACTAATCCAAAAAATCACTAATCAGCTCATTTTTTTATATCAAACCCTGTGATAAAAGCCAATATTCAAAACAATTTCCAGCCTGGTCGTGGGGTCATGTCCTCCTCGTCGTAAAGGGTTCAGCCACCTTTTCCTCTCTCCACCCTGCCAACTAACATGTCTCCTCGTGCTGGACGAACAAGTGGTGTGCATTTCTCTCTTTCGTGATATATCAGCTCCACAGTCACGTTGGCAGTGGGCCAAAAAAGCGAGTCCGCGATGTGCTTTCTCCAGCCTTTCGTCTCGGTCATCACCTAAGAATTTTATCACGAATATGCACGCGCATTTCGGAGAGAGAAGGGTAATTAAATTTAGGTTTTAGGAGCGTAGAAGCGTATTTGGAAATATTTCATGTGTGTGGAATCGATTAGGATTGATTTTTTTGTGATGATTTAATAATTAGTGGAGGAAAGAGGGGGGAGTTTATGCTTTGTTGTTTCCGGTTGGGGAGGTGGTGTGGAATCGGGGATTTTCAACGTTGTTCTTAATTTGTCATGTTTGGAAATTCCTTTTGCATCCACATTTCATGGATTTCCGCGTATATAAATCTGGTCAAAAGAAGTGTAAACTCTGATTTCACTTTCTCCGTTGAAAAAAATACTACAAAGTCAACAAAGAGAAATGAAGGAGAGAAAGTAGAGAAGGTGATGAGAGTATCGAATGCTTAAGCATAAATTGAGTATGGGATCGTAATACGGGTGAAAAAGGGTGGATGTGAAAGTGAGGGAATTTTATGGGGAATATGTGGGTTTGTTCTTTAGTATGATTGATAAAATAAAATATTTGATAAAATAAGTATAAACTCCGCTTTGGAAATGCAGAAATCGGCAGAATCTCAATTTTCCATTGAAACTTCCTGAAAAATTTCACACCCCAAAAAAAACCTAAAAATAGCCCCCAAAAACCTGACGTAATCTTCTTATTACTCTGTCTCTCTCACCACGTAAATTGGTCCCCACTCACCACGAACACAGAGAGAAAAGCGTGGATTTCTTTGTTTCTCACTCTCTCCCACGCGCGTGGAGAGAGTGAAAGCAGTGAAGGAGGAAATGCAGAAATATACAAAAGCGCGTGGGTGTCGTCCCACGAGGGACTCGAACCCACTCTGAAAACGCCCACCTTTTTTTCGTTAATGTTATGGGAATTTTTAAAGGAATTTGTTTTACTAAATTTTTATTCGCGTTATTTACGAATTTGTTAACAGTATTTTTTGATTAAAAAATTTCACAACAGAATTTTCTCTAGCACGATTTTTACGATCAACGATCGAGGAGAGTAAAAATTTTTTTAGTTTATAAAAATCACAGCAAAATAGTAACTTTTTTTAAAGGCAGTGTTAGGAACACCTTTCTTTACTTAATTGGACGACGTTGTATAAAAATTATCACACTTTTTCATCATCGCTGCGACCAGCGGCCTCTTGACTCCCCTCCTCGACCACCACGGCCAGCCATACCCCTCGGGTGATGGTGATGGTAACCCTGCTGCTGCTGCTGTTGCAAATCCCCTCCGCTGTACCCACCAAAGGAATGATCGTAATAAAACCCGTTGTTTAATCCGTCACCACCTCCGCGATAGTAATTAAATCCTCCTCGTCCGCGACCTCCGCGACCTCTCTGCTCCCCGAACCCCCTCTGCTTCCCACGATTATGATGCTGCTGCTGATTCCTCTCCGTCTTATTAACCACCGGCGGATTAACTTTCTCCTTGCAATACTCCCCGAATAATTTCAGATCCTCCTCAGAAGTGAGTTCTAATTTCAAATTTTCATAAACGGCCGGGAGTAAACACAAAACGTCGCTCGCCGCGTAGCTGATCATCAGCTCGGTCAAAGGACGGGCCGCCCAGAAGGTTTGGTTCTTTTTGTAGACGCCCTGCAGGAAATTATTGAGTTTAACACATTAATATTGGCAATTTCACTATTAATTAATGAACAACCACCTTCACGGCATCCTTAAAAGGGGAAGGCGGCCCCCCATACGTCCGACAAATTTTATCCAGCCCCACATTTTTCTCCTCCTTCTCATTCGGACCCAAGTTCCTTTTTTGAATGACGCGATGGGCGGCTTGGGTGTCAAACACGTTGTTCAATTGGATTTGGAACTGCTGGAGGAGGCCTTTGGAGTCGCTCGTGCAGTCGTGCATCACCTTTTATTTTGGGGGATTTGTTAAGTAATAATTAATAATTAGCGATTATATTAAATTACCTTGACGACCTCTTCGGACTCTAAAATTCTCCTAAGCTCATCCCCCAAGAGAGGTTCTGTTTGGACGTCGAAGAGGAAAACCTCCCCGGTCATGTCGCTGATTTGGACGAGGGTCACTTTCCCGTTGTTCCGATCGCCTAGGTTGACGCCTTCGCAGTCGCAGGAAATCACGGGGGAGGTGAGGAGTTTGGTGATGGCGGAGGTGCCGGTGGGGAGGTCCGTTATCAGGGTGGTGGTGGTGACCTGAGGTGAGTTATTTAGTGGTTTTTAGTGGAAAAGTGGGTATTTTTATATGGAAAATAGTGTGGAATTACCAAATACTGGACGAATCTCGCGAGGGCATCCTCCACTTCGAAGGCGTGTCGCTCGAAGGGGTTCAGGGGGCGGTTGGGTTCCGTGAGGCGACGTTTTGCTCGGGGGGTTTGGTCCGTGAGGGGGGAGGAGGTGGTGGGGATGGGGGGTGGTGCAGGAGTGGAGGGTGATGAGGATGGTGGAGTGGTGGGGAGGGAGGATGAGGAATCGACGGATTCTGTGGGTAATTCTGCGGTGGATGAAGTAGATGGGGGAGATGCGGGAAGGGAGGGGAGTGAGAGGGGTGGAGGGGAGTCGATTTCCATTGAAGGAGGGAGAAATTTGTGGGTATTATTTATGACCCGAAATTACTTAAAAACCCTTCAAAATTTAATTAAAAAACTTTATTAACCACATAAAAAAGTTGTCCACACGACTCCGAAGTACAAAATTGACTTTATTTTTCAATTTTCCCGCTCCATCCAACTCGATGACAATTCTCTCACTACAAAACCTTCTCACCTCTTAAAAAACCCCCCTAGAATCCCCCCCACCCTCCCCACCCCCTCCTCCTCCATGTGAAAATGATGCCCCCCTTTAACCAAATGAAATTCACACCCCTGACCCAACCCCTCTTTTAGAATCCCCACGATTTTCATGTATTTCTCCCTCTCTTCAAAGTCCTCGCCGGGATCCCCTTTCACGATGCAGACTCGTAAATCGGGGGATGAAGCTATTCTCCGGGCCATCGCCTCGATGTTAGTGTCTCCAAGGAAACGGAACGACGCTTTTATGTTGGTTTTTACGTCGTGGAGGAAGCGGAAGCGGGGTTCTCCGTTGTTTATTATTTTTGAGGCGCCCCTTTGGAGGAGGATTTCACAGGCGGAGAGAGGCAGCTGACCCCCTCGGGAGTTGTATAATTTCTGGAGGATCTCCGAGTGTGTGTAGGAGGGTCGGACGTTAGAGGAAGTAAGCTTCGTTTCCATGGCGAACGCCTGGGCGACGACGTTCTGAAAACCATGGGTCGGGTCGTTCCGTGGGATCGGGTGCAGGTTGTCCAGCGCGATGTAGTGGGTGACTTTTCTGAGAGGATTTATTATTAGATTTATTAGTGATTAGTTTGAGAAAACTAGGAAATTATAAAAACTCACTCCGGCCACGCCGCCGTGAAAATGAACGAAATCACCGCCCCCAGCGAGTGTCCCAGGAGAGTGACTTTCGGCCAGTTGAAGTGTTTCATTATCCGATGGATGGAGAGGAGCCCGTCGAAAAAGGAGTGGTAATAAAGGGAAGTGGTGTGAGTGGAGTGACCGTGGCCGGGGAGGTCGAAGGCGTAAATTGGGGTGTTATGGAGATTGTTTGAGAGTAGGAGGTGGGGGATGAGTAGGTTGAAGGAGTTGGAGTTGTCCTGGATACCGTGGAGGCAGATTATTGGTGGACACGGGGGTGGGGTGGGTGGTGCAGTGGTTGGTTGCCATAGTTGTCCTGTGATTATTTTTTAATAATAATGCGTTGTCATGGTAATGTATGATTTTTCTTATGCAAATAATTTTATACGTTAAATCACCTGCCAAGTGCCCCCCCGTGACTGGAATTGGTATTTTAACCTCCTTCACCGTAAATGTAGAAAAGTGTGGTAATTTCCCCAGTGGAAATTTAAAAACCTTATTCCGCAAACAAATCATTGTTACCGTGACTACACACGTGGATTTAAAATGATGCAACTTTAAGTTAATGATGAGATTCCGTTGCCATGGTAATTTTCCCAACAAGCTTTATTCCATTTAATAACCAATTTTTAATATAGCATAATTTTTTTAAGTTAAATTAATCCCCCCCCCCCCACGTAATTTCCAGAAAAAAAAATAGAATCCATGGCAACCTTTTTAGAATTCCCCCATGACGTTATACATCAGCCGCTTGAAGGACCCGCTCTGCGCGATCCGGTCGTGAGGCATCCCAACCGAGTTTAGCTAAGGATAGGAATTTTTATTAGTAACCATGGCAACCAATTTTAGTAACCAAAAACCCACGTTATAATTATGATGCTGTTGCTGTTGGACGACCCTGACGCCCTGCTGCCTGGGGGCCTGGACGCGTTGTTGCACGGCTGCCATGGCAACGCCGGGACCTTCCTCTTCTAAAATTGCCCGATACGTGGGTGAGTTTTGGGGCTTGAAGGCCGGGAGGGAGTCCGGAGTGCGGTGGACGGGGGCGGATAAGTGCTGGGTGGAGGCGGGGGGTGTCTGAAGAGGTTGTTGGTGTTGGTATTGTTGCGCATGTGCAGAAGGTGGTGGTTGTTGTTGGCTGTGAGTTTTTTAAAAATGAGGGGAAATTGTAAGGAATAAAGAAATAAAATAGTGAGAATTACTAATTGATTCCAGTCTGAACGTAGATGGCTTCGGAGACGTTTTGGTCAGAGTAGAGCGAGCGGGGGTTGATCCCCTGCCGGTGCACCAGCGCTTGGTTCTCGTTTAAATTGGCCACCACCGTCTGAGGAAGTCGCGTGGGTTAGTTTTTACGATATAAAATAATAGTTAATTACTAACCCTCTGATCCAGCGGTCGAAAAGTGGTGGGCTTCCCCTTGATCAGCTTGGTCTTGACCAAGTCAGGTTTTATCTTGGGGTTCGGGAAGACGAGTTGGGTGGTGCGGTAGGGCTGCGGATTTATTAACTTTTAGCGGTGGATTTTGGTAACGGGCGACTAATTATTAATTATCAAACCTGCGCCTGGATATCGGCCCTCTCTTTTTCCTTAATTTTGATGACGTCATGGAGTGAGTCCAGAGGGTCGGCGTTCCCAGGGAAACGCGTCACTGGGAGAAATTCAAGAGGTGAGTTAGGTGATTGGTACATGCTGTCCAGACCCGTCAGCACCTTGTCCAGCCGGTAGTGACCTATTTTTGATGGTGAGGGACAAGTGGGGATGGGGGTGCTTGCTGGAGGTAGAGATAGAAGAAGGGAGGTGGGAGAATATATTTTAGTGAAATATGCAGAGGAGATGAGAAAAAATGTGCAAAAGTGATGCGATTAGATGTGAGTCAAGGCGAGTGAAGTTAATGTTGCAAAATCTGTGAGAGAGAGAGAGGAAGTTGGGGTTATTTTTAGACGTTTTGGCGAATTGTGTTATTTGGGTGAATGTTTAGGGTATGGGGGACACACGGCGTCCATGGATTTTATGTCGGACGTAAAGATGTGGGTCAATTGGTGGGGAAGGAATTTTAATCAGTAAAGGGTCCTCAAATTAATCAGTGGTTACTAAAAAACGAATAAAACCCCTTCAAAAAACCGCACCTGGATTGTAGTAAAACGCCAGTTTAAAGCCTTTCTTCTCTCTTTTTAATACCACTCTTTTCCCACTAAATCTACTAGAATTTTCTATTAAAATCACCACAAATTACTAAAATTTACTTCGAATATTCGCTTAAAAATCGTCACTCCACCAACAAACGCTCAGCAGTCCAACCAACAGGACGGTTGGAATCCCATTGGCCCACATATTCTCGAACACCATCCTCCCCACGTCATCTCTCAAAAACATAAGCTAATTATATCTCATATGTGTAACCAGACTTGGATATTATTTCCATGACAACCAGCATATTAATATTTCCCTTGGAGACATGCCAAAAAAATATATAAATAGATTATCAACAGATTTTATTTCCATAGCAATAACTTTTTTTTATATATAATAAATATAAATTTGCTTTTAAATATACTTTTTTTATAGATTTAAAGCTATATAAATGTTCACAATAGTAACCATAGCAACGCAACTACGGGAATGTATTTACTCATCATTATTCTTCATCTTGTTCACGAGCACTTCGAGCAATCGAATCGTTTTCTTTATTTTTTTGTAACGTTGGTAACACGTTTCCATGGATGAAGAAGAGGAATATTTCTCCTCTTTTTGAGGCTTCCGCCCCGTCGTCATGGTGAAATCAGATTCAAATCGGCGCAGGGTTGAGCGCAGGGCGCGCTTTTCTTCGCGCAGTTCAGTGAGGCGCGCCGTGAGGGTGGGTCTGCAATTTATTTATTTATTAATTTGGTTACCATAGCAATTAATTAAGAAATAATCACTAACAAATCCATCAAATTCCACGCTTCATCTTCGATTTCTATGGCAACACCATCGATTTCCAGATCCATGTCAATTTGCAAAACACGTGATGTCGTCTCTTCCCCCAGCTCCCCCAATTCCAGGACCCCATTTTCCGGGACGACCCCCAAGAATTTCCCCCCACCACCCCCACTGGAGGTCGATTTCCTCCCCCAACGTTTCACCTCTCGATACCTTTCGTACAGCTCTCGAACGATTTCCTTTTCCTCCTTTTTCGTCGGACGACCGTGTTTCCGCTCCAAAATTAATAGCTGTTTTTGCAAAGAGTTCTTTTCTTCCTGGAGTTCCGCGGGGGTCATCAGCGAGGGGGGCGTGGTGGACAGGGGGATTTGTGTCACCGTGGTGGTGAGGGAGGTCAGGGATTTGTGGGGGGTGGGGGGAAATACCCCAGGGGGACAGTCGTGGAGCGCTGTAAATAAATTTTAATTTTAAAAGCGCGCTGTTGGCGGGGAATTTAAAAAACCTCTAAAAAAAGACTAACCCCCCATTTCCCTTTTGATCCTGGCGACCCCCACGAGGCATTTTTTCATATCTTTATTCCCCAATTTGTCCGCATAGCTCGGACGATAACCGAAAATCGTCTCGTACTCGTCCTCGAAACGCTTGAGATTCCGCTTCAAAGTGGACATTTCTTTGGTTAAATCGTTCAGTTTGGACTCTGTCTCGGCGTAGAGGAGTCGGCGGATGGGGGGTCCGTCCATCTGCGCCATGGGGGGCGAGGGGGGCAGGTCCATCGGGGAGGGGGTTTGGCTTAGGGACAAGAGGTGCGGGTTGGGGGCCAGGGTTGAGTTGGAGCGGGGGGACAGGAGGGGGTCCTATGGAATTTATTTTTTTAGTTGCCATGGAAATAACTTAAATTAAATTAATAAGATCATACCCCCCCTTGAATGGCCTCAAGAAATCCCCCACCACGGCCCCCAGTGGAATCCTCTTTGGGGATGATGATTTCCTCGATGGTGACGGTTGGTATGGCAGCAACCTCGCTTTTCTCACGGTGCCGTTTCCGACGGTGTTTCTTTTGGTTGCCATAGTAATTTATGTTCCGTTCTATGTCACGCTCGGACTCGGCGCAGTAGGTTCGATGAGGTTTCATGGGGTTGTCATGGTGATGGGGGGTTTCAGAATAGTGGGGGTGGGGGTGGTTGGGGGTGGAGTGAAGGGGGGTCATGGTGGAGGGTTCACCTGCAGTGGGTGTGGTGGTGGTAGAGTCCGGTCTGCAATTATTTTAGAATTAGAATTGGTTACCATGGAATTTAAATAATAAATAAAAACTACCTCTTCCCCTCCACCTCCAGGTGATTGACCTCCTCCTCCGCTTCGCCCCTCTTCCGCTCCCCTTTCTCGATCTGCCCCATGAGTGACTTCCGGAAGGACTTGACCCCCGTGAAGAACTTTGAAGACGTCGGGGTTGTCGTCGTGGGGGTTGTGGTTGACGTGGGGGGTGAGGGTTTCGTCTAGATTAAAAAGAGTGTTGCCATGGTTATTTTTATAGAAATAAAGAGTGAAAAACAGACGTTGATTAACCGGCAATGACCTCACTCGATTCGACTCCTTGCCAACAAATGCATTCGAGTCACGGATGGAAATAGCTCTCGAGATCGGTGTTGGAGAAAAAAGTGGTTACCTTGACGACGTTAACTTCATTGTTGTCGCCATCGACTTTCACTTCATCCTCTTCGTCCTCCTTGGATTTCGTCGTACAAAAGGATCGTCTTCGAAATTTAAACATTTTCAAAAATCCTGGGCGATCCGTGAGGTGAGGAATTTTTAGGCCGGAGAGGTTACTTTTTTTTTGAGGTTTTTAATATTTTCGCGTGGAAATGAGAAACTACGGTTGCTTCAGGAAATGCGTGGAGACGAGTTTTAGTGAAATCATTTGGTGGGATCGACGATGTTGGCGGAGATGGTGGTGTGGCGGCGACGATTTGGTGCTGTTGAAAAATGGAGAGAGAGTTTATCAGTGGTTTTAGAGTCTTTGTGACTGCGCAGGCGCGTGAGAGAGGGTAAGTTTGGAACCTGTTCAAGAATTTGTTATTTGATCGAAAATAATGTTGACAATGGGTTTTTGGTAATTAATTTTGGGATAAAACTGGTTCAAACTGGTGAGAGAGAGAATCTGCGTTTCAGTTCGTTCACATGGGTATCGATTTTCTTTTTGAGGGGGAGCGAGAGTGGGGAGCGAGAGGAGTGGGGGGGGGAGGGAGAACACCGGTGGACAGCGGAGGAGGAGAGCGTGCGTGAAGTGATTATTGGGACGTGATTGGTTATTTCTCCACGGTGGATCCGAATATTCGGGGAGTGAGAGAGAAAGTCGTTTCTCGGGGAGGGAGTAGAGAAAAGAGAGAAAATAGCAAGGAAATTAACAAGTATATACCACGTAAAGAAAATTAGATTAATTTCAACAAGTATATATATAAATTAACAAGTATATACCACGTAGATACCAGTAAATTAGATTAATTTCATGTGGGAAGGTAATTTCTCGGTGGTGGAACTATCCTAAAATTGTGTATTATTTCAGAATTTCACCGATGAGAAAACCTCACACAAAATCTCTCTCTCTCTAAAAATAGAGTAAACAGAAAAGGTCACCTTGAGCACGGAGCAGCCGTAAAAAACAGAGAGAAAGAGGAAATCTGCTGGTTGCGTAATTTGTTTACCTTTTTTGTCGAACCGGTAGTTTCGGTTTATTGGAATTGTTTTCTTTTAATTGACCTGGATTTTTTTGGAGGGTAAACAATTGTTGTTAGTAGTGGATGGTGTGGGGGTTTTTTTTAAGGGGGAGTTGATTACAGGGGTGATTTCAAATGGGGTGGAACTCGATTGGGAAATAAGTCGGTGTTTTTTTCAGGGATTTATATGGAGAGGAAATTTCGCTCACCTTTGGTCAGAGGATTGGTTGGGTTAATTTTAGGGAAATTAATTGAGGAGAGGCCTCCTGCAGTGGGAATTAATTCACTGCACAGGAAAAAAACATGCGAATTAATTATGAGAACTCACCTCCTCCTTCAGAATAAATTCCACACTTTTTTCTTAGAGAGAGAGAAATTCCAGAGCAGAGCAGCAGCGAGCAGAGTTCTCTTCTTCTAAACAAATCCACCGATCGACTGCTCTGTCCACGTAGATTTTATTTTCCGTGTACGTGAGAACGTGAGCCAAGACTTTTTGTTGTTGCCAAAATATTTCTCAGAGCGAGCATTTTTTGGCCTGGTTTTTATTTTTTGTAAATAGTTTTGGCTGTTTTTTTAGGAATTGTTTAGGTGACGGTGGTGGTGGTGGTGGGATTAAAGCGTGGTCAACTAGTCGGAGTCGTTGGACAAATCTGCTGTAAAAATCAGCCAAATATTAAAAGTGATGCAATCCGCACGGATAATGATGAATGCCAAATCACACTTTTTTTCTCCTGGCAGACAGCCCAATTCTTCCTCTAACACCCGTCTGTGTCCTTTTGACATTGCACAAATTTATTTATTTTTTCGTTGCCATGGAAATGTTATAATTATGAAAATATATTATTCGTCGTCTTCTTCTTCTTCTTCCTCCTCCTCCTCTTCTTCTTCTTCGCTCTCTTCTAAAATAGTCGAGTCATTGGTGGTGGGGGGTGTGGTCGTGGGTGGGGCGGCGGGTTTTTGTGGTTGGGGGTGTGGTTCTGACTCCTCCTCTTCAATTTCCTCCTCCTCCTCCTCTTTTGGCTCCTCCCCTTCCTCACGCCCCTCCTCTTTCTCCACCTCCTCCCCACCCACTTGCTCCCCCTCCTCTAGCTCCTCCCCCCTCCACCTCTTTGGCATGTCCTCCAGCCACGGGGGTATGTCCCCCACGGCCCCTCCCTTCATAAACACCTCCTGGCGATCCTTCCACGTCCGGTCCACGTTCTCTCGGTACTGCTGGATGAAGCCCTGCACACAAACTTGGTTGTCATGGCAACTGAATTTCCAAAAAAATAAAAAATCCTCACCCCCTCGAACAACTCCTTCGTTTCCCCAAAGGGTTTCAAACCCAGGCGTCTCTCGTACTTTGAGGCCACCAGGATTTTGGGCTGCGTGATTTTTAAGAATTTTTTTTATAATTTCCATGGAAATAATTTTTTATAAAAAAAATTACCGGGTATTTCCCCATCAGCGCCCTGCACATATAAATTATTATTTAAATTAATTCCATGACAACCATGAAGAAAAAACTCACTCTGCAGGTAGTCCCAATTTCATGGCTTTGTGACGTAATTGCTGTTTTTCACGCTCTTTCAGTTCTTTAAACTATGGAAACAATGATTTTTTTAATTAAAAAAGAACTTCGTATAGCCCGAGTCAGGGGGAGAATCCGTGTCTCAATTTTTGTCCGGACACCCACTCCCCGTGTAATTTTAAAGACACTTATCGTCAGAATCAGACATACGGACAGACACAGACAGACCGATCCCATAAGCCCCCCCCCCTGACCCTCGTGTTTTAAAAAAAAACTCACATCATACTCCTGCCTCTTGTGAATCTCCTCCAGATCGTAAACCTCCGTTTGTAATTTAACCAACTCCCCCCACAATTCCCCCACTTTCCGTTTTAACCTCTCCTTCCCCAAACCCTCCGCCCCCAAGGGTTTGATCCTCTGGGACATTGCGGTCGATTTCAAAATTGCTATCTGATCCGGGGTTAGTTGGTTTGTGGGCGTGGCCTCCAGGGGGATTAAAGAGGGGGCGGTCTATAATTTTTTTTTAATTCAATAAATAAATTTCCATGGAAATTACTAAAAATAATAAATTAACCTTTTCAATGACGAAATTCCTCCCTTTGTTATTCTCCTTATATTCCTGCATCAAATTTAACCTCCTCCGTTCCGCATCTTCGAGCCGCTTGGTTTTCTCAGCGATTTTCCGCTCGCGCTCTTCTTCCGCTTGTTCCGCGCGGAGCTGTTCTTCGCGCAGGCGGAATTCCGCCAAGGTCGATTCTTGCAGGGTCCGCGTGGCCTTTAGGATAAAAAATACTTATGTAACCAGTGTAAGTTCTCTCCGTTCGTGCGTCTTTACTCGTAAAAACGAAAAAACCAAGACCACAACTCGGGCCACTCGAAGTAAACTAACTGACCTTTCTTTTCTGGACTCGATTTTTCAACTTTTCCAGCTCTTCCTTTTCCTTCACCGTTTCGTGCTTCCATTCCTGGACAAAGATTTTCAATTGGTCCTGGATCGAGGTGTCCGTGGCGGTCAGGCGGCGGATTTTTGTCAAGAGTTGGGTTACTTCGCTGTTGAGGACGGAGGTGGAGGTGGTGGAGAGGGAGGAGCAGGGGCGGTCACCAGCGTCGCTGCGGATGGAAATAAATTATGAATTAATTGGAAATTAAGGGGAAAATTACTCACTTTTCGGGAAAAGTTTCCATTTCCGAAGGCTGGGCGACGGCGAGGGCCATGGTCACTTTCTCACTTTCTCTGGTGCAACAGTAGAGAGTGATCACTGATCAGCCAAAAATAGCCCACCAGCGGATGTATGAATGAAATCTGGATCCTCTCTCCCATCACAGATGTTCCTTCATTTGCGTCGTCGTTTTTTTCCCTGGCCCCAGTCCAAAATTTCAAATCCATTAGCGAATTTTTTTCCACACACTCTCTCCATCCGTTTCCATGCGAAATCTCACCCAATAAACTCATAGAGAAAAAAACACTCTGCGCCAACCAGCCCACTCCTTGAATCCAGTCACTCATTCTCTCTCAAAAAATCCACGTCATTCCTTCCTCTCTCGCTATTTTTTTAATTAATTGCAGCAGTGAAAATGTTCCCAAATAGTTATCCCCCTCCCCACCCACAAGCTGCACCACCGCAACAGCAACAACACTACCAACACCACGCCCCGCACAACCCACTTAATCAACAGCAACCCTTCCAGCAAAACCCCGTGATAAACCAGCAGCCTAATTACTATCCTCCTCAACAGAATTATCCTCCTCCTCCTCAGCAGCAGCAGCAGCCAGTCTACCCACCAACTTATCAACAAAATTCGTATCCACAGCAACAGCAACCCTACAACCCCTCCACCCCGCTCTACCCCCAACTGAACCAACAACTCTCTGGCCTATCAATAACCAACTCTGGTTTTAACCGCTTGTGGGGCTCGGACCAGGTCGATTTACTCAAACACCGCCATCAAATTTTACCTCCGTATGGAGTCAAACCACCGGAAATCAGACATACCAATGAGTTTTGGAGGGATAAAAATGCTGCCCCGGAGTGAGTATTTTATTTCTACAATTTCCCTTGGATAAAATTAAAATCATGTTTCCCACCCATAATAAAAAATTAACAATTTTCCAGCATCTTCCGCTGCACCCTGACGAAAATCCCGGAATCGAAAACCCTCCTCCAGAAATCCCGTCTCCCACTGGGAATCCTAATCCACCCGTTCAAGGACCTCACCCAGCTCCCCGTCGTCCAGTGCTCCACCATCGTCCGGTGCCGCTCCTGCAGGACCTACATCAATCCTTTTGTTTATTTCATCGATAATCGGAGGTGGAAGTGCAACCTCTGCTTCAGAGTCAATGATTGTGAGGCTTTTACACTTAATTTTGTCCATTAATTGGCACCAAACTAATAATTCTTCGTATTTCCGCAGTACCCGACGAGTTCCAATACGACCCTTTGACAAAAACCTACGGCGACCCCCACCGCCGTCCCGAGATCCTCTCCGGAACAATAGAATTCCTCGCCCCGGCCGACTACATGGTCCGTCCTCCTCAGGCCGCCGTGTATTTATTCTTACTAGAAACCACCGTATCCGCTCTGGAGTCTGGTTATCTAAAAATAATCTGCGACACGCTGCTCGATAATTTATCCACGCTTCCGGGGGACTCTCGAACACAGATCGGATTCATCACTTTCAACTCCAGTGTTCACTTTTACGATTTGAGTGGGAATACGGCGAAAATGATGGTGGTGACGGACGTGGAGGATGTCTTTGTGCCTTTGCCGGATGGACTTTTAGTTAAATTGGATGAGTTTGAGGAGAATGTGAGGGGGTTCCTCAGGGGGTTGCCCGGGATGTGGATGAATGGAGCGAGTGTTAATGGGGGGTCAGGCGGGAGCTGTTTGGGAGCAGCCGTGTCCGTTGCCCAAAAATTATTGGTGAGTTAACTAAACCCTCTAATAAATATCACCTCCTAAAATAAATAAAAAATCCAACAGGCCCCCCTCGGCGGCCGCCTCACCATCTTCACCCACACGCTCCCCACCCTCGGGCCAGGCTCCCTCCCCCCACGTGACTCTTCAAAAACCCTCCCCCAACTAACCAAAGATTTGAATCCGGCAACAGATTTCTACAAGAAAATCGCTCTGGACTGTTCCGGGCAGTACATTGCCGTGGATTTGTTCTTCACTGGGAATGCTCACTCGGACATTGCTTCTGTCTCTTGTATCAGCAAGTACTCGGGGGGTGTGTCTATAGGGTGAATGGGCTGGAGGGCCCGAATAGGAAGCTGTTTTTAGAGGGGTGTTTTAGTAGGTATCTCACGAGGAAGATTGGCTTCGAGGCGGTGATGCGGGTCAGGTGTAGTCGGTAAGTGGTTAATTTATTAGTTTTATTAGGGTGTAATTAATAAATAATTAACTCAGTGGTCTGTCGATCCACACGTTCCACGGAAATTTATTCGTCCGCTCCACGGATTTGCTCTCCCTGCCAAACTGCAACCCGGACGCTGGGTTCGGGATGCAGGTCTCGATCGATGAGGATCTCAGGGACTTTCAACACGTCGCGTTCCAGGCGGCATTGCTTTACACGAGCTCAAAAGGTAATTACTAACTCATTTTTTGATCGTAATTACCATGCTAATAACTAATTCCCTACAGGGGAACGCCGCATCCGTGTCCACACCCTCTGCCTCCCCGTGGCCTCCAACATAAACGACGTGATCCTCTCTGCAGACCAGCAAGCCATAGTTGGTTTAATAGCGAAGATGGGCGTGGACCGGGCACTCACCTCCTCGATACAAGACGCGAGGGAGGCCTTTCTAAACGCTGTTGTTGATATCTTATCGGCTTATTCCACCACGCAGAACGCGGTGCAGGGCGTGGGCGGTGGGTTAATCGCACCGGCCAATATCCTGCAGATGCTGCCCGTGTATGTTCATGGGTTGTTGAGGGGGGTGAGTAATGACACGATTATTAGTGTATTATTGCTAATTTTGTGTGTTTATAGACGGGCTTCCGCACTGACCTCAAACCCACCCTGGACGACCGCGTGCACTATCTCAACCAATTAAAGTCCCTCCCTCTCTATTTACTTATTCAAACGGTGTACCCGGACCTTTATCGGATCGACCAGGTCCTCGCCACGGTAGGAGTCTCTTTAATAAAAATTAGTAGTTAAACCACTAAAAAGTGTATCTCTGCAGCCCCTCCAAGAGCACGAAGCCCCCGAGGACGACCAGGACACGGACCCGCCCGTGGAGCTCCCACTCTTCCCTCTCCTCACCCTCGGGTCGGACCGGATCGACGCGAGTGGGGTCTACCTCCTGGACCAACCAGAGTCCATTCTAGTCTATGTCAATAGAAATGTGGGCAGGGAGTTTTGCGTGGATGTGCTGAATGCGCAGGGGTTTGCGTTTTTGAATGAGCAGGTGGGTTATTATTATTAGATAATTATTATAATAGTGGGTGTGCATATGACTATTTTTGTGTTTAGAACGACCTCCCCGATCTCCCCACCACGTCCAGTTTGCGGATCCGTAACTTTGTGAATTACCTCCAGTCCGTGAAGCCTTTTCCCGTTCCCTTGAGGGTTTTGAGGTGCGTTGACTCGTTGATTATTACTATAGGAAATTTATATAATGGTGTGATTTCAGGGAGGACTCCCGCGAGCGCCCCAGCTTCACCTCGAGTTTAATCGAGGACCGTGGCGAGTCACAAATTCCGAGTTATTACGAATTCCTTCAGCAACTCCAGAACCTCGTCAAATAATCATTTCTTAAATTCCAATTTTAAATTAAATTATATACACAAAAATCATGAAATAAACACATTTTTCCAAAGATAACCACAATTTATTCTCCCCCTTTTTTAATAAAAAACCCCTACTACTTATTCTTCTTCTCCTTACTATTACTAAACCTCCCCATCCCAACAAAACTCCTCTCCCTGATCGGCCCAATGAACGCATTCACCTTCGTCCTAAAAAACCCCAAACTCGAAGATTTACTAACGAAAAACTCCCCTCCGAACTTCTTCTCCAGTGCTAAACTAACGATTTTAAACCCCTTTTTAATCCTCTTGAGCGTAATCGGCCATTCGTAAGAGTTCGGAACGATCCCGTCGATCCCAGATTCGAAATAGGAAAATAAAGGGAACCAGACCTTGGTCCGTTTGGAGTCCCTCTGCATCAAGGCCTGGTTGTTGGCGAGGGTGTGATAATAAAGGAAGAGGCGGGAGGCGATGTAGAAGGCGATAAATACGTCGATTGAGTAGTGCTCGTGGGCTGCGAGGATGAAGAATATGCCGAAGGTGTTGAGGAGCCAGGAGAAGGTGTGGATAAAGTAGAGCCGCCGGGTGGTGTCTATTTAAAAGAGAGGTTAATTAATTGTTTAATTGGATAGAGTTAAGGACGCACATTCCGTGACGAAAAAGTTGAGCATTGTCAAAGCGACGGTGTGTCCGGAGAACATGTAGTCCCCGCAGGTTCGGACCCCTTGGATCGACATCCCTGCACCTTTCCAGATTAAGTAAGCGTTGTACAGACGGGACATCCAGTCCCCGTAGGGCTGTGGAGAGGGGGTTAGGTTAATTTGGTGATTTTTTACACAATATTCTAATTTAGGCTACCACTTAATTAGCTGAATTAGCCACTTGTTTTGATTTTACCATCCACTAGGGAGGTTTTTTAAGCCACCTAATAGTTTGGAACTTACCTAGTCTCTGTGTTTTAACCCTGGTTATGAATGGTGAAATCCACACAGGTTGCTCTCAAACTTATATAAAGCTCATATTGTTACATAAATTCTATATTAAAGCAGAAATTTACACCGTGGTTTTTGATCTCTTTAAGGAATCAGATAAATTCAGCTAGTGGCAACCACTTCAGCTAAATAGGAGGCTAGAAAAACCCCGTAGATTTCAAGGTAGCGTCAAGTGGCTAATTTAAGCAAATTAAGAGGCCAATATTTAAACCCTGTATAAAATTCACCCTGGGATTGCACTTGAGATGAGCCCCCGGGACGCTCAACGAAGTAATGAGCATGGTGACGCATCTGAGGAGAAACACGGTTCCGCACAAGGCAAAGAACCGTCGGATGAGGATGAAGCGGTGCTTGTGGAAAAATAACACGCCGAACCAGAGGATTAAGAGGATCGTCCCTGTCACCTCGCACATCTCGAAGGCCCACCTAAAGGAATTAATTATTAGTGGGTGGTAATTAATTTAGTGGATAAGACCCCATAATTAATAGAGTAAAAACAAAACCCTACGGAATGTGCGGGACGTGGTCGAGAAAGAGGTCCGGCAAGGGAGGATACTTTTCCATGTCTGGAACCCTGTCGTGGACGATGACCATGACGAGAGCGGTGATCCAGGTGACGACGAATAAATAAAACATGGCCACCAGGGCTTTGAATACTTCGGGTTGGAGGTTTCGGGCGTGGACCGTGGAGCGGAGCTGGGGGCGGTGGTGGAAGGAGTCCACGAGTGGGTCCACGGGGTCGGGTTTTATGTCCTCTTCACAGGAAGAAGAGGGTGACGGGCTGGATGAGGAGGTCAGGGAAGAGTCTGAGGTGCTTGTGGTGGTTGGTGTGGAGCGACGGCGATGGTGGCGACGCAGGTCGGACGTAGTAGGGGCGGAGCGTTTCAGCGTGGTGATGTCGTGGGTGAGGTTTTTCAGGGGGCCGAGGAGCTGCGGAGAGAAGAAATTAATAGATTTTCCATTATATTAGGGCAATTTCACACAAAAACTGGTAGACACCCACCCTGACCCCGATGACATCCCTGAGATCGGCTTCCGTGAGCAGGAGCAAGGCCCGTCCGTCGATCAAATGTTCTCTCGTCATTTTGGATACGATTTCTGGGTGGTGAGATTTCTGGGCGAGATAGTCGCCCACTTCGAGAGGGGTCCACTCGCTGATTTTTTTCTTCTTTCGCCTGCTCCGGGTTGTACTGCTGCTTGGAGGTGGGGGTGGGCTGAGTTTTATGCGGGGTGGTGTGGACATTTTTATCAATTTATTGAGTAAGTAGCACCTAGAAATTAGAAACGTGTGAGGAGAAAAACACCTGTGAGTGAGTCAAAATATGATTATTTTCTCACGTTCAGCTCCGTTGCGGGAGGTTGGAAATTTTTTGTTGGGAAATTCACACCGTCGTCGTCGTGAGTGGACTACGATTTAAAATTTACGAAGAAGAGGAAGATTAATTAAGACTGAAAAATAAATTACTAAATTAAATAAAAATGCCCACCCTGCAAGACACGACCTGCTGCACTTTATCCTGCCCAAACCCGGCGAAGTTGCAGTGCCCAACCTGTTTGAAACAGGGGCTGGAGGAGGGCTCCTTCTTTTGCTCTCAGGTTTGCCTCTCCCACTTAATTGTAAATTAATATTAATATTTTCTGGACCATTCCACCCCTTTTTTAGGACTGTTTCCGCACCTCCTGGCCCGTTCACAAGTCGGCTCACAAGAAAACCGGGGCGAAAACGGTGGAAAATGGCAGCGGAAGAAGCAACATCCTCGGCGTGTACGACCCCTTTGAGAACCACTCTGTTTTTAAATATAGTGGGGGTTTGAGGGCGGCGTATCCTTTGGGGGGTGAGCAGTTACTTATTATTGTCGATTAATTAAATGAAACTAACTAAATAATAACAAATAAACAGTAAAACGCGCCGTGCCCCCCTCGATCCCCCGCCCTGACTACGGCCTGGAAACCTCAGATGGGAAACCCTTATCCGAAATGGCCATCCGTGGCAGCTCAAACATCCGCGTGTTGACGGATGAGGAAATCGAGGGGATGCGAGTGGCGGGGAGGGTGAGTTACTCTATTTTTATATCACGTGTGACAAATAATAAAAACTGTGTCCCCTCAGCTCTCCCGCCAAGTCCTGGACGCCGCCGCCCTGGCCGTGACCCCCTCCACCACAACGGACACGATCGACGCCATAGTTCACGAGACCTGCCTGGATCTCGAGTGTTATCCTTCTCCATTGAATTACTATGGGTTCCCAAAGTCGTGTTGCACCTCGGTGAATGAGGTGATTTGCCATGGGATCCCGGATCAGAGGAAGTTACAAGAGGGGGACATTTGCAATGTGGATGTGACGGTGAGGTGGTTTTTAGTGAATTTTGGTGGGTTGGAAATTAATGTAGTTTTTGAATGGCAGGTCTACCACCGCGGCTTCCACGGTGACTTAAACGAGACTCTGTTCGTGGGGGAGAGGGTGGGGGAGGAGGCCAGGAAGTTGGTATGAGGATAACGCGTGGTTATGTTTAACTAGAACTAAACGAAGAAATATCCTTAGGTAACAACGACCTATGAATGCCTCCAGAAATCCATAACAGCGTGCAAACCCGGAACGAAATACCGCGACATAGGAAACATTATCCAAAAACACGCTCAGTCCATGGGTTTCTCTGTGGTGAGGTCCTATTGCGGGCACGGGATTCACCAGTTGTTCCACTGCGCGCCGTCGGTTCCGCACTATGCCAGTGAGTCCACTAATTCACTAATTAACAGTGACCAATTAACTAATAAACTATAAAAATAGAGAACAAAGCGATCGGAGTGATGAAGCCCGGCCACAGTTTCACGATCGAGCCCATGATAAACGCCGGGAGTTGGCGAGACGAGCAGTGGCCGGATGACTGGACGGCCGTCACGGTGGATGGGAAACTGAGTGCGCAGTTTGAAGAGACTTTGGTCGTGACGGAGACGGGGGTGGAGGTGGTCACTGGGAGAGCGAGTGGAAGGCCGTATTTCATGGGATAAATTATTATTTTTTGGATAAAATAAAACAATTTCTAATAAAAACACGCGTAGCAAAATAATTTATTTACACACTCCTAACATTTATAAGTGACCCTCCCCTTGACCCGTTGGACCCCGGTGGACCAGCTCCGGAGTTCGACGACGTCCACGCTGTCGCCTTTGATATTAACACTATCTGTGGTTTCCTCTTTCCACTCCTTTCCCACGGTGGCTTTTTTACTAAGATAAATTTTGAGGTCGAAGCTGCAGCGGGTGTCGAGCAAGGGGAGGAAGGTTACCGTGGCGGTGATTTGACGCATCACGTTCCGGATGGATTTTGAGATTTCCGTGAGGTCTTTTCGAGCGGTGATGGGAAGGGGTTTTCTAATGGTTTATTTTGTTAGTTTTGTTAGAGGGGGATTATTTTATAAATAATTACCCAGTGATGGTGACATCGTTGTCTTGGACGGTCTGGATGTCAAAGTCCCATTTTTCCAGGGTTTCCCCCGTGAGGGAGGAGATTATGACGAGGGAGAGGGATTTCAACTGGGATTTGGTGAGCCAGCCTGTGGAGGTTTATTAATTATTATTATTTATTATTTAATGAATAAATTAGAGTGAAGTAAACCTTCCAAATTAGGCAAAACGCTGTCGAAATAGTCCACGATTTCCTTGTCTTTACTGACAAAGAGGGTGATTCCATACTCTTGTTTCCGTTCGAAGGACTCTGGGGAGTAGACCCCGCGCTGGTACAGGATCGAGTTCACCGCGTGGCCTGTGGGAATTATTTATTATTTTTAAATTAAAAATTTTAATTACAATTAGATAATTAATTAAATAGACTCACGAAAAAACTGCGTAACAATCGTGGCGGATCCCGCGAGCGTGATGGGTTTCACTTGTTGGGAGGCGGAGGTGGAGAGAGATTTGTTCATTTTTTTTTATTTAATTAGTAAATTATTTAAAAAATATATTAAGTGTGTAAAAAAATGTAAACAAAGATTTAACGGTCGAGTTTATAATAGGAGAGAGAGAGGCTAAACACTGCCCGGCGCGGAAGTCACTCTCTATTCTGCTGGAGAAAGACACACACAAAATGTTAAAACTCTTGCGAATTAGAAATTTTACTAATTTCGGGTCCGGGATTTCCACCTCGGCGTCGGTCGCTGCTGTGCAGTCGGGAAGGTTTAAGGTCTCTATTAAGCATAATAATCCGTTGACTTATGAACAGGCCCATAAACCTCACGACATTGGGGCGAAGAAGGAGTGGAATTCTTTCAACACGGGTGAGGTTTTAATTTTTTTAAATTTACTTCGTTGGCCCGAACCAGGATTTCCTAAACTGACGTGTTTCCCCTTAGTTTCATTACTACAGACGTACCACACGCGGATTAGATAATCCCCTTTTCAACATTTTCATTAAAAACTAATAACTCTCTCTCTCTCCCCTGCAGAAAACCTCCCCAGCTTCTCCGTGGACCCTTCCCCCACTGTAATCTCGGACATGTTCATCCGGAAGTTCATCTCCGGAACCTGGCACGACCTCTTCGTCACGGAAATCACGATAAAGAGACAAGCGAACCTCATCAGGATCGGCGGGATCGTGCAGCGCTCCGTCCATGCGAGGAAGATTTATTGGCTGATTGGATATTGCGAAGAGATGCTGGGGGGATGGTTGCAGTGTGTGGTTAAAATGGAGGTGGTGACCATTGGGGGGAAAAGGGAGGTCGTTTTTAAGTATGTTTAGTTGTGATTTGTGGTTGGTTTCTAGTCTTTGAGATAATTTTGCATATGAGTTATTAAATATTAAATTGTTTGGATGGAAATTAGTGCGTTTGCAGTGAGTTTTTTCATTTTTTTTCATACGGTGGAGTCCTTCATATGCATGCAAATTCATCAAAATTGTGTGGATTCAGCAGCACCGCTCTCTCTCCGCAGAGCAGCACCATAAATTCAGATCCAATTGAATTCAATTAATTTGGGCACAAAAACTCCTACGCAAACAACCACCTACTCTCTATCTCTCACTGTGAATATTTTGCAATTTACTACACACTGGCTTTGCATCCAATCTGACTCACACTCCACTCACCTGTGGCTGTGTGCTAATAATTCCACTACCACCACCGGTCGGTGTGGATTGAACTGGGTCACCTAATAATCATCATCTCACCTGGTCTTCTCCTCTCCACACACAGCTAAAGTATCCCTCAAAAAAATGTCCCGCATCCCCAAGTTGACAACCACAACCCCGATAGCCTGGACAAAACATCAAGTTCGACCAGCAGCAGCAGATAAGACAAATGATAAGCCAGCCTCATCACAGTCGTCGTCATTCCTGGTGGGTGAGTATAGATAAGATTATTCACAGTCGCCATGACAATTTATAGTCACAGACGTAGAGAGAGAATTGATTGAGAAAAGGAGTGGCCTGTGTCACTTCTACGAGTTTGGCACTGCTTTTTTCTCCACTTCCGCTTTATTCCACTGGTAGAAAAAAAGGTATTTGAACTGCACAAAAAAAACTGCATTTTAGGGGATCCACGACGATCCACCTGTTGCTTCCCCGTCACGGTTCCACGACAGAGCGTGACTTTTCTCTCTTTGAGTCTCTCTGACACGTCATTTTCCACTAAAAATATCGTGGATTTTACTGAAATTCTCTCCTAAAATAATTTTAAAATTATTAAAAATGCATAAAAAACCACAGCTCCCCCCACAAAAAAAACTAACCACCACTTCTCTCTTAGGAATGTCCACGCTCCCCACCTCCGTGTGGTCCCCCTCCCCCCTGCACGGCTTCATCCCAGGCACAATCACCGACCTGGGCTCCACGACCCTCACGATCCTCACGACGGACCCGGTCACAAAGAAACAGCAAACCATCGAGACTTCCCACTTTTCCGTCTTCCCAGCGCAGGATGGAGACGTGGATTTCGATGATAACTGTGGGTTGATGTACTTAAATGAGGCCACGTTACTGGAGAATCTGAAGAGAAGATGGGAAAAGGGGGGGATTTATGTGAGCAGTTAATTTATTTATTATTTATTTTTACGCTGATTTAATTAAATTTCCACTCTGTTTTTAGACCTACACGGCCAACATGCTCATCGCCTTGAATCCCTACACCCCTTCTACCTCGCTTTACTCTACGTCGACCATCCAAAAATACCAGGGTCGCTCCCTGGGCACTCTTCCACCGCACGTTTTCGCCATTGCTGACAAGTCCTATAGGGATATGAAGACGATGAAAATGTCCCAGTCGATCATTGTCAGTGGGGAGTCGGGGGCGGGGAAGACGGAGAGCACGAAATATATTTTAAAGTATCTTTGTGGGTCTTGGGGGAGTGAGGCGGGGGTCGTGGAGAAGAGGGTGTTGGATGGTGAGTTATAACTCTTATTAGTGGATTATGTGGGGATAATGTGCTTGCTTCTGTAGATGAGATTTCCCATCTGAAATCAGGCTAATGATGATGTTTTAGCGACACCAACTCGGGCTATTATAACTCTAAAATTATAAAAACACTGATAAAATTATTAAATAGCAAACCCGCTCCTGGAATCCTTTGGAAACGCAAAAACCACGCGGAACAATAATTCCTCGAGATTCGGGAAATTTATAGAGATCCATTTCGATGAGAAATACCGGGTCAGCGGGGGCTACATCAGCCATTATTTACTGGAGAAGAGCAGGTACTTTATTTTAAATTATTCCCCTATAAAATCACACCAACTAATTAATTAATTCTACTGTAGAATCCCCTCCCAATCGCCCTCGGAACGCAACTACCACATATTCTACCAGCTCCTCTCGGGCCTCCCCGCCACCATAAAAACCACCCTCGGAATCAACTCCCCACCCTCCTCATTTAAATACTTATCCTCTGGCCTGTGCGAATTCTTCGGCGAAAAACTCCGTGACCCCGTCGTCCACGATAAGAACGATTTCCTAACTCTGGAATCCTCCTTTAAAAACTTGGATATAAAATGCACCCAAGAAATCTACCAAATCATCGCTTTAGTATTGCACATAGGAAATCTAGAATTCCAAGAAGATGAAAACCTCACTTCCAAAGGGGGATGTAAAATTGTGGAGAATGAGAACTTAGATTTTGTCGCTGATTTGGCTGGGTTGGACAAAAAAGAGTTGATCACTGCGTTGACCTCAAGAGTCATGCAGACCGCTAAAGGAGGGTCCAAAGGGACCGTGATACAAGTTCCGTTGAAGAAATATGAGTCATTTCAAGCCCGTGATGCATTAGCAAAATCGATCTACAACAAATTGTTTGATTTCATCGTATTGAAAATTAATGAATCTATCCCCACACCGAACAACTCATTTAAATACATTGGCGTTTTAGATATCGCAGGGTTTGAGTATTTTACTGTTAATTCTTTCGAGCAATTTTGCATAAATTACTGTAACGAGAAATTGCAGCAGTTTTTTAATGAGCGGGTTTTGAGGGATGAGCAGGAATTGTATGAAAAGGAGGGATTGAACGTGGCAAAGATCGAATTTATTGATAATTTGGATTGCATCGAGTTAATAGAGAATCGTCCGGGGATACTAAGTTTATTAGATGAAGAGGGGAAACTGCCAAAACCACTGGGGTCACATTTCACGGGGCAGGTTCATAGCGTGCTGGGGAGTCATTTTAGGTTGGAGTTACCTCGTAAAAGTAAAATAAAAGAGCACCGTGAGATTTTAGACAGCGAAGGATTTATCATTCGTCACTTCGCAGGTGCGGTGTGTTACGACACGAGGTTTTTTCTCGATAAGAACAATGACGCGTTGCATTTTAGCTTGGAGATTTTGCTGCAGAATTGTAGTAATGAGTTTTTAAGGACTTTGTATAGTTTGAGTAAAATTGAATTTACCGGGAAACTAGGGTTTGTGAGCGTGGCGGGGAAGTTTAAAAATCAGCTGGGGGAGTTACTCGAGGAGAAGTTGAGAGTTACAGGGACGAGTTTTGTGAGGTGTGTCAAGCCGAATTCGAAGATGGTGGGGGGATTTGGGAAGGGGGGTTGATTTTGAGTCAGTTGCAGGCGGCGGGGATGACATCTGTGTTGGAGTTGATGCAGGGGGTGAGTTGTGGGTTTTTTATTTGTTGAGTGATTTATTGGGATTATCAGGATTATGGATTGGGATTTAGGATTAATTATCCTGGTAAAAAAATTATGGAATTAATCTTTAATCCTTAGAATATATATAATCTCGGATTAATCTAATCCTGGATTAACGTTAATCCTTAAACAGAGCTGGGATAATCCTGATTATGGATTATGGATTTTAATCCCGGATTATTAATGCATAATCCCTAAACCGGTAATGAGTTTTTTTAAAGATTAATCCATAATCCCGATTTTTCTGGAATTAGAATTATTCCGGGAATAATCCTATTATCCGTGATTACTAATCCAGATTAATTAATTAAATTTTGATTTTTTTAAATTAATTTCCAGGGCTTCCCCTCCCGCGCGCATTTCCAATCTTTATACTCCACCTACTCCTCCCTCCTCCCGCCAAAACTATCAAAACTGGACCCGCGCTTTTTTTGCCGCGCGCTGTTTCAAGCAGTTGGATTATCCGAGCAAGATTTCAAGTTTGGACTGACCCGGGTGTTTTTCCGGCCCGGGAAATTTAAAGAATTTGATTTAGTCATGCGGTCGGATGGGGATGCTCTGAGGGAAATGGTGGCAAAAGTCGGGAAGTGGATCGTGGTTAGCAGGTGGAAAAGGGGCATTTTCGGGGTGTGGGCCGGGGTTAAACGTGAGTTTAGATTTTAATTTTTTAAAATTTATAAAATTAATAACCATGGAAATTTAAATTCCAGTGCAAAACAAGATAACCTACCGTCGCCGTAATTTAATAATAATCCAAAAAACCATCCGGATGTACCTCGCCAAGAAGAAGCATAAACCTCGCTACGTCGCCGTGGGGAAATTAAACTTATTGCTAAAAAGGGTTAAAGAGTGCGAGGAATCGGCGGGAAAATTGAAAAACAACGCGCAAATGCGGGGGGATGTTGAATTGGTTAAAAATGAGATTTTAAATGGGGTCAGGAGGATTAAAACCACGCCTAATTTAAGTTTAAAAGATGTTGAAAAAATAGCAAACGACGGATTAAAATCCATGGAAAATTTAGTTAAGAAAATTTCTGAGAAGATTCAACAGGAGAAAAATCAGGAGGAAATTGAAAAAGCGAGAAAGATTCAGTTGGAAATGGAGAGGGTTAGATTAGAGAAGGAAAAGGAAGAGGCGAGGAGGCTGGAGGAGGAGGCCGTTAAAAAGAGGTAATAATTACGGTATTTATTTGAAAATGGCAATTTCTACTGATCACCCCTCGTATAAAATCCCTTTCTCCCTTAATAGAAAACAAGAAATGGAGCAGAAGCGACGTGCGGAGGATTTACAACTCGCGAATTTAGAGAAATTAGCCTCAGCGAATCTGACCACCCGGCAAGCCCCTAATAATTTCCAGTCGGAAGAAGCCCAGGAGAAAAGGGACGTTGAAATGGCCTTGAGATTGGCGAGGGAGGAGGGGAGCACGGTGGACATCACGGAAAATTCTGGTGGAGGATTGAAAAGGAGCGAATTTGTTAATAAAATTAAGGAAAAGAAACATGATTTGTCGGGCTGGAAGTATTCTGAATTGAGGGATGCTATAAATACGAGTTGCGATGTGGAGTTGTTGGGGGCGTGTCGGTAGGAAATTTTATTCTTATGAATTCATACAATTTTTCATACAATTTACTAACTTTCCAGAGAGGAATTCCACCGCCGGCTAAAAGTGTACCACGCTTGGAAGGCAAAGAATTCTAATAAATCCAAGCCCCAAGTAACCACTTCTGCCGCACCAACTCCAGGGAACACAAACACCGACCCCCTCCGCGCCCCCCTGTCCGTGTACGACTACCAGAAATCCCACGCACCCACGAAACACGATAACGGGACAAGTCCAGAGAACCGTTACTTCAGAATCCCTATCAGTAAAGATAACGGGTTTAATCGGGGGCTGTGGTATGCGCACTTTGTGGGGGAGTTTATCCAGAGGCAGATGGAGGTGCAGGGTGGGGGTGGGGGGCAAGCGGGGGTGAAGAAGATGGTGGCGGGTGAGAGTTAATTTAATTTAATTAAATGGGAATTTTGAAGGAGAAATTACACATTTTTAATTGATTCGCAGGCCGAGACGACATGCAAATGTGCGAATTGAAACTGAGCGAAACGGGGCTGGCGAGGCGGCGAGGGGCGGAGATTTTAGAGTATGAATTCGAAAAGGAGTGGGGCAAGTGGGGGGATTAAATAATTTTCTTTTAGTTTTGTGGTGTGAAAATAAATGTGGTTTTATTTAGTAGTTTTTTGTGTGCGTTTTATTTGTTGATTCGAGTCTTTGTTGCGTAGTTTTTGCATGGAAATAGTGGAGTTTCTCTCTGAGGAGCTTCTCTGAAATCCGGTAGATCTCGCTCCATGGAAAATCTTTGTTCCTCATCCGTCATCCACCGGAGAGCAGAGCGTCACGCTGCAATTCACTCTCTTTCCTCCTTCACAAATGTCAATAATTCCCTAAATAACACCAATAAAATACGATAAAAAACCCTTATTTATTAATAAAAAAACAACCTCCACTTTATGACTTTCATCAATTTTTGGTATAATAATTAATAATTTTTTGGTATAAAAATTGCATTGCTCACAAAATTGGTAACTAAAAAATATGAACACAAAAAAACACTTAAACTTTACACGTATTATTATTGTTATTATTATTATTCGTTGGAGAAGTTCTTTTCAAGAGATCGTCCGCCACACCGCCGATTTGCTGCTGCTGCGGGTGCGGGGGTGGAATCTGACCGTAGTAGGTCGTCGGGGAGGGGGGTGTGGTGGAGGAGTTGGTGAGGAGGGAAGAGGCCAAAGACATGGACATTGCGGAGACGGCGTGAGTCGTGGCGTTGGCTGTTGGATTTAGAGAGAGAGATTTTTAATAAATTTCGTTAATAAATTGAAACTTTACAAGGGGAGCGTGCGGGGTGGTGTGGGTGGATTTTTTTTCGAAGAATTTTTTTCTGCTCGTGGGATATTTTGGAATTTTTGAGTGTTTTTCTAGTAATAATTAATTTTTTGAAATTTGAACGGGGAAATTTTGGAACGAAAACTACTACTTGGAATAACCCGGAAACATTAGAATTTTGCAATACTCCATTAATACTCACAAAATTCACACGCAGCACCCAAAACCCACCCCTTGTATAAATGAGGTTAATTTAGGTTGTGTGGTTTATTGATATTTTTAATAAAAATTGTTTTACAAGGGCGCGTGCGGGGTGGGGTGGGTGGATTTTGCGCGTGGGTAATTTTTGGGTAGAGTTGCAAACTTTGGATTCCAAAGTTCCAAAAGTTCCAAATCCAAATGTTTTTTTGTGAGATATTTTTTTTTTAATTTTTAACATTTTATACATAATTTTGGGACGTCGAAGTTTTATTTTTATTTTCCACGATATTCACAAAATCCACCCGGATCACCTAACGTTCACCCCTTGTACAAATCAATTTTTTTTATAATTCTCACCCAAATAACTGTAATGATGCTGTTGGTGCTGCTGCTGTTGATGGTGGTGATGGTTGTGGTGATGATAATAAGGATTGACCCCATGATGATGATGGTGATGCGCTGCCGCGACCGCCGCGGCCGTGAGCGCCGCTGCTCCATGGTGATTTTGATACATTAATTGATTGGATGGAGTTGATGATGGAGTTATGCTATTATTAGGCGACGAGGACTGTTGAGGGGCATTCGCTGGTTGTGGTTGTTGGTTATTATTTTGGGTGTAATAATCTGTAATTATTTTTAAAAATTTAAAAAACCCGCTGAAAAATTAGGACCCAATAAAAACTGACCATTGAACTGAACAAAACTGGGTAAATTGCCATTGGTTTGTAATCCTGGGGGAGGAGCGTACAAGGGTTGCAACAGGGTCAAATTGGTCGCGGTTTCTTTAGGTGGTGGGGGTAGGGGTGGAGGGGGTGGGGTCAGGGTGTGGAATGACATTCCCACGGGGGATGAGGTGGAGGGGGGGACTATTGGATTTTGAAAAAGTTAATTAAAAAAATTAAAACAAAAATTTTAAACCCTCCCGCCACCAATTTTTGCTTAGCGTTACGAACCCAGAAAAGCGGTTAATTTAAAAAATCAAATTACCTTGTTGATAGTTCATCTCATAAATAGAATCACCATGGAAATTATTTTCACTGTTGTTGTTGTTAAACACTTCGTCCTTCCATTTTGCCAGGTTGGCGAGTTGGTGTTGTTGATGGTGGGGGTGGGGTGGGGGGTGGGGAGGGGGTTGCTGCGGGGGTGGGTGGGGTGGCGGCCAGCAGGTCAGGGGCTGTGGATTTAATTTTATTTTAGTAATTGGTTTCGGTAATGGAAATTAATATTGTTTCCGGTAATTAAGAGGTTAATTAAACTCACGTTGTAAACGCTGTCGACGACGAATCGCTGGCGTTTTAATAATAATTCTTCTTCCGATTCAATTGGTTGGTTTGTGGAGTTGTTGTTGTGAGGGGAGGAGGATGAAGTGTTGGTCGGTGGGGGGCGGAGGGGGTCGGCTGTAAGAGAGAAAATATAATTTTAATATGTAAAGCTGACATTCGGTGCGTAATTTATCATGTTTTAACATAATTTGGCTGTATTTTAGTGCAGATTACATGGTTATATAACTCTCATCATTTTTCTCTTTTAGGGATAAAATCCTTGCATCACCCCCTTATTAGGAGAAAGCACGGACAACAAAAAAGTGTATGCACCCTGGCATCACCCTATCACAAAATCATATGACAAGTTGTTTTGAGCTTCCTTTTGTCAAAAGATACAATTTTAGTTAGATTTTAGATACCATTTTCACGAAAAAGGTATTGCAATGTGTAATTTCGCTATTTAAGAGTATAAGTTGCATATTATAACTTTATCCAGATTTTTTAAGGGTGAAAGTAGGATGGTTGCAATGAGGAATTTGTTAAAATCCATTTAAAATCGTGGGTGATATTGGCCAACCTTTTCGTATAAATAGAATGCCCTGGTGGTTTGTTGGGATGCCTTATGAGCAATATCACAGCAAAATGGCATGAAAACTGTTGGGGGATTGTCTCTGCACGTTTTTTACCAATTTGAGCATAAATTCCATGTCTCATGCCCTTTTTCTGTAATGTAACTTTCATCAGGATTTTTTACTGGTCGGGAATGTTTGGTGTTCAGCAAAATTTATCATGATGTGGTCGATTTAAATTTGCAATTACGAAGGAAAGGGTTAAAGGAATAACAATGCTGAATAATTCGCAATAATAAATTTGTTAAAAAATAGTCCGTGGATGGAGGTGAAAAAATATTGTCGGGGACGCATTGGACATTCCCTATTTGCCAATCTCTATCCTTGATAAGAGTTGTACTACTACATGTTTAAAATTACATAGAATTTATTATATATAGTATTACGAATTTACTTTTCTGTTATCGAGGAAATTTCATAGCATGGACTTTTACTGTTATTCGGACTTTTGCATTTATTCTAGACATTTCGCAATTAAGCATCAGTTGGTAAACATTCCTATAATGCTGCCACTACTCTTAATTTCAGCCAAGAAATTCTAATTACCATAATAACAATAAATTATGTAACACGGTGTGTATCGGATTACAACAAGAATTGAGCTAGATGGGGATTTGTGTTGTGAAGGAGTACACATTTTTCTATTAAAAAATGTCCCAAACATTGACAGAATTTAGTATTTTATGCATATTATCCCTGTTTTTATTATCAAGAAAATTTTATGTCGCTCCCGTACTTTGTCAATTGTGTAGAAGGACAAAGCTTGTGCAAGTGTTTGAATCTCAAAAATTCGCATGTGTCACAGTAAAAATCTTATGAAAACTATTGGTGACTAAACACGTTTCATGATGCATTTTTTCTTGTAAAAAAATTACATGAGAATCTACTCTTCTGTTATCAAAAGGGGTAATAAAAAATGAAGACTTTAACTCGGTTTTTTGTATAACTTTGTTAAGCATGCAACAATTATTGGGCCCGCAGGGTTTGTAAACATTCAGTTGACTCTGCTGTTTAATAAACTCCCACTACACGCATAAATTTTAAAAAAATCCTTAAACAAATTCTAATCACCCCGTCTACAACCACTTCCAATATAATTTTGTTTACCCGAAAAAAAGGTGAAAGTCAAGGGTGAAAACTATATACAAACTAATCAATCTAAACATTTGGTAAATTTTGCATAAGCGGAGGAAGAGGAGGGGAGTGTGTTGTGTGTAACTAGTGGGCGTCTATGCAAACAACGTGTATGTAAAAGTCAATGTGTGTAAATATTTCCGTGCAAGTACATTTCCCTGTTTAATAACAAAATTCCCAAAATGAAAATACTTTCCCCGAATAATTTTCTGCAGATTTTTTTTTCTTTACAATCTCGATTCTACTAACCAAAAATTCCTCCCCTCCCCTCTCTCTGAAAACAGCGTCCCCCCGCATACATCCTCTCTCTCTCTAAATTCCACTCTATATCTCTCCTTCTACCTCCTTCTCCTTCTACCTCCTCTCAAAACCAAACCAACTCCCAAAAACTACTCCTCCGAAAATCCCCACCCGCATCTCATAACTCCACTACTCTCGTATGGCGTAACTAAAAAAGAACAATTCCTCCGTATACACTCGCCTCCCCAAAAAAGAATCTCCCAGCCAGCCTTTCCTCCACATCCACCAAGAATCTCCTCTCCTAGATCGGAAGAGAAGAAGGGCGTTCCACTCGAACAACTCCTTGGCAAAGACTTGTACATTACATCAGAGAGATGCGCTTTTATAAATCTCTCCCTCTCCCTCCGCGTTATACAGAGAAACTGGGAGTTGGAATCACATCCTCTATTTTATATATAAGATAAAAAGGAGGGTCCAACCACGACCATTTCCACTCCTCTCTCACAGTCCCTCCGTCTCTCTCTCTCAGTCATCACAGATTTTGCTGTGCTGCTCTTTTGTTATTAACCTTTTCGCTCCCCTTCCCCCTCTCGCTTTTTATAATAATGCACTCATCACGAGATTGACTCCTCTCTGGAGAGGAGGGAATCACATATGTCGCAGAGAGATTATTGTCATACGATTTTGATTGTAATCTCCACTCGTTGAGTGGTCATTTGTCAGTGGAGAGTGAGTTTTAGATTAAGGGATTTTTTTATTAAAGGGGGCGGTGTGAGATTTCATGAGAGTCGGGTTTAATATGACCAATTTTGAGCTACTTTCTCTCTCTTATAAAACGTGAATTTTTAAGTTTAAAACTACACAAATTAAAAATTCAACTCACCTTTAAACTTCCTCTTATTATTATTACTATTCCCCCCACCACTTTGATTCTCCACTTGCTGGTCACTATTCCCACCACCCCCACCACCCCCATTGATCCCCAGGATCCCATTGATCGAGTAACTCGGCCTACTACTAATCGGCTGCACATTATGATTATTATTCTCCTGTTGTGTCTGCGACACGGGGCTCAAGCTCCCACTGGAAGGAAGTTGTTGATGAGAATGATGTTGATGTTTTGCTTTCTCGGCCGCCTTATTTCGGACGATCCTAGAAAATCGATTAAAATGACGCCCTCTTACCAAATATTAGCATAATGGAGAGAGAGTCATAATTTTCTAAGTGCTTTTTTTGTATGGTCTCTCTCGAGGGTTGAGAGAAATGAAATTAAGTCATCTCTCAGAGTATTAAAAGCATCTGCTTTTATTAAGAATAGAGTGGAATTAAGAAGGGAATTAAGGGAGACAAAATCCAATTTATTATTTGTCCCATTTGTTCGGGTTCATAAAATTGGTTTAATAAAGGTTATTAATGGGTGGTAATTTCATAATTTTGCATAAGGACTGGGGAATTTTGGATTTGGAGAGAGAGAGTGGGGATTGAGATTGAGTTATAAATTTTGGAATCTCTCGAGGGACGCGGAGTAAAATAAAAAAAAGTTCTGTGACAGAATAAAATTTAGTACCGATCAATTCGTGATTTATTGGAGGAGTTTTTTCTTTTGGAGAAGTTGACAAAATTTATGGGAAAGCGACTTTATATAGAGGGTATTCATTATTTCTTCGTATCCTTAGTATTCTTCGTATCGTAAAATACTTACGACGCTTACGAGATTTTGTAAGCGTCGTAAGATTTTCTCATCGAAAATCACGTTACTACGCTTACGATTTTTACTAAACCTGACCCCTTGTTTTTTCTTCGTAAACTATTTTACGATACTACGGATACGAAGAAATAATGAATACCCTCATAAAGAGTAAAGCGAAATAAAGAGAGAAATACCGATTAATGGAGCTGACGGAGGGCACATTGTCCTGCGAGCAGATTCCTTCAGCCAATAACCTATCGCGGATTTCCCAGGCAAACATTGTCGGGTTTTCACGTTTGTAATTCGCTATTGCATCCACGACCAGGGGGGTGGCCACTTTGGGTTTGGAGCCACCGATCACCCCGGCTTTGAAGGAGCCCGTTTCGTAGTATCTAAAGGAAAGGGGGGGTGAATAATTAAATGTGATTTTGGTGTGGAATTTCAGAAGACTTTTTTTTAATTGTGTGGAGAAATTTCATAACAATTTGCATGGAAAAGTAAACAAAAGTTGGGTGGAATTTTTGCATGGAAATTTGTTGGGTGGAGGTGTTTTTGCAGGGGAATGTTTAATGGGAATTTCATATATTCTACAAGTGAAATCATGGAACTTTCCGCGTATTTGTCTGCGTAGATTGATCTGCGGATTTTGTAAAATTATCAACAAAATTGGTGTTAAACAAGTGATTACATGGAAAAATATCTCTGAAATTTGCAAATTGAACAAAAATTGAACAAATTTTTTTGCATGGAAATGTTTGAACGAGAATTTCATATTCCATTTCTCCAAGTAAATCAAAACTCGTCGTATAAAAGTGCGTGTGCGGTCGTCTCTTCATCATCTCTTCCCACCCAACAAAGGCCACCATTGTTCCCAAAAGCCGAAATTTTCATAAATCAGCCTCTTTGTTCATGGAAATGTATCTCCCCATAAAAATGTGTCCACCACATGTGTGTGTGTAAATGACACAAAAATTCCATTGAGTTACACTTACCTGCTGAGAATCTTGCTGACGCAGCCATGGCTGACTCTGAGTTGTCTGGAAATGTCGCAGGGCCGGACTCCGTTGTGAGCCAGCTCCACGATCCTCTGCCGCACCACGTCGGGCAGGGGACGACCGTTCACAAACACCCCGCCGAGCTGGTTCACGCCGCCGTGACCTGTGGATTAATAGGGAAAGGTTTATTAGTAAATTGGGAATTTGTGTGTGGATTATAATCGGGGAATTGTAAGTTTTATTTAAGAAAACTCGTCGCAATTTGTAAGAAGGGGTTTGTAGAATCCCTGAATTTATAATTTTTGACGTGTCAATTTATGAATCCCCTCGGAATTAACAGTGTCGAGATGATGACTTTTGACGGTGGTGGTGGGATTTGCAGAGGATTTATGGATGTAAATTACGTGGTAAATCCTCAAAATTAATGGAATTGGATTAATTTGTGGATTAATCCAGGGTTTTTTAAAGAGAAAGTCTGAATATTTTTAATAACAACTCTCTCAATTTATGTTTTGTGACTTTTGAGGGTGGAATTTGCATGGTGGATTCATGGTTTATAAATTATGTGAAGGGATTAATAACTTTGTCCTTGATATTAATGTGAAAGGATTAATTTGCATCCCGGAATTACTCCAGAGTTTTTAAGAGAAAGAGAGAAAGTCTGAACATTTGTCGTAATAACTCTCTCTTGCAAAATATGAAAACCCATGTCGAATCAATTTCCTCTCAAACTCCAGAGTCACAACCACACGGAGAGAACATGTGAATCCAATTTAAGGCCGCGTGCTGGTGGTGTGTCCGGTTATCGAAAAGTATCAGAATTGAGGATTATGTTGTTGTCGTGGTAGTAGCAGAGAGAGATCAGTGGTTCTGGGAGATGATATGCAGGGGGAGAGAGGAGGGAGAGAGAGATTTTTAGTGTATTACACTGATTTACAGGGTTTTGATTAATGTGTGTGGATGCGGAGTGATTTTTTGATGGGATTTATAGGGGATTTAAATGAGTGGTAGTAGTGTTTTTTTTCGGTGGTAATTTGATGTTGGAGAGTAGTTTGTGGAGGTTGTGAATTTTTAAAATCGGTTTGGTGTAAAATGGGTTTTGGTATTATACACCGCTTTATTGACTTGTTTTTCTTTAATAAATCCAATGAAATTTACGAAATTTGTTAGGGAATTTCGATGAAAATCTCAAAGAATCTGATTTTATAAGCCCTTCAAATTCCCTTCAAGTTTTGTTACGATGATTTTTTTTGGTGGTTACATAAATCTGGGTCTGATTTTAGTGGTCGTTTGAGTGCGTTTGCTATTTTAATGTTTAAATCGGTGTCGTTTAAAATGATTTTGGTTAATAAATCCGCCGCTTTAATAAAAACTTGCTTCTTAATAACGCGAGACTGAAATTGAGTGGTAGTACTGAAACTGATAATTTGTTAATGAAAATCTAAGGATCCAATTTCATGAATCCCTACAGTGAAATACTTTTAATCTAATTTAGACTTTTCCTACCACTCCAAAATCCCCCTTTTTTCTACACAAAAATACCCACCACCCCCCATTTAAAAAAATCCCCTCTAAAAAAAACCTAACAGTACACAGTCTCTCCTTCATCCACACCAATTTTCCCACACACACACACACAAATTCACACCACATAACAATTCCGCACAAAAAAACTCTACAGCTCTGAACGTTCCGCTTGATTGGAAAAGATTGGTTACGATTTTTTCTCTCTCTTGAATTTTTATTATAAAGCGCAGTGTGATTTTTGTGAATGGCTGCTGCAAAAATTAGGGACGGATTTGGAGTGTGGAATTTGGTGGAATTTTTCAGGCGTGTGAACAATCGGAAGAGATTCACACACAGGGAAAATTTAGACAAAATCTTGTAAAATTCACTTTAAAATTACTTTACACGAATAATCTTACAAGTGTAATATTCCATCATGTTTTGGTTGTAGCGATACGCCGTCGTCAAATCCATTGGATTATCTCTCTGCTTATTTTTTAATATTTTATATGGGAACTTTCACTCTTTCACTATTTTTACTTAATCTGAAAACAAAACGGAAATCTTCCTCCTGAACCCGAATCTGGAAGCCAACTAAAGGCAAGTAAAACCCCGTGAAATGAGAACACCCCGAAAAACGGATTTGGAGAGAGAGAGCGGAGGCGGAGCGAGGATGGGGAAGGACACGCCCGGGTGGAGCGAGAGAAAGTTACAGGGGGGAGGGGCCTTCAGGAGAGTGTGTGTATGGGAAAATGTGTGGAATTCGGAGTTTAAATTAAGATTTTAAGAGATTAAGTGGCGATTTTGAAGAGATTTTTAAACAGATTTTAAGAGAGAGATTATTCCCGTTTAAGAGTATTTACAGGATCGACTAAGCAATGAAGTGGACAAAGTTGACCTTTTTTTTGGAGAGTCTCTCTCTCTCTCGAAGCATCTGCTGATGATGACCGATTTGAATGGAGTGTGTTTAACAAGTCAATTCCGTGCATTTGATAAACTCTCCAGAGTCTTTTGTATTACTAGGAAAAAGGTGTTTGCGAGAAGAGAGCATTGATACAGTGGACCCTTTGGAAGAGAAGTGTGTCATTTAGTGAAGTAGAGACTGGAGGGGGACTGGAGAGAGTCAATGAAAAGAAGGGTCTCTCTCTTCATCTATTTTTCGGTGGAGAGAAATAGCAGCAGCAGTGGGAGCATGAGCATGAGCAACAACATCATCATTGGGAATAAAGGTTCCATTGACAAAAATGTGCGTATATAGAGGAAGTGCAGCGATATATGGAGAGAGGAGAGTGGAGCTGCTGCCCATCCATCCGATCCTGGTCACAAGTGAGTAACTCTTTTTATTATTAATAGCAAATTTCCAAACGATTGACAGACCGTGGAGCAAGGCCTTGACATTTTTTGCACAGCGGAGAGGATGAGTGGATGAGTGGGTGCAGTTTTTTTATGTGTGTGTAGTGTGTGTGTTTGTTTAATGGGTGCTTTTTTTTGGAGGGTGATTTTTGGATTAGATAATTATTGGTTTCATAATTGTTGAGATTAGATTTAAGGATGAATTGGTGGTGAAAGTGCAGAATGAGAGTTAAGATTTAAGGAGAGTCCAAGGGGCAGGGTGAGATGCGCTCTCTCAGCTCTGACACTGAGCTTCACTGACAGAGTCTCACCTTGCCTCCACTCCACTCTCCACTCAACTCATCCGCTCATCTCTCCTTGCACTTTCTCTCATTCTCCACTTTCTCTCCCTTTCACCTTAAGCTTTCACCCAATCCATCTTCACCACCGCCATCTACCCACCAACCTCTCTTTCAAACCTCACATCTCCTCCCCCCTCATGAATCATCTCTCATAAGCCATAAACCCATCACAACTCCATAAATAAACCCTTGTTGACATCTCTAATTATCTAATTTCTGCCCACTTTTTTAGCCGTAAAGATTTTAGTGCTAATCAGTTTTGAGAGTCAGAGGCTTTAATGGGACTTTGAGACAGAGGCTTTTTATTTTTTAGAGGGGGTGGATGTAGCTTTTAATTTAGTTTTTGCCAAGGGGGTGTGTAAATCTCTGTGAATCTCATGGAAATATTTTAACCAGAAATTTTAAGTAGAAATATTAAACTCATTGTTTAATCCAACTTTCAGGAAATTCCACCCAAACTCCAAGACCCACCAGGACGAAAAATCCAAGAATGACTCTTGCTTTTTCCCTCTACTCTCTTCCCTCAAAAGAATTTGTATAAAATAAAGACTCCTTTATTCTTTTCCACATCTTCCACTGCTCCAATTCCTCAAATCTTCTTCTCCTCAAATCCATCCACCTACGCTAATAAAAATCAGAGAAAATCCTCTCATCAAATTCCCACGATCGAAGTCGATCCTCTCGAATCAATCCACCGTCATTGTCACTCCTAGATCGACACATCGGCAGATATGCAAAGTGGATAAAAATAGCCGAGAGTAGTGGCTCTACACCGGATGTAATCAAGTGGAGAGAGATTTTTTGTCTGTGTAGAGAGTGGAATAAAAAGAGCAACAGGTAGTTGGAACACCACAGGATGTTGGGCATCCTCTCTCTACGACTGCTACACTATTTTGTCCAGTACAGAAAAGCAGGTGGATGCGTCGGTGATGGTGTGGTTTCCGGTTTTTATTATTATCAATTTTTTTTTACTTACTTCCACTCGGTCCACCACCTCCACCACCCCCATTATTTCCCCCACCGTTATCATCGTACTCCTCGTTATCTTGATACTCCTCGAGCATGATTTGTTGGAGGTCCGAGGTGGGTCCACCAGGGGGCTGTTGTCCAGTGGGGAGCATCATTTCTGTGAATTACGTGATTTTATCGGGGTTAGAGGGATTTTTTAACATGTTTTTAGCGTGGTGTTAGTGGTGTGAGAGTGTAAGAATGTGTGTATTTAGTGGGCCATATGTCACTTTTACTCTTTTTTTTATGGAGAATTTTTTGAATAGAATTAGAGAGGAGAGAGGAGAGATTTTGCGTCAGGTGGTTCGTGTTTTTTCTGCTGGATAAGAAGAGTGTGGTGTGTGGGATAGTGTCATTGACGTGGTGCAGGGGGGGATAGATTTTTGGGGATTTTTAAGGGAATTTTTAGAGTTAAGAGAGAAATCAAGGTGTTTTTACTTTTTTTTGGGAATTTTGGGAGAGTGGGATTTTGGAGAAGGTAGTGCATTTTTTTAAATGGGATTTGAGGCGAATTTACGATAAATAGCTAAAGTAAATGGGTGATAATTTAAGTGTAATTTCAGGGAAAGTTGATAATATATCAAGCCATGTAAACTAAACTAAAAAGTAACGAAAAAACTTACAAAATTTCCATGCAAAACTTCTCAAAACGACCACGAGAGAATAACACACACAAAACACGAAAAACACACACCAACACACGGACACAAACCACACCCACTATAAATTTTTAATAAATAAACTCAACACTGATTAGCAGCATGACTATTTAAAAAAATAAATAAAATAAAGCTAAAACTAAAACATGTCTAAAAATAGATTGCACATTATTCGTTGCGTTATATGATTTCGTTGTTGTCTGTCCCGATGCGGAGGTGGGCGAGGAATGAGATGAGAGTTTGGACGAGTCAGTGTGGTGAGAGAGAGAGGGTGGAAAAAAGTTGGTAGCTCAGAACAGTAGTAGTGAAGATAAAGGGTTGCTTTCGTATCTGCCGTAAATGGGGTTGGATTTTTTGGGCAGGTGCACCAGCAGCAGCAGCACGAGATGCATGGGAAAAGTTGAGATTTTTTGAGATTGAGACTGAGGTAGAGTGAGACTATTCAGTGGTGAAAGGTGCAGGGATGAATTAGTAGTCATAACCTGATTGGAAATTGTTGTCACCATGGAGAAAGTCTAGGTGCCTTGGTTTTTACGTAATTTTTATTTCATATCCATGTTTTTCATAAGAATTTCCCCTAAATTCCTATAAATCCCTCGATAAAACCCACCTAATTAACAAGCATATTCCCCTAAATTCCCTAAAAACACTAGCAAAAATCCCTCTCCATTTAATACAAATAAACAAATTACCCCCACACCACACCACCACCCACACACAAAACCTGTTGCTACAAAAAACACCCTCCCCGCGCGCACCTGCCCAACAAATACACAACGCGTAATTACTTCCGTTTCATGAATTAACTTTTTTCCTTCCCTTCTCATTCTGCGTGTTTCCTTAAAAACATTTTGAGCAGGTGGAAAATGAAATCTCGGCGCTTTTAAACGAGAAAGACGTTGTTAAGGAATTTTCAGCGTGGTCATTTTAATGCACACATTACATTTCATAAGTCCACTTTGTATCCATCCCTCAATACAAAACCCACTAAAAAACACTGAATAATTCACCACCACGTTGAAATTTCAGACCAAAGAAAAGGTCAAAAGCATATTACTTAAAAAGAGAAGAAGAAGAGAGGATAGGATTTCTTGGTTGACCACCCATCCATGAATTTTAAACCATTAATAAAAGTTTTTTTAAGAGAAGAAGAAGAGTAAAGGAATTATTCGGCACGCGACTCCTCGCGTTGCACCTGCTCGAGGAGTGTTTTTCTTTATATTATTTTGGATGATGAGATGGTAGTAGTTGTGGCACGAGCCGGGGATGTTTAGCTATTTTTTTTGGATGGTAATTTGGTGAGAGGAGAAGAGGAGAAGAGGAGCAGGTGGAATTTATTAACAGGAGTAGAGAGAAGAGACGAGAGTTATGGAGGAGTTTTGAGGAAGGGAGATGATGAAGATGAAGAAGATGAAGGAAAGGAGAGGAAGTGTGCTTCGGTGGGTTTTAACTGAGAGAGAGAGATTTTTAGAGGCAGGTGTTTTCGTAGGGGATTTAGGAAGAGGTGGAGAGGGTGGGTTGGGAGGGGGGAGGATTTTTTAAAATTTTTATTTGGGGAGGGTTGAGGAGGAGGAGAGAGAAAGGTGACTTTCTTTAAAAGGAAATTGGTGAGAAATTAGTCAGAAGAGTCGGAAATTATGGAAGGGTTTTAGTGGATTTCAGGATTTAAATTCGGGTTAAACAGGGAATGAATGGGAAATCGTCCTATTAACACGGGGATTTTTTTAAAAGAAATTTAGAGATTTTTAATGGGAGAGAGAAAGCCGGATTTTCTTAAAGGATTTTTGTTAACAGGGTTGAGGGTTAAATTCCGGTTTTAAAAGCGCATCGACCATTTAGATTTTTGGGCAGGTGTTTTTATTAATTAAGAGGAAGGTTAAAACAACTTTTGAGATTTTGGGGAGGGCGAGATTCTTCAGGGAGAAAGGGTTTGAGGAGAAAGCCGCAGGTTAAGTTAAGGAAATTGATTGGGAATTTGTGATTTTTTAACGGAATTTAGAGAGGATTTTAAATTCTGTTTTTAAACGCGGATCCACTAAAATGAATGTGATTTCAATGGACTATTTTAGTGAATGGCAGAGTTTTAAGATGCGAATGTAAATAATTGATTATTCTTTTAATTGGTGAAAGGAGTTAGTAAATTTTATGGGTATGAACGAAAAATGGGATACGTGCACAAATGCACAAAGGGAAGTGCGAATTGCACATAGAATTTCTGTATTAAGAAATGCGAATGGAATTTCAGGGAATTGTAATTCTTTGTAATTGTTCAAGGGAGTTTAAAATTCCAGAAAATGGAAAGCGGAAAATGAATGAGAAATGAGTGGATTTAATGAAACTCATAGTAAAAAAAATAATTTTTAACAACAATTTTGAGACTTTGTGTGGTGAGATTTTTTTAATGGGGGAGAGAGAAAGGTGCTTTAACCTTTAGGATCCCATTTATAAAATGTTGTCAAGAAAAATCGTATCACTAAGTCCCTAATTAATTTCCAATTAAATATCCTTCAGGCCCGAATAAATGTCAGTAAATTGTCCTCACGCACCCAAGCTGATGAATCTTTTCCGACCACACGGACCCGAATTTTATTTTCAAGAAAAAACCAACAGAATATGTTCGTATTATCACATGCAACGATATTTAAGAAAAACTACTACGATTCATGAGTAAACATAATTATGAAAAATATTTAATTTAAATGGGTGGCAAAGATGATTCGTCCGAAAATTGAGCACCAGTGAGCAGATTTCCATCTTCATCAAATACTACGATTTCATGATTAGGACTTAAAATAAATTGAACTGCATTTGGGCCCAGAGTATCAATGTCTTCGGGAAGTCGTGGTTGCGATATTTGAGTGTGGGGCTGACTCTGCGTATTTTGTGGAGTGGTTGAGATTTTCTACAATGTTCCATTTTTATCTAAGTGTTTGACAGCAATATGGTGACAAGGTTTCAATCGAACTGGAAAGGCTGGATTTTCAGTTCGTGGTACTGTTGGAGGTCTTCCAATTGGTTTCTTGAGGGTTGGATATTTTTCTTGAATTTCTTGAATTGAATTTGATATTTTTCGTGGACTGGGATCCTAAAGGTTAAAGGTGCGTATATATGGAAATGCGATTGAGAATTGGTTTTAATTGAGAGAATTAAATTCTTGACTTGGTTTTAAGTTTTAATGGAGTTGAGGTTTTAATAAGCGCCGAAAGCACTGATGGAAAATGAATGCGTGGAACTCGTAGGGTTTTTTAAATAAATTGAGAAATTGGTGAGATTTTTAATGGGAGAAAGGAAGAGAGTTTTTCAATAAATTAAATTATTATTAACAGAGATTAGGCTTTAAATTCTGTTTAAACGCTTCTCCTCCAGGAAATGAATGCAGGCGTGGGTTTAAGGAAACTCTTGTGATTTTAGTAAATAAAATATTTGGGGGCGTGATGATGATGTGAAATGAGGTATAAAATCTAAAGACTACAATTTGAGAAATGTGTGAAATTAGGAAATTGAAATTAGTTAGAAATTGCTTGATTTTAGTCAAAGGCGAGGTGATTTTAAGCAACTTTTAATCGAAATTTAGTATTTCGGAGTTTCATTTTTGCCATTTTTTAGCGTGCCATTATTTTGTGCCAAAATTATGCCAATTTTGTGCCAATTTTCGATTGTTCTTTTGGCACGCCAATTTAGTGCCTTGCAAAAGGGCCTTGAACTGCTTCGATATGAAATCGACGCCGATTAAAAGAATACACTCCACAAAAAGCTTGGAATATTTTGGGGGTATTCACGTCACTCGCAACACTTTGGGGATAATTTTTTTCGCTAATTTTTGATTCCCATTTTCAGTCCGAGGCAGGGCTTATGTAGTCGTCGTGTCTGTCCGTCTGTTGCGATAACTAATCGGCTTGAAATTTTGAAAAAAAACCAAGCCTGACTCGGGCTAAAGTCTGCACTGTATTTTAAAAACTCCCCGTGAATACCCCTAATAGCCAACCTCTAACCCATCCACCCACACACCTCACACCCAATTAAAAACCCACACCCCTTTATCATTACTCCCCCTCCCCCTCAAAAAAACCTCTTAATCCATAAAAACACCCATTTCTCCATCCACAAAAAATTTATTTAAGAATAATAATAATAACGAAACCATAACAACAATTTATCATATAATATAAAAGATTCATTCCTCCCACCTTACGCGCGCCACCCACCCGTTAATTAAAAACAGAGTAAACCCTACAAAACGACGCACCTCATGCCCTGTAGCCAGCCCTTCATCCCCTGGAACCCCCCGCCCCCCTGCCCCCGCCTTTGCTTAATACGACATTGTTGGAATTATTGTTCAACTGCTGACGGCCGCCGGAATTGCTCTGCTGCTGCTCCAGTTTCTTGTCGATATGCGATTTTATGTCACGTGACAGGATGTAAAAGGACTCTTCAACGTTGTAGGAGGCTTTCGCAGAGGTTTCCAGGAATCTATGGAAAATAGTAAGGTTGCCATGGTTACGATATTTTGTTTGGATATAAAATAATATAAAATAGTAGCCCGAATCAGGGCTTATTTGATTGGAGTCTGTCTGATTTAAAAGTTGGTGGTTTTTCAGGTGAAATTCGGTGGATTTAGTCGAAATTACGGTTCGGGCTGTGCGAAGTTTTGATTAATAATCACCACAGTTTCAAAAAACCACGGTGATTCGACCGACCTTCGTGGTTGGAAATAAACGTTTTTATAAAGCCCGAGTCAGGAGGTGGTGGGCTTATGTGACCCGTGTCTGTCTATCGGATTAAGGTCGTATAAAACTTGTATTGGCTTGAAATTTGGTGCACACGTTAAGGGGTTAAGTTCGAAGATGGGCAAAATCAGGGATAAGTGGGTGGTGAGACCCGTGTGGGGTGGTTAATAATAGTAGTCGGACAAAAAAGTTGGACTTTTTGCTTTGCTCCTGACTCGGGCTAAACGAAGTCATCTGCACTGTAGCTATTTTTTTTTTGGAAACCATCTGGTTCGGGCTGTGCGAAGGACTAAATAACCACGGAAACCACGTCCACCCACCTGATGCCATACTCCACGGCGAGCTGTTCCCCTCTTTCTTTGGAGACTGCCCTCTTGTCGTTCATGTCGCATTTGTTGCCCAGGATCATTTTTTGCACGTCGGGGGCTGCAAATTATTATATTTATTCCCCACATAAAACAAAGAAAAATCCCCATGGAAACAGTCCTCACCGGCATGCTCCTCAATGTTCCTGATCCAGTTCTTAATGTTTTCAAAGCTCTTTTCATTCGTTATGTCGTAAACGAGCATGATCCCCATGGCGCCGCGGTAATAGGCCGTTGTTATGGTGCGGAATCGCTCCTGGCCCGCGGTGTCCCTGTGTTAGTTAAAATTGGGGGATTTACACTAAAAATAGTGGTATTTCTTGTGAATTAAAGCAATTTCCACACTCACCAAATCTGCAATTTGATCTTCTTCCCGTCGAGTTCTATCGTGCGGATTTTGAAGTCGATCCCTGTGGATTAATTTATTAATCAGTCAGTTAATTAACTAAAATAAAGTAAAACTCACCAATGGTTGAGATAAACGTCGAGTTGAACGCATCTTCTGAGAATCTGAAAAGGACGCAGGTTTTTCCCACCCCGGAGTCGCCGATTAAGAGCAATTTAAATAAATAGTCGTACGCTTTCGTCATTTTTTTAGTTTTTAATTAGTTTTCAGTCTATTTTTTGTGTTGGTGGAGAGTATTTTGCGAGGAAAGATGAGTGTGTTTTGGTTGTCAATTTTTTTTGTATTAAGTGGAGAAGTGAAGTGTGGTTGGGGTGGGGGGTGGTAGGTGGCGCCGGGGTTGTGAGGAGTGGGGTGAGGTGAGATTTTGAGATTTTGTTGAGATTTTTTGGGATTTTTTTATAAGGTTTACGCAGGATTTTTATGGGGGTTACGAAAAAAATTGGTGACTAGGAATTTGTGGAGTTTGCGAAGTTACGAAAAAAATTATAAAGTTTACAAATTTTTTTCATTAAATTACGAAAATTTTTTATGAAGTTGCGAATAGTTAAGGTGAGATTTTTTTAGGTTTACGCAATATTTTATGGAGTTTACAAAAAAAATTGGTGACCAAAAATTTATAAAGTTTACGAAATTAAGAAAAAATTATGAAGTTTACAAAAAAATTTATGAAATTACGAAAGATTTTACAAAGTTGCGAATAATTTTACGAAGTTTACAAGTGATTTTTAGAAAGTTTACAAAATTGCTCACTAAAAGGATTTTATGGAGTATACGAAAAATTTCTTTACGAAATTACGAAGATTTTTTTATGAAATTACGAAAATTTTTTATGAAGTTGCGAATAATTTTTGTGAAGTTTACGAATTTTTTTTATGAAGTTGAGAATAATTTTAGTTTACAATTTTATGAAGTTTACGAATGTTTTTTATGAAGTTTACAAAAAATTGCTGGATAAAAATATATGGATTTCATAAAATTACGAATAATTTTTATGAGGTTTACGACAATATTTATGAAATTACAACTAATTTATCAAATTACGAATGATTTTATGAAGTTACGAAACTTTTATAAAGTTTACGAATTTTTATGAAGTTTACGAATAATTGGAACTTTATGAATGTCATGTTTTCATACAGTTTACTTGTAAAGTTTACGAACAATTTTATAAAATTACAAAAACCGGCGTAAGATCATGTGAGGGTACGAATAATTTTATGAAATTGCGAAAATTTTATGAGGTGTACGCATATTTTTTTTACGAAGTTTACGAATGTTTTATGGGTCTTTTATGGAGTTGCGAATAATTTTACGAATGTGAAATTGCGAATGTTTTACAAAGCTACGAAAATTTTACGAGGTTTACAATTTTACAAAATTACAAAAACCGGCGTGAAGTGATTATGCAAGATTTATGAAATTGCGAAAATATTTTATGAAATTACGAAAAATCTTTACGAGGTTTACGAAAAAAAATCTTATGAAATCACGAATAAATTACACACACCAAATTCCAAAAAAAAACAAAAATTTATTTCAAATACCATAACAACTACACTACTCAAAACTCCCCATCCCCCCCTGTCCCCCCACTACAATTCCCCAACCTACTTTTCAACTCTTGCATCTTAACCTTTAACAGCGTCTCTTCTTTAACTAATTTCTTCTCGACCCCCCTCAGCCCCCTGACGTACTCTTCCGCCCTCTTCAAAATCTCGACTTTCGAACATTTCGGGCTTTTGGCTAAAATGGGGACCAATTTTTTCAAGTTATCGAACGAGTTGCGTAAATCTATCCTGCGCATGCGCTCCATGTTGTTGTGCGCCTTTGTCTTTTTCTTCAGGGGGAGGAGGCCCGAGGTTATCGTGGGGCTGGAGGAGGAAGTGGGGGTAGGTTCGGAATCCATTTGGTGGAGTTTCGTTAGGAGGAGGTTGGAGTGGGGGCGTTTTCGTACATTATGGTTTTGTGGGGGGTGGGTGGGGGTGGTGGGGGGATTTGTGGGGGTGGAGGGGGTGTGGCTCTTGGGGGAGTGGTATGATTGAGATGATAAGAGGGCCGTGGTGGATTGGAGGACGCCTGTTGATTAGAGAGAATATATTAGTTGCTATGGAAATATGGTAACCATGGTGATATGGTTGCCATGGCAACAACACCCGTCGCCATGGCAACAATAAAGACAAAACTCACCCTTAACACTCTCCCCCCTTCCCAACCTTATCACCTTTTTCCCCGGCCCCACTGAGGAAACGAGAAAACTCTTCTGCTGCAACGTCTTCATCAAAGATTTCAACGGCACTAAAATCTTGGTTTTCTTGGGAATATTATCAAAATTTAGTAGTTCCCCATGTGAATAAATCCCCCTTTCTTGATTTCCCCCCATCCCCCCCTGTCCAATTTCCACCCCATCGATAACCACATTTTCTTCAAGATCCTCCACTTGACAATAATTGTGGTCATTATTCAGCGCTAATCTCAAGTGTTCGAGACTGTGGGGGGACGTGGGGGGGACTTCCTCTTCTTCTTCAAATAGGAAACAGTCGTTGTTTAGTAAATCTGTGGAGGATGATGTGGAGGAATATTTCTGACGTTTCTGGGGGGGTTCCACTGGGGACGTGGGGGGTGGTTGCTGGGGGGAAAAGGGGGACGAGAAAGTTGATAAGAAATCGTTAAACTCGAACGTGTCGAAATTGTCGAGTTCTTGTTTTATGAAGGGGTAGTCCAGAGTGGGGTCGTCGTCTATGGGGTTCGAGAGGGGGGACGGGGGACGAGTTGGTGGGGGGGTGGTTGTGTCAAGGTTCGAGATTAGGGAGTCCAGGAGGGAGTTGGCCGTTATGTCGAAATTTTGGAGGCCACTGAGGGGGGGGAGGTCTGTAAATTATTTAATTATTAGTTTCCATGGTTACTTATTTATTATTTCCGTGGTTACCAAGATTAAATAAATTACCATAGTTACCAAGATAGTAACCATGGTAATTTTATGGTAACCATGGCAACAAAATTACTAAAATAACGCATAGCAACTAAAAAAAAAACTCACCCCTTAGCAACTGTTCAAATTCGACCCCCACGGGGAAAAATCCACTGATTTTCCTTTTCCTCCCTTTTTCCCCAAAATGGCCCCTTAAATCTTCAAACTCCACACCCCCCTCTTGATCCTCCTCCTCCCCCTCCTGAGGGTGTGGCAAGAGTGAAAAAATATCGTCAAACTGCAAATCTTGATGATTAAGATAATTGTCTTCTTTTTCGAGTTTAATTTTTTGTGGGGTGTTTGGGGGGGCGGGGGACCGCGGGGGGGTCGGCAGTACCAGGTGGTGGTCCATCTATAAATTTTAAAAAAAAAATAAATTCGTCAGTTTCTATGGAAACAATTTGTGAAATTAAATATTCCAGGAAGAGAGAGAAGCCGGCATATGGTGAGTCAAAAAATCACCATGACAACCGTGGCAACGCGTGTGCTTCAACGTGGAGGGGATTAGAGTGGGTTGTGAGGTGGAAGGAATTTTCTTAGGGGGTTGGATGTGGTTGGTCCCCGATGGAGTTTTTTTTAAGGTTTCCGGCCGGGGGATGGATTTTTAGGGTTAATTTGGTAGTCATGGAAACTATATTTTATTTTATTGTTTTTTTTAAATTACCTTTTTTATATATTTTCAAAAAGTTACTATAGTTACTATAGAAAAAACCAACGCGCACACTTGAAAACCGCTCCAAAAAACTGTTTTAAATCTTTATATTTTATCCGGAAACTATGGAAACCTTCTTGACAATAACCATGACAACGAAATTCGAAAAAGCTTTGAAAACTGGAGAAACGTAGTGAATTTCCAAGGAAACCGAGTGACAATATGGTTGAGAGTTGAGAAGCGACTGCAGACAAAGAAAGGAGAGAGAGAGAAAAAAGACCGGCTTCAGTGGTGAGTGAACGTGGTGGAAGAGAGAAGAGAGAGAAAGAGACGACGCGTTAGTGGATAGTGGCGGCTTTTTGGGGAGGGTATAGCGTAGAGAGTTTTCAACGAGAGTTTTATAGGTACATAGTCCGGCTATACGGACGTCTCGTTTGGGGGGCGTTGGTGGTGAGGAGTCCATTGATAGTGGTGGAGAAGGAGTACGATAACCCATAGAGCGGAGATATATAGGCAATTTTTCCATTGAACGAACGGATTGAAGGTCGTCCTGTGTGTGAGTGAGTGGAATTGTGGAGCATAGGTGGGCAAGAAGGAGGTCTGTGAATATTCAGCGGAGGTCGGTGTTATTTTTACCCTTTTTTAAGTGGAATTGGAGTATTTTAAGAATGTCCAGAATGAGTTATTTTTGGAATTGCTGGTATTTTTAGGCGTTATTGGTGGATTGGGTTGGTGGATTACGGTTTTGGTCCATCTGTTTATTTACCAGTCCTGATGACCAGGATCAACATAAATACTCTTCGATTGGAATTTCCTGTAACAGCACATTGTAAATTGGGGTCCAACGTTTGACGTCACGCCTTGGGGTGACCGTGGGACCTGGACGGAGGGCCAAAAATTAGACCGGCGAAAAATTGGGGGATTTATTATTTTTTTAGGAGGTCGGAAGAGATGTTTTGATTTCGGACGGACAGACAAGATGATCACTATGGCAGCTATGACGAGTTAATTTCAGATATTCAATATTTCATGCTTGACCCAGGGCTGATCTGCCCATCGAAATGTCCGTCTGTCCATGGTTTTTTTTTTGAAGGAAAAGTTACTAATAAGGAAGCTTTGACTCGGGCTTTTTAGGATTTAAAAATTTCAACTCCACAGAATTATGCGCTTAAGATAAGGCTCCCCCAAAAAAAACCTCAACCCACCTCCACGTCCGCCCACCCATGCTCCTCACTACCACCTTCACTAACTTTAACACCCGTCTCACATTCCCAGCCTCCTCTCCTTTTTACTATCCAATTCCTATGTCTGGCTTTTTTTTATCCTCTCTACTCGTGGTCCTCTGGAAGCAGACGCGTCGTCGGGGTGACGGTGACGGTCTGCTGTCTCGGATAAGAGATTTAGATAAGCCAGTTTGTGAATGGGCTATGCTCTGTGGAGTATTTAGTAACTTTTAATATGCCATTTTCCATAGTAACAATTCGCTCAACTTATGTAACAGACAACGCGCAGAATATTTTTTTTTCCTTTAAGCTAAATGAGCAATGTCCAGCGGTTGACCTTGGTTTTTTTGTTGTAAGAGTGTGAATTAATTAGGTCGTTGGCATGGTTGCGTAGGCTTTTTTTTTGGGAATTTATTTAGGCGAGCCCATGGGAACTTCAAAAATCTTAAGAAAAATCTTAATAATTCCCAAACCCCCCTCCCCCCACCCCCATTAAAAAAACCATGACAACCGATAAAAAAAAACCTTAACCACCCCAACAACTTTCTCAATGACAACACCCAAAAATAACCTCTTCTTAACAACAATAAAATAAATCCCCATGACAACAACGCAACCCTTTTCCCTATCATAACGGTAACACTGCAACCACCTCTTCTTCTTCTTCGCTTCTATGCAAACCAATTTAACTTGATTTTCTCGTTTCTCTCTCTCTATCACTACTTCACCAATCGCCATGGCAATGTAATAATTTCCGTTTCTTATAGCAACCACCGCGCGACGACGACGACGACGACCCACTTTTCGAAACCCACTTTAATTCTTCTCTTCTCTCTCTTGATCTTCATCTCAATCTTCACACAAATGAGTAACCATGGAAATATATATAAAATTAAAATTAAAATTCTCCATAGCAACCATAATACTCGTAGTCATGGTGATAACTGTTAGTTCCTTGGAAACGGATACGGAAGAAGACTTTATGTTAACCTGTCCACGACCGATAAAGCAGAAATTGAGATCGGGGAGGTGGTTGAGGTTGCAGGAGGAGGTCAAGAGGGGGGTGCCTTGTGACTTGGATAGCAAGGGGAGTGCCGGGTGGTGCGGAGTCCCGGGGGATAAGTATCCATGGTAACGGATTTATTTAAATTAAATTAAATTATGGTCACCAAGAGGTTAATTCCGCAGGTCCCAAGTGCGGAGGTTCGTGTCTGAAAACACGGGACTGATGAGAAGGATGTACGGGGAAGTCCGTCAATTAAACCTCATGCGCATGGAATTTTCGGATTCTAATGGGATCGAGGATTATGAAGTGGGTGACGAGGGTGGGAGGTCCCTAGAAACCAGCACGGTTGCTAAATCCGTTTCCATGACGACCGGAGGAACCACTGAAGAACCCGCGACGGAAACGGTAACCAACGCCGCGGAGGAAGAAGTAACCATGGCAACGGAGGTTTATTTCAACGACATTGAAAAGAGGAACTCTGCTGAGGTTTCCATGGAAATTAAGGAAAAGGTTTTTATGGAGGAGAAGCCGACGCTCAGGGCGGTGTGAGTTTTGGATTTTTTATATATTTTCCATGGAAACAAAAAATAAATTTATAAAAAAAACCATAGAAACGCCTGCCCTGTCCGCGAGGAGGTCGTCGCGCCGTACTGGGCGAACAACACGCGCGGGGAGATATTAGCGCTCTTGAATTTATACCCTTTCGAACAGTACGTCCACTGGGAGAAGTGTAACCAGGAGCATAAACAGATGTACTGCAGGGAGGGCTGCAGGTTTGTTACTATAGAAATTTTTTTAGTAACCATGGAAATTAAATTGAGTAACCATGGAAACAGGTGCGAACAGCAATACCGACTCCACCGCCTCCTCGCTTTCGATCCGACGAACGAATGCCGCGGGATTTTCTCGGACTGGTTCCGGTTCCCGAGTTGTTGTGAGTACTTAAATTTTTAAATTTATTTCCATGGAAACCAAAAAACTAAAATAAAATCCAATAGGCGTCTGCAAGTGCTACCTAACCGAGTTCGAGATCTCCACCCACTACTCCCGAGCGGAGGAAATAAATTCAAATTCCCGATCACCAAGGAAACATAATTTCGATTTCGATTACGACTTCGACGAGCCCGACGTGCGTGGTGTAGACCCGCATTTTTATTACAAAGAAAATCATCTATATCCTAGATAATTTCGTTACTTTTAAAAAAAAGTTGCCATGGAAATTAAATGTGTGTGCCATAATTGGTTCCTATTCCTATTTTAAAAAAAAATCTATTTATAATATATTTTTTTATAAATTGACTTCAAAAGACTAGTAAAAAAAATTTTATAAATTAAATTTTAAAAAATTAATTGCTCGTCGTCGTGGTAACGGAATTATTGGCGCTGGCTGCCGCGGCTGCGGTGGCGGCGGCGGAGGGCGTGTTGGCGACGGAATGTGAGAGTTCGTACTCGATAACTTCAGAGTAAATTAAATCCTTCCATTGATCGACCGTGTGCTCTCGCTCGTCTACGTTGTGGTCATACGGACCGGGGGAGGGCTGTAATTTATTTTTTATTTTATGTTTCCATGGAAATAAAAATCTCGGGTGTAACCATGGAAACTCACCGCATTGACTTCCGACTCGTCATACCAAACGTTGATGTACGAATGTAATAGCGCTTCATCCACGGAAATCCTACGTTCGGGATCGATCACCAGCATTCTCGAGAGTAAATCACGGGCTTGTGATGCTAGTTATGGGAATTTTAGATTAGTTTTTCACATCTTTTACTATAAAATAAGGAAGTACCTTTCAATCTGGAATGTTCGCTGGAATCGCTGGGAAAGAGAACGTCAGGGAATAAACGTTCGAAAGAGTATCCAGAATGTCTCGGTCTGTTTTCAACATAGTTTCGAACAGTTGGTTGGAGTCGGCGCATGAAATCGATTTGCGGCGTTCCGAGCTGCTCTATGATTTTATTCCATTGATCAATGTGGTCCGTCCCGGGGAATAATACGGAGCCACGGATCATTTCACCCATTATACAGCCCACGGACCAAATGTCCACGTTTTCTTTATAGCCCATTCCGAGGATGACCTGTGGGGGATGGATTACACGGGGGTTAGATAAGGTCAGAGGTACTTGGCGTGGCCCCACTCAAGATGCCCGTGATTTTAAAGAAATTTGGGACAATTCGGACACACGACAGACACAAACCACCCAGCTACACAAGCCCACCCCTCAAAACTCTCCACACAAAACAATATCCACCAACCTCGGGAGCCCGATAATACCGCGTCACGACATAAGGAGTCATCATAAAAGTCGTCCCCGCGGTCCTTGCCAGTCCGAAATCCAAAATTTTCAGCGTACAATCCGATTTCACAACGATATTGCTCGGTTTCAAATCTCGATGGATGATCCCCGCGGAGTGCAAATGTTTAATCCCGCAGAGCATTTGATAAAGTAAATAACTCATCCGCTCGTGATCCAAATCCATGTTGATCACTTGACCCAGGTTCGCGTCCATCAGCTCCATCACGAGATAGACGTCGGAGAATTCTTCAAGGGTTTTTTGGGGGGTGAAGGCGTTCAGCAGGCCGATTATCTGTTGGCATGGGAATTTTGGTTGTCATGGAAATTATTTATTTAGTTGTCATGGCAACATAATTATAGTTACGCTTACATTTTTATGACAAACTAATTTCATCAATTTAAATTCGCGGTATGCGCGCTTGGCATGCGTCACGTTTTGAAAGGGGCGTGAGAGTTTTTTTATAGCCACGTTTTGGGCGGTGTGCGTGTCGTAGGCGGAGCTATAATTTTAGAAATCTAGAATTTATTTCCATGGTTACTTAAAAAAAATTGCCATGGTTTTACAAAATTACCAAACGATCCCCTGGGCCCCTGACCCAATTGGTTTCAAATTTTGATAACGTCTTAAAATCGTAAACCTCGTATCTCCCACCTCCATCGTGTAGAAATTCGGATTGTTGATCGGTGGGGGTGGCGCTGAGGAGGAGGACCCACCAGCCGAGGTCGAGTTTTTTGATATGGGCATCTGCAAAATAGTGACAAGTTTAGGGTTAGTTGCCATGGTTACCATGGAATTAAACTTACCTTTCTCAAGTTGCCAAGGTTACCGTTTTATATAAATTGTTTCTATGGCGATTATTTTGCACAGAAAAATTTCCTTGTCAAAATTTATAACACTGCTGAGAGCTGCGGAAGGTTTAAAGTTTCGTGGTTTCCATGGAAATCCGCGTGGTGGCGGGAGTGAGGGAGGGTGGGGGGGTGGGCAGGGGTTATGTACGGTTTGAAATTTTTGGAATTTATTTTAAACACACGTTTCCATGGCAATATTGCATTTTTTTTAAATAAAATAATTTTTTTAAAATCCCCCCCGTAATCCCCGCACGCCCCCCACAAAATCCATATATACAAAATCTCCATTATTGCAGTCACGCCTTTGAGAGAGCTACACGAGTTTCTTCTTCTTCACGCCGCAGTTTCCACGGAAATTCACTCTCAAAAATTTAAAAGAAAAAAATCTCCAAGGTAACCAAAAATTTTAAATAATTTCCATGCCAACAATAATAATAAATCTCCATGCCAACTTGTAGATGGCCCCCCCCAGTTACTCCGACTTGGGAAAATCCACCCGTGACATCTTCTCAAAAGGCTACCATTTCGGTCTTTTTAAACTAAATTGCAAAGCCAGCACGGTCGGAGGGGTGGACATTTCCACGGGTGGAACACACTCCTTGGACGAAGGGAAAGTTTTTGGTGACTTGGAAACCAAGTATAAATTTCCGGCTTATGGCGTTACCTTGACGGAGAAATGGAACACGGATAATTTGCTCGTGACGGAGATCAGTTGCCAGGATAAGTTGGTGGAGGGGGGGAAGGTGGCAGTGGAGGGGGTTTTTTCACCGGATAGTGGGTAGGACTCTGTTTTTTGTGGTTTTATATAAATTATTTCCATAGAAACGGTAGAAATTTTTATTTTATTCAAAAAATCAATTTAAGCGAAGTCTTAGCAAATTGGTACAGGATTTAGCACGCCAAAAAATTTAGCACAGAAATTGGCATGAAAATTGGCGTGCTAAAAAATTAGCACACAATTGGCATAAAAAATTGGCATGAATTTTGGCACAAAAATTTAACACAAAATTTAGCACGACCAAATTTAGTTGTTCCATGACAACTATAAATAAATAAATTCCCTCTGTTTCCACAGTAAAAAATCCGGAACGCTAAAGTCCTCCTATAAATCCCCAAATGCGACGATTGACGTTGATGTTTCCGGTGGGGATGCCAAGTCGCTGTTGGTGAACGGGGCCGTTGTCCTTGGTTACCAGGGCTGGTTGGGGGGGTATCAGCTGACTTTCGATACCGTGGAGGGGGTTTTGAAGAAGAATAATTTCGCTGCGGGGTATTCCGCTGGGGATTTTCAGATCAACACCAACATGTGAGTGGGGTTACCATGGTGATTTAATTTTTGTAACCATGGCAACTAATTAAATAAATTATGTAACCATGGAGATTAAATTCGGTAACCATGACAACTAACAAAAAATCTCCACAGTGACAACGGCGAGACCTTCGCTGGATCGCTCTACCAACGAGTAAACAACCGCTTGGAGGCTGGCGTCCAACTTTCCTGGACCGCGGGGGGCGAATCCACGACCCGTTTCGGACTTGGCGCGCGCTATTTACTTGACCCATGCACCGCCGTGCGCGCCAAAGTCAACAACCAATCGCAGGTCGGACTCGGTTTCGAACAGAAATTGCGGCAGGGTGAGTTTTTAAATTATATTTAATTATCACCATGGAAACTAAAATTAATCGTTGCCATGGAAACTCTAGGAATAACCCTCACCCTCTCCACCTTTATTGACGGAAAAAACTTTAAAGCCGGCGGACACAAAATAGGACTCGCCCTGGAACTCGAGCAGTAATTTTTTTGAGTTGCCATGGAAACCTATGCGTAGTTTTTTTTTCTCTCCATTTATTTTTCCCTCGTTACTATAGTTACTTCAAAATTTAGTCAATATAAATAAATTAGTTGTCATGGTAAATAAAAAAAAAAGTCACGTGATTGTTGAATAATAAATTGCGCCCATTTTTATTTCCAATAATAGAATGATGATGAAAGAAAAGCACCCAACACAGAAAAAAATAAAACCATAGCAACCTAGAAAAAATCAAAGTTTTTTGGTTGTCAGGACCAACGGTTTGGGCTGTTCCCAGGTGAACAGGGAACGACCAAAGTGGCCGTACGAGGAGGTCGACTGGTAGATCGGGTGCCGCAGGTTGAGGTCCCTGGAATTTTTGAAATTAGCGGGGTTATTTTTTGAATTAGCGAGGGAATTTTTAGCGGGAATTTCAAAAACTCACTTGACGATCTTCCCCGGCCTCAAGTCAAAGTTGTCCTTGACGATTTTCAGTAGTTCCGACTGGGTTTTGCCCCCACTCGTCCCGTAGTCAAACACGGTGATTGACAAGGGTTCAGCGACCCCAATGGCGTAGCTGACCTGCACCAAACACCTTCGGCACACCCCCCCAGCGACCAAAGATTTCGCGACCCAGCGCGCTGCATAGGCCGCGGAGCGATCCACTTTTGTAAAGTCTTTGCCGCTAAAAGCGCCTCCGCCGTGAGCGCCCCAGCCGCCGTACGTGTCGACGATTATCTTGCGGCCCGTGAGACCGGCGTCGCCCTGGAGATTGTAGAGTATTTTTTAATTGGTAATTACTAATTCGCATGGAAATTATCGATTAAAGCATGGAAATTAGGGATTATTTTTAATTGGTGATTATTAATTAGTAATTAAATCGCTCCAAAATTACCATGGGCCCCCCGATGACGAAATTCCCGCATGGATTAATGTGAAAAATGGTCTCGTCATTCAGATATTTGGCTGGAATCACGGCGCGAATAACTTTTTCCTCGACTTCTTTGCGTAATTCTTCGAGGGAGATTTTGTCCGAGTGCTGGGTCGACACGACGATCGAGTGGACGCGGAGCGGGATGCAGGCCCCGTCCTCCAGGCGGTACTCGATGGTTACCTAAGATTTTGGAGGGAAATTTAAAAATTAGGATCAAATTTTGGAGGGAATTTTAAAAATAGGATGTAATTTTAAATAACCCGCGCTTGCGCCCACGCGCTCTAAATCAACTGACCTGCGTCTTGGTATCGGGCCTCCCCCACCAAAAAACCCCATTTCTCCTCAACTCGCTCAATTTCGCGTTGAGCTGATGGGCGAGGACGACGGTGAGCGGCATGCACTCGGCCGTCTCGTCCGTCGCGTAGCCAAACATTATTCCCTTGGTAATCACAATAGATTATTTAATTAGTTTCCATGACAACCAATTATAAAAATACTAAAAACACATTTCCATGGCAACAATATAAATCTTAAAAGTAATTTTACTTGATCCCCCGCCCCCACATTGTCGGGATCTCTGTCGACGTGGACTCCGGCCGCGATGTCCGAGGATTGTTGCTCCAGAGCAATCAGGATATTGCATGTTTTATAGTCGAACCCTGTTTATTTTTTTTATGCGTTGCTATGCGGATTTTTTTATTGGAAGTCGTCGTGGTTGCCATGGAAATTTATAACTTAAAAAAATGATTAAAAAAACCCTACTTGATCCCCTGCGCCAACGTCGTCCGCGTCGCGCGAAACGTGAACTCCGGCCGCGATATCAGGGGACTGTTCCTCAACGGCGATCAGTAAATTGCAGGTTTTGTAGTCGAAGCCTAGTATTTTTTATTTTTATTTCTATGGTGATTTTTATTTTTTTTAAATGTTTCCATGGTGAATTTTTTCTAGCTTATCGCTTAAATATTTTTTTCAGATGTTGCCATGCTAACATTTAGCAATTTCTTTGTTTTGTTTTAGCTTATCGCTTAAATATTCTTTAGCTGTTGCCATGCTTTTCTGTTGCTTAGCAATTTTTATTTCCCTTTTTTAATTTATATTTGTTTCCATAGCAAGCTCGTATATTTTTTTATTCTTTTTATTTCCATGGTTACTTTTTATGATTTTTTATAGCTGCTGTTGCGTAGCAATTTATTTCCCGCATTATATATTTTAATAACATTTTGCGAAGCCTATTATTTCCATGGTAATAAATAATTTTTTCCCGCTTATTTAACAGATATATAAATCCCGCATTATATTTTGCGAAGCCTATTTTCTTCGTAGTTTCCATGGTGATTTGTAATAAATATTTATCCCCGTAGTAACCATTCTATTTTTGCCATGCTTCTTAGTAACCTAATTCGTTGCTTAGCAATAACAATTCCCGCAATTTAATAAACACTTCCGTATAATTTAGCAAGCCTCTATCTCCACTTCCTCAATTAATTTCCATAGTAACGACACACATAGCAATAAATAAATCCCCATAGCAACCATTCCACACACACATAACACAAATTAATAATAGCTCCAAAAAATCTCACCTTTTGAGGAGTCATCGTAACCAATGTGCTTCACCGTTTCCCTGACGACCCGCTGGTAATCCACAATCGCGTTGGACGTGATTTCTCCGCAGATCAGCACCATCCCCGTCTTTGTCACCGTTTCTATGGAATTGCATTTTATTTATTTGTTATATGAGTGTTTCTATGGAATTATGTGATTTATTTTAGGTTAGGTGTTTCTATGGAATTTATTATTTTTACTGCCGTTTCTATGGAAAATTAAATACGCGGCGGTGCGTTTCCATGACGACGATGAATTCTTATCAGCGAGAAACACCAGTTGTGCAAAGAGCGAGTTGCACAATTATTGAGCAAATATAGAGTTGCACAATTTGAGAGCAGAGAAAAAGGGAGGTGAGAGGTTAAAGAATTGAATGAGAAAATTTACCACAGGCGACCTTCGCGTCCGGGTCCTGGCGGAGGTGAGCGTCCAAAATGGCGTCAGAGATTTGGTCGCACATTTTGTCTGTGAATTTAATTTAGTTTATTTTTAAGTTGGCATAGCGATTTAATTATTTTTTTTTAAATAAATTATTTCCATGGCAATAAAAAAAACAATAAACTCACCCGGGTGCCCCTCCCCCACGGACTCGCTCGTAAATAGAAACGTTTCCCCATCACCCAAGTTAATTTCCGCAGCTGCAGTGGCGGAGTGACCGTTCGTGGTGACCGGGGAGGCGTCCCCGTGACCATTCGTTTGCTGGGTTGCGGGCATTTTTTTGTGTGCGTGTGAGGGTCTGGAATTATGTTAAATTAATAATTTTATAGTAACCATAGCGACTAAAAATTAAAACAACGTGGTAAATACGCCTGCCCCAATTTAAAAAATAAAATGATGTAACATTGTTTACTCTTTAAAAATAGCACATTTTTTATAAGACTTTATACCACTTTTACAATAAATACAATTTCCCCCTTAAAACTTCCCATGGCAACGGAAAATAATTTATAAAAAAAACTCACCTTTTTTTATTTAATACAAAATCCCCGTGGTCTAGAATTAGTTTAAAAAAGTGGAGTAAAAAAAAGAGAGCGAGGAAGAGCTGCTGGCTGGCTGCACGATATTTCCAACTCAAACGAGGAGCGGACGAGGACTTCGTGTGCGAACGGGTGGTGGGGCGACTTACTGACTCAGTTTGTGTGCTGGGGAGTGGGTTATATATGAGTAGTTAATTCAGCGTGTGTGTGTAGTCAGTGAGTGGAGCAGAGGCAGAGATGGGGGAATTATTTTTTTTTTGGTGATTAGTACAAACGTTTTCTTGGACGTTATAATGTTCTTCTCTGATCATAATGTTGTAAAAATGAAAGGTGAGAAAAGACGTTTATTAAAAAACACGTTTAACGATCTTAGATCTTTTAGAGTTTATATAGCACTTTTCTAAATCCAAAACGTTTTTAAGCGACGCGCGAATAAAGACTGGAAACGTTAATAATTGTTTCTGGAAATCTCTTCAAGTTTATTTTATTTTTGATCTCCCGGGCTGAATAAAAAAACCAGCTGGGAATTGTTCAGACCTGTGAAAGGCCAGTTGCAACTACATAAATTAAGTGAGACAAGCAATAAAATGTTACTGAACGTGCTTTATTCATTTTTATTAGAACCAGCATCCGAAGGTGGCCAAGGACCTGTGAGGAGGCTCAAGAAATCAAAGATAATGAGAAAACTGGTGGACAGGAGGGAAGGGCTGAAAGCGCTGAATGAGAATGCTGAATAAAATACGGAGCCAGAAACCAAAGAGGAGTATGCTAGTGGACAGAAGGGAGGAGATTTGCTATTGTTAGTGTTACCACGTTCACACTTGTCTTTGGATAGCTGTCTGTCGGAGATGTCTTCACCTCTAAACTCCCATTTGAAAACAGCCATCAAATAACAGAATTGTAGTCGTATTAAGGTGGTCGGTTTTACAAAAATGAATGAAATTATCACTACGACAATTAAAAATTTCAACCAATCAAAAAATCGGATTTGGAGGAGGACGTGACGATGACGTGAAGCATAAACGCACATTTACTCTTACTTGCTTTCCAGGCACGGAAGATCAATTCTCCACGACACCGGGAGCTTGCTCTTCTCTCAGCCAAGATTTTAAAAGTTCCTATTTGACACCCGAGGATAAAATGTTAACCCCGTTATCAGTCAATAATAGGTGACAGCTGTATAGCTACTTGAAGGTGACCCTTATGTTGAATGTTACTTGATCATGTCACGTTGATTAATCTCCAATATTAGGGAGTTTGCATGTATACTTCCGTAAATAATTTCCGTGACGTAGCAACGTGATTCCGTAGCTTTTCACGGAAATTTTTCACGTCTTCACGTTGCGGAGGGCGACAGTTTGCATAAAAACACGCAACGTGACCCGTAGTAAGACATCCGTAATTTTTCACGTATTTACGATGTTTTCTCTGTCGCTACGTTTAAAAATCAACGTGAAAAACTAATTTTCACGGACGTTCTACGGACTCAACCATTTCTACAAAATTGGTTCAAATAATAGCGTAAATACATATACAAAATAATTCCTTAACCTTAAACAAATATTTTAACAGCTTTCTTTCGAATGTTTTAATATGTTAGGAGCAATACTATCACAATTAAGAATAATAATTTGACTTTATCTCCTCACTATTTGCATAATTAGTTATTTATTGCTTGAATTTACTTACAATGAGGAGGTGTTACGTGTTTATTTCCGATTTTGACAGGAGTAATTTTAAATTGTCACGCTCAGAAATATGCCGACCCATATTTATGCGTTTTTTTAGAATGCGCATGTTTTCGCCCGTAGCGGAATTTAAAAAAATTGGCGAACATAAGAATTTGTCAAAACGCTGTCACTTTCGAATTTTAACCCGATTTCAAAAATTATACACAGTTTGTGCTCAGAATTAGTCTGAAATTATAAAAAACCCATTTAAAAAACCGTTAATTTTCAAAAAATTAACGGTTTTGCGTTTTAAAAAAAACTTAGAAATAGCATGAAAATATTTAAAATTTTATAAAATGAATTTTTATAGTACTTCTTATCAAAAATTATGTTTGTTCAAATTCGAAAAGTGGCAGCGTTTTGAAAAATTCTGATTTTTTCAAATTCTGTAACTGGCGTAAACATTCGCATTTTGGAAAACCCCTGGATAAATTGGCGATAACCACCTCACACCTCCTCAGTGTTAGATTGACTAACAATGGGGGTCTCCTAACGCACCTATTCTTACAGATTTCTAACAAAGTATCAATCGATCAAAAATTTAACTAGTATGAAATTTGCAATATTTGCATCCGAAACGGACAAAACGTAGAGTAAAATCGGTGCATTTTGCAGATGAATTTATTAATATTAATTAAGATAAACTAATCCAAGGACTTTGGTTAACGATTTTATAATTGGGATTAATTAGTAATTAGAAAGATGTGGAAGAAGGACTGAAATTATTGAAATTAATTAGTTAACTAATTTTCTAAATGCAACTCGGATTTGGTGAAATACAATCTTTAAAAAAAGCTTAAAAATGAAAAGTGTGGGGTGCAAAGTGTCTGGTGCAACCGCCCCCAGGTTGCTTATCTCCGTCAAGTTAATGCTGGGAAGGGTTTTGAAATTTAAACAAAAACTTTTGTTGATAATTCTAAAATAATTCACAACTAAAAATTGTAAAGTAAAAATTGGAAGAATAGAAAACATAATTACGTATTTATTTATTTGTGGAATTGCAAACTATAATTCCGTAACCGTGCAACGTATAAAAAAGATGCATTTTTACGTTACGGTTTACGACACGGACGTCAATTTGCAAACTGTCACAACGCAACGTCGACGTAGTTTCAAAATCTACGGTTCTACGTCACGTTCAGGGTCCACGGAAACATTCATGCAAACTCCCTATTGTAATAGCGATTGTGAACACGTTTCCCGGGGCTACAACAAAGCAGAACACATTAATAAGCTGATTTATGCAAAATTTCTTTACTAATTCAAACCTTTCGACCAAAGCACATTCAAATTGACTCTTCCCCACCTCTAATATTAACCCAATGGTTACGTGATTTTTGGCCCCAGAAATCCCCAATTTGACGCATTAAAAAAAATCACCCGTCATAACATCTATTAAAATAAAATCTCAAATAACCACCGAAATGTGAAAAGTAATTCCCCCGCCCCTGCCGTCGCCGCCGCTTAATCAAACTACCCATTTTTTCAAGAAAAAACAATACTACAAAAAAAAATTTACAAAAAAATAATTCCCCCATCCCTGCCGCTGCCCATTTTTTCCCATTAAAACGACTCAATCTCCATGGGAACGCGCTGGAATGAGGTGATGTTTGAAGTATTAACAAATGTGAGGCAAGGTTAAAGGTGGAATTATTGAGATAGAAAAGCGATTTTTGTGCGATTTAATGCGCAATTCTCCGGTGGTTGAGCGAAGTGAGTTAAGTTTTATGGCGATTTATCCAGGTGGATGTGTGTGTTTGGAGTTGCGTCAGCAATGAAGGTGCTTTTGATGAGTGTGTGAAGGTGATGATGCGCTCGAGATTGTTCGAGATTTTTTGATTGTAAATTAATTGCTAACGCATTTTATGTAAAAGAATTTCTAATATGCAAATGTTATGACTTTCTAATGTGCATGCAGATTTTGTGCGTAATTTGATTGATGGTTTGTGTGAAGGTGAAAGTGATAAACGATTATCAAAGAGGAATTGTTATCAATGATAGCGATGCAATTTTATCAAGTTTTTCTGGGTGATTGCAAAGGAGAGAGATAGGGCAGAAATTTAGCTTAATTAATGGAATTTTTAGAGGAATTTAAAATGCGTGAATTTTTTTTTTAGAATTCACTTGTTTTAAACAACTTTTCTAATGTGTTTTATAATTGAGGAAAATTGATCGTCTTTTATAGAGAGAGAGAGAGACATGCAAAATGGGGTTATAGAATTTCGTGGTGTTTAATTGGGCGGTTAAAAACTGTTGAATATTTATGTATCTTTATAACTGCATTCGAAAATTGTTAAGCTGGGGGTGGATCATTCTCTGTTGGGATTCTGACCTCACCATGTCTGGAATGTGCAACCTAACACCGTCTGAATAACGCCTACCCCTACGTACATACCTAACCTACATGAATATGTATTCTTGCAAAACGTGATTTGTAATTTGACATTATGAGCAACTTCGCATCACCTTTGTTGGGAATTTGGTTGTATCATGTCACTTTGTTGAGAATAAGAATTGGACTATAATTAAAGCACACGTCTCCGGTTTTACGCTGTTGTAAGTCAAAACCATGGACCGTAAATTTTTACCCTCTCGTAAGACGATGAATTTAAACCATGGACCGTAAATTTGGTGTTGATAACGATGCAGAAATTTTGAGAAATTTTGATGGAATATCTGATATTTTTGAATATTTGATGTCTGATTAGTGGAATTTAGAGAACTTTTTAGTGGATGTTTAAGGTGGATTTTTAGCAGTTTAAAGGGATTTTTTAAAGGTTTTACCCGAGAGTAAGTCAAAACCATGGACCGTAAATTTTCTGGTGTGAGAGAGGTAGCTAGGATAATAAAGCTTTTAATTAAGGAAAATCGAACATATCCATCAGACATGCAAAATGCTAAAATAATTATCAGACATGCAATTTCCTTGGCAGCAGCAGAATTTTAAAATTAAGCTAAAAATACCCAATCGATTTCCATGCAAACTCGTATTTTTTTTATTTTTTTCACATATGCAATTAAATTATGACACATTTATTATCCATGGTGACCCCACCCGCCCCACCCACCGTGGTGACCGCCGCCCCCACCATTTCCTCCTCCCCCACCACCCCCGCCATGTCCCCCATGGTGATTATGATGATGATTGTGTCCATGGTTACTAAATTACATACTCAAAATTTAAACATAATAATTACCAAAATAAAAAAAACTCACCCATGGTTGCCATGCCAACCCTTCCATCCTTTATGATTATCATCATGCCAACCCTTTTTATGGTGACCATGGTTGTTGTGGTGCTTTCCGTATTTGTTGTTGTTATGGTGACCTCCGTAATATTTCTTCCCGTGGTGGTCGCCATGGTGATGCCCGTATTTTCCGTGCTTCGAGTGGTGTCCTATGGTAATTAATTTGTTATTATGTTGTCATGGAAATAATAAATTTATAAAAATATCTCCATGGAAACTCACCATCTTTATGATGAGAATCGTAAAACTTGTGATTTTTCTTGTACTCATCTTTATGGTATTTGTTATGGTAACCGGACGTGTGATGCCCTTTTTTGTGGTGGTTGTTGTGCCCGTATTTCTTGCCCCCCCAACCATGATGCCCATGGTGCTTGTTGCCATGGTGATGCCCGCCCCCGTGGTGACCCCCGTATTTCGAGGCGTGGTCCCCATGGGAACCTTTGTGGTGGCTAAAAATATGATAATTTTTTTAAATCGCCATGGAAACAAATTAAAAAAATAAATTACCCAGAATTGTGATGCCCCTTGTTGCCATGGTGATGGCCATGGTTGTTATGGCCCCCACCCCACCCTCCCCACCCACCGTGACCCCACCCACCCCAGCCCCCATGATGTCCTGCCGCCGTTTCCAAGTCATTCACAACGACGGTGAAATTCTTAAGGTTGTCATGACTACCGATTAATTCTTTTTTATTATTTCCAATTTCCTTGGAAACAACCCCCCTTTTTAATAAAATTATAAAATAAAACCATAGCAACGCGCAGAACAATTTCCGAGCCATCTTTTAAACTAAAGTTAATCAATGAAGATCAGCTTTATTTATACTAAAACTTTCTTAAATGGTTGCCATGGTTACAGTTGCCATGCTCTATTGAACTAATCAATCGCGAATTTGTTTTAAATATTTTTTGATGAGGAAGGAAATGCTGAAAAAAGATTTCAGTTGCTATGACAATTTTTTTTATTGAGAAAGTTAATTTCACACATGATTTATTTCCATAGAAAAAAATATTACCAACACCAAAATAAATAAATAAAATGGATAAAACCCATTTACATTAAGTTGTCATGACAACAATAAATTACTAAAAAAAATTAAAAATTACTTAATATAATCCATAATTGGGTGGTAATTGTAATTAACTTTTGATTTTTTGGCGTTATTACTTTTTTTGGCGGATTTTTTTAAGGATTTCAAAATTTTTAATAATTTTTGGGATTTTTTTGTGGAATTTTTATTATTTTTGGCATTTTTCAAATTCCTCCCGCTCCTCCTAATTTTCAAATCACGTGACTTTAAATTTTTCAGCCGTTTCTTAGCAACCGTGATTAACTCGGACTTTGTAATTTTCTTATTTTTCGATTGGATTTTCTTGAGAATTTTTTGTAAACTTGGTTTTTGCGAAGTTGAATTTTTTCGCTTTTTCCTTAGCAACACGTTTTCTATTAAATTTAACATTCGCGAGTTGGAATTTGTGGTTGCCATGGAAACGGATTTGCGCTTGGCGATCTTGTCCCGGAGCGTGGCGTATTGTTTCAAGAGGTCCGTGAGGTCTTCAGAATCTGAGGTTGTGCTGGGGGAGGGGTTACGAGAGGGGGCGGGGTTTCTATGGAGATTCCGGGGGAGTGGGGGGTGTGGGAGGGAGATCCGGCGGCGGTGGGGTTGGAGGGGGGACTGCGGTGGGGGTGGTGGGGTGGTGAAGGGGGAGTAGTACCCCTGGACGTGGCAGGTGCAGGTTATGGGGACCTGTGGATTTAGTTAATTTTTGTTAATTGTTTCTATGGGGATTTTAAAATTGTTTCCATGGAAATTTAGGGTATAATAGTTTCCATGGATTTTTTAAAATTCGTGTTTCCATGGAGTGAAAAATAAAATCCAAACTCAAATTAATAAAAAAAAATCCAAGTTTACATGGAAACCAGATTTTTTTGCATGTTTCCATGGATTCCCGTGTTACCACAGAAATTCTCTCCCAAAAAAATCACCATTTCCATGGAAACAAATTTTTATTTAAAACACTGTTTCCATGGAATTATTCCTTAAATCCGTGTTTCCATGGAAAAAAATAAATCCTCATCATGGAAACCACATTTTTACACAAAAAAAAATTACATTTCCATGGAAACACTTTATACAAAATCCACGTTTCCATGGAAATATTTATTAAACCCATGGCAACTCACCTTAAAAGTATCAAGATGCAACCCCCCCTCGAAATCCCACGCCACAAGCCGATGATAATTAAACACCTGAGTACAGGCCGTCCGATAATGCGGCAAAATATAAGAGCACTTATCCCCCGGCGTCAAACACTTTTCCAACCTCAGCGTCTGAGTCTTGTCGCCGTAATTAACAATAAATTTCCACTTTCCGGTCGTGGAGGATTTGGCCTTTTTTATCTTTCCATAGGCGACTTTCGAGGGGCAGAGGAAGCCGCCTTCGGAAGATAAAGATTGGGAAGGGGTGTGGTTTTCCGATGGGGGGTCTTCCCTCACGATTAAAGTTTGGGTGAGGGAAGGATTGGACTCCACGGCGTCCGAGATGGCCTCACTTAAGGATTATTTTTTATTAATAAGGTTGCCATGGTTACTCTGAATTTACGGTTGCCATGGCAACTATTAAAATTTACTTACATTGGATAATCTTGAACTAGGAGGCAGACTTGATCAGAAAAGTAATCGCACTCCTTGTCGAATTCCTTGGGGGCCTCTTGGACTTTGACGTCGTTGATTTTTAGGGGGCGTGGCGGGGGTGGTGGGAAGTTGTGGGGTGGGGGGCGGGGTCTTCGGGGAAGTGGGGGTGGGGGTGGTCGGCGGATGAGGTGGGAGGGGAAGTGGGGGGGCTGTAAAATTGTAGGAAATTATTTTTAATGAATTTCTATGGTGATTTTTGGAAAAAAATTCGTGTTAGGTGAGTTAATTATTAAAAATTTGGACTTAGGTGAGGTAGTAAAAAAAATTAATCTTAGGTGAGTAGAAATTCTATTGCGATTTTTGGAGAAAATTGGCCTTAGGTGAGTCAAAAATTCTTAAGTAAGTTACTAAAAAAATTAATTATAGGTGAGTTCAAAAAAATAAAAATCTTAGGTGAGTCGCTTAAAAAATCACCCTTAGGTGAGGCCAAAATTCTTAAATAAATAAAAAAAAATCACCCTTAGGTGAGTCCTCACCTTATTCCTCCTCCTATTATTCCCTCCCTGCTGTTGCTGCATTTTCCTCCTCCCCTCGATCTCCTCCCTCAACCTCTTCAACTCCAACTCCTCCCCTTTCAACTCTTCATTTTTGGGATGCTCCGGATGATCAGGAAACTCGAGCTCATGAGGATTCTCGCTAAACTCCAGTGAATTATCGTTCCCCTCAAACTTCTCCAATTCCGTTACCATGGCTTCAATTTCTGAGGAACTCAAATCCGAATAATCATCTGAATCAGAGAATTCCTCATTTTTCTTGTTACTTTCCTGGTCCAATTGGAACATGAGATTCGTCTTATTTTGAAAGTCTCGAACGTTTATGTATTTTGTGAGGATTGGAGGGGGTGTGGTCGTTGTGGGTGTGGTTGTCGTGGGAGGAGGAGTGGTCGTCGTGGTAACAACGGAATCCCTTGAAATAATCGAGACACGAATGGGTTTCTTAGCGTCGCCACGGGTGATTTTTATGGTTTTTTCGTGGCGGGTGGATTCCTGGGGGGAGGATTCAATATCATCCTCAGCCACGCCCCCCACCATTGTGGGGTCAGATTTTAGCTCCTCCGCTTTGGGCAATTCCTCCTCAAATTTAACCCTCCTCTCATAATTCGTGCTAAAACTGGACTCCTCCGGGACCTTAAACTCCTCATAACCACCATCCTCCTGGGGTAAATGCCCATCGGTTGCTATGGAAACTAGATTATTAACCTTTTTGTTGCCATAGTCACTGTTCGAAAATTCTTCTTCTAGTTCGTGTTTCTCGTCAGAGTTCAAAAACATTGATAAGACGGAAGGGTTATCTTCGATAAGCGGGTCTCGAGCGGGTTCCGGGAGGAGTTCGTAGATTTTGGGGGAGTTTGATTTTAGCGAGGATTTCACGACGGATTGGAGTTTTGTGGGGAGTTTAGAGGTTAATTTCGTGACGATTTGGAGCTGGGTGCGGCGCGGGAGCGCCGAAAGGTTGAAACCCGCGCGGCTGGATAATATTTCGATGCGCTTCAGGCCGATTTCTAGGAGGGATGATTGAGTAGATTGGGGCGCGGGAGGGGGGGTGGTCTGTGGGGGGGAGGAGGAGGGGGTGTGGTAGCGCGGGTAGGCGGAGGTGCGCGAGAATGAGGAGGAGGGGGATGAGGAGGGTTTATTGTGCGAGGTGTAGGTTTGCAGGCGCCGGATGGACTGTTGGTTAGATAAGATTTTTTTTAGTTTAAATGGTTGGTTTTTTTTAAAATTTACGCGTTTGGGCCCGAGTCAGGGTGGGGGGGGGAGGAATTTCATTAGATCAGACGGACAGACGGACAAATGACATCATGGTCGCATAAGTCCCTTGACTTACTGTTTTAATTTATTGTGTACATTTCTTAAGCCCGAGTCAGGGGACTGGGAACAATTTCAGATCGAAAAGGTATTAACGATCATGGGAACGGACACATGACACAACGGTCCCATAAGCCCCCAAAAAATACCAAGCCCGAGTCAGGGTGTGTGTGGAAAATTTCAATGATCATGACAAACAGACACACGCCACTCTGCCCCCATCAGCCCTGACTCTGACCCCCCCCCTTAAAAATCCCCATAGAAACAACACCTACCTTAACAACCGCCCCCCTTAACCTCTCCTCCACGGACTGCTTCTCTTTCCTCACAAATTTCGGACCCCCAGCCCCCCACTTGTCAAACTCCAACCTCTCCCCCGGATCACGTGGCACGGGCAACTCACTGATTTCCGGGGGTACTAAAATCCCTCCCGGAAGCTCCCTCAGTTTCTCGTCGATTATTTTAGTGTCCGAATTTAGGATGAGTCTTTGTTCTTCCGAATTTGTCAAGCCCGACGCCACGGTTGCCATGGTTACTAAATAGAAAATTAATTTGGTTTCCATGGTCGCTATATGGAAACGCGATTAATCACTATGGAAATCACTATGGAAACACTAAAGAATTCCCCACGGGAGATGATTCCCGATCGAAATCTGTATGCAAAATGTGACGATTGTGACCAAAAATGATGTGCATTTCGAGGTGGGTCTGATCTGGGTCGGTGGCCCAGAATTCTGCCATAGAAAAACGAGTTATCACCATGGTTGCTTAAGAATTGGGATAGTGGCAAAGTGTGCAGGATAGGATGCTGTGTGGATCACTTGGCAAGGAGCGTCGGCAACGGCGTCGTCATAGAAAAACCGGATTTAAAAGTAAGTCTGAAAATTTTAGTGTTATAAAGTAAAGTAAAAGTTGTGGGTCAAGGTGAGGTGTGTTTGAAGGGGGGGGTGATTTTATGCGTTTCCATGGTTACCGTTTTTTTTTCAAAGTTTCCATGGGAATAAATTCACAATTTCCATGGCAATAAATAAAATGCCAAAATCTCCATGGAAATATATTTGTTAGTAATTTTTTTATTAATTAATTATTACACATTTTAATAAACAAGAGAGGACGGATTAATTAAATATTATTAGCAACCGTTTCCATGACAACACCCACGCACACATTTCCATGACAACAACATCCATGACAACGCTCAAAACTTAATCGCCTGTTGCGCCCCTCCGCCCTGCAGCGCCTGAGGCAGCGGGGCCTCCACGGTCAGCACCCCATCTTTGGACAAACTGCTCCGGATCAGTTCCGGATTCACGCCGGAAGGAAGCAAAAATTCCCGATTGTATTCCCGATAAACGGATTTCGTTTCGGATTTTTCTTCGTGTTTGGCGTGGACCAGGAGCTTGTTGTCTATCGTTTTTAGGACAATTTCCTCGGGGGCGTCTAAAAATAATTAAAAAATTATGATTTTTGTTGCCGTGGTTACCAAAAAAATAAAATAGATAAATAATCCCACTAACACTGGCTGACGTCGAATCTGAGTTTCAAAGTTTTATCCCCTCCGTCTTCTTGAATTAAAGGTGAGGACAGGCCTTCCAACACGTTTCCTTGCTGTTGTTGCTGGGTTAGTTGGTTGCTATGGAATTTTATAATTTATATTAGAAATGTAAATCTCCATGGTAACGTAAAATTAGTTGTTATATGTAATAGAAACCTCATGGAATCCATTCGCGATGAGGACGATGAGTCGAATAAGCTTTTTTTTTATTAGTTTATTAGCAATTTTTTAGTAAAGAGAATCGTTGCCATGGTTACTTTTTTTTATAAAAGTTACCTGGACTTGTTGGAAAAGAAATTTTCTTGGCGTTGGATCAGTTGCGTTCGGAAGTTGGACATTTCGTCCTAGGAAATTTATATTTATTTTATATTTATTTTTTAATTTCCATGGAAACAATTGATTTTTAACAGGCACACCCATTCTCACCTCCATTCTCCGCATCTCCGCATCGAACCTGGAATTTTAGAAACGTTCGGAAATTTTTAAAACGTTAATTCACTTGAAAATTTAATACAAAGTAATCTCGCTCGGGCCACCCGAAGTAATTAAATCCACCACTTTCACGGGCCACCCGAAGTCCACTCTCATCCTCACCTCTCCCGAATGGACGAAAACTCCGTGTCCAGCACTGAAGAATCTGACAATTTAACGGGGATCCGCTTATCCATGGTGACCACGCCCTTTTTCTCTTAACTCCTCCTACAAAATAGAAAATTTATGAAATTCCCCCCTTAAAATCACCATGGAAACTTTGAAAACTAAAAAAATCCCTACCAATTAATTAAAAAAGAGAATTAAAATTTCATCTGGTTGTCAAGGCAACTGCAGCGAATCTTCTAGACTTTGAGTATGATGACTAAAAGTTGGGTTGTGTTAAAAAGAGAGAGCTCTTTTAGAGAGAGAGCTCAAGTCCATATAAAAAATGGGCTGCGTGGGTGAGTTGCCATGGATATATTTTTTTATTACTGTCGTTATAGAAACATAAATATAGGATAAATTAAGAGTTGCTATGGAAATAAATTAATAAAAACTGGAGGATGGTGAATTTATTGGTGGTAAAATGTCGATGGGCGTGTTGGAGTCGTGTTGGTAATTTTGCTGTTGGGGGGTGTAACCCGAGGGGCCGAGGGGGGCAGAGTGGGGGGAGTATTGGTCCGTGAGGTGGGGGGTGGACATTGGCTGGACGGATTCTATGTTGATTCCATCGGGGGAGGTTTCTATAGAATTAAAAAAATAGAAGTGGTTTCCATGGAAATTTAAGAAATTTTTATTTCCATGGAAATTTATTTTAAAATTTCAAAATTAAATCTCACCAATTGTGAATTCAATTTTCTGATTGGGCAGTAATTTCTGAGGGTATTGGATGGATTGCGAGGGGGAGGAGTCATGGAAATTTTGTTGTTGGCCGTTTCCATGGGTATTGTAATTATTTCCATGGTTATTATTATTGAAATTATTTCCATGGTTACTATTCTGGTTATTATTAAAATTATTTCCATCGTAAACATTGACGTAATTTTTATTTAAATTTCCATCTTTGATGAAACTGTCGCCAAGGAAACTTAGTTTTTCGGGGTTCAAGTGGCTCATGTCAATGTTGTTGTCGTTGTTGGTTCCTGTGGGGGATTTTTCGTAATTAAATATTTTATTTTTATTTAAATTTGCCATGGAAACTATTGTGTTAATTACCCAGGGGATCGTAATTGTATTTCAGGCCGGAGGTGTGCAGGCCGGCGTTCATTTGGTTGGCCTGGGGAATTTAATTTTTAATTTAATTAAATAAATTTAATAAATAATTACGAATAAATTAATTGATAAAACATATGCAAATTACAAATGGGTCAAAGTTCCATGGATCATTGACGAAACTATAATTGATAAATACCAATTAAAAAATTACCAATTAATTAATCAGTTACCATGGAATTATAATTTATAAATTTCCATGCAAATAATTCCCATAGAAAAATAAATATCCCATATAAACATAAATATCTCCATAGAAACACCACTCTACTCACGAATTAATTACCAATTAAAAATTACCAATTTATAAATTGCCATGGAAATAATTATATAGATAATTCCCATAGAAACACCACTGTATTAACTCACGAATTACTGGGCCTCTGCATGTACTCATCGAACCCCAAAGGACGCCCCAACGCTGGGGACGTTTTCACCGGCTCCAAATTCGTCGCCATGGGATGTGAGAAATACTCGTCTTTTTTTGGGGGGGTCTGTTTCGTGGGGGGTTTTTGATGATTATGATTATTTCCATGGTTACCATGGTTATTTTTCTGATTCTTCATGGGTCTCCTGTACTGCTTCCTCCTTTGGATATTCCTCGGTGGAGGTGGGTGCGCCGTCTCCTGCCCCCTCCTCCTATTGGGTCTATTGTTGTCATGGAAACGATTATTCGTCGTCACGATTTCTGACCTCGCCGAATTATCATTAAACTGGTCACTAGGCAACGACGACATTGGGTGCATCACGGGCGCTGGGGGCGGCGTTGCCAGGGAAATGGTGTCCAAATCGTATAAAGGGTATTTCGGGGGTTTGGGGACCCTGTTTAAATTAAGGTATTTAGGGGGCAGCCCCCCTGTGGTCCCCCCATTGTCTTTGGAAACTTGCGGAGTGGTAAAAAATGATTTAATCGCTCCGAAAACACCTTGGTTATCAAACAGCCCCCGAGAATCCGCCGCCCCCCCCAAAACCACACCCACCAAGGATAATAATAAAATAAAAACCTTCATATTATTTCCACTATTAAAACTCTCTCCTTAAACTCACTTCACTCCTCGCGTCACTATAGAAACTCGACTAAATCCCCATGACAACTCTTTGAATTAGTGTGTAAAAAAACTCGTTTTTCTAAAAAGTAAAACTCGTTTCCATGTCAACCACTATGAAAAAAAATTTAGAGTAATAACCTAGAAACCTCTTTATGAATTTAATTTTCTTCCGATTGTTACATCATTTTTTTTGTTTTTTGAAAGGTTTAAATAAAAAAATATAAATCACCATGGAAATTTGTGTCGGGGCTTATGTAACCGTCTGTGTGTCTGTCTGTCCGTCTTGTTGCCATATAAATATTTGTAAATATAGGGTGGAATTCAATATACGCTAAATAATGATAAAATTTGGATAACCATGGAAAAGTTCCCTTCAAATTCTCTTTATTCTCACACTAATTTTCTTCCAAATATTACATCATTTTTACAATAATTAAAACACAATTTTTACGCAAAAAAAGAAACAATCGCCATGGAAACTGCTACACTAAAAAAATCTAGATAAACCTTAGCAACGCCGTTACACTGGTGACCATGGCAAGTACAATAAGTCACCATAACCTCGAACGTTCCCGCCCTATTGTAACACCTGTCCTCCTGTTTTTTCGAGGGATTGGAGCTTTTTCCCTTGGCGTCTTCGAGGTCCTCGGGGGAGAGGTTATTTTCCGGTTCGAAACCGCACGAGCGGACGATCCGCAGGTCAGTCACGGAGCCAAGGGAGACTGTGGAGTTTTAATTTAGGATTTTATGGTTTCCATGTCAAGAAAATAAATTCATCACCATATCCATAGAAATAAAAATAAAAATCTAATATCTCCATGGAAAAGTAGTATTTGTTTTAACATTTCCATGGAAATAAAATTAGTTTCTTTAATAATTCCATGGAAATAAAATCATTTGTTTAACATTTCTATAGAAAATTATCATTTTTTAAATATTTCCATGGAAAATTATTAATTTATTTTAATATCTCCATGGAAATAAAAATACTCTAACATTCCTATAGAAACAACCTATAGAATTTTGGATTATAAAATATTTGTTTAACATTCCCATAGAAACCCAAAAAAATAAACTATTTTAGTGTTTCTGTGGGAATTTATTTATTTTAACTGTTCCCATGGAAATGGAATTATTATTTTTAAATGTTCCCATGGAAAATTATTTTAATATTCCCGAGGAAACAATATTATTAATTTAAACATCTCCATGGAAAATTATTTATTTAAATATTCCCATAGAAACACCTATACCTTTCTGAACATTCTTCCGACAGACGGTGGCATTTTTCCCCTGAGGAATGAACTGTTGGCAGTCGACTAATTCAATAGTCTTGGGGTCAAAAGGGTCCCCACAGCGCGGGTCGTGGACAGAGTTGCACACGTAGCATTTTATCGTCTCGTTCGAAGACGTTGACGATTCTGTGCGGACTACAATACAAATTTTTATTAGTTTCCATGGAAAATATTTCAATAAAAAAAATACTCACCACGGGAAACGCCGATTAAAACTATGGAAGCGATTATTACATTATATTGCATTTTTTAAAAATTATAATTAACTGGCAGTGTTGGTTGCTATGGAAATTAATAAAGGCTCCGAAAAAAGAGTGGAGAGAGAGACGAGACGACGGAGGTGGAATTATATACTGCAGATATTTTTGGTGGAATATATTTTTTGGTGGGCTGGGTGCTCGGGATGCGTCGGATTTATTGATTTTTAGGGTGTGTGGATGGTGTGGAGTGGTGGAGGACGCATTTTTGGGTAGTAGGTGCGTGTTTGTGGGTCAAGGTGGTGTGGTTGGTGGTGGTTTCTATGGGGATTATATTTTTTGGTTTCCATGGATTTTTTTGGAGTTTCCATGGGGATTTGAATTTTTATGATTGGGTTTTGTGTGGTTTTCTATGGATACCATGGTTTTTTATGTTTCCAGGGAAATGTTAAATGCAAATATAGAGATCATATCCATGGAAATAGATATTTTTTGAGATTTCTTTGTGTTTCCATGGAAATTATAGAATTTTTTATGTTTCCATGGAAATATATACGCTTTTTTCTATAAATAATTTGAATATGCTTTTCTATGGATACCATGGATTATTCCACGTTTCCACGGAAATAAAATGCAAATATCTATAGCTACCATATCCATGGAAATAAAAAAACACACCCAAAATCCATAATAATAATAATCCTTTTTTTAATTAATTATATAAGCAGGTCATACATTATCACATTCTTTTCCCTCATTCTCCTCCTCCTCTTCTCCCCTAGTTTCCATAGCAACACGACAAATGGCAGTTACACCCCTTCTCCTCAATTATTATCTCTCTCGGTCATTTATATATCACAAAAAAAAACATTTTTTTTTCTCTTAAATTTCCATGACAACAACAACAATGCGCGTAACCATAGCAATTCCGCATTTTTAAATTGAGATTCTTATTGCATTTTTAATAATATACAGCGAAAAACGAAAAAAAAAATTATCACACACTTTTTTAAATCTCAGACACAGTCCCGCTGTAAATTTTTTTTTATATAATAGTTACCATGACAACGACGAGGTTTTTTTTTTTTACTTCGACTAGCCCGAGTCTGACGCACCTTTTTTTCAGAGTAGAAAAAAGTGTGTGGCGAGAGACTCTACCGACCCCAAGTACCCCCCGTCCCCCGAAAATGCCCCCAAGTACCCTTAATCCCCCCATTTAATTAGTTAACCCCCCCGCTACTCCCCCTGCCCCTTGGGAAAATGAGTCTTCTCATGCGCCTTTAAAATAGTACTCCTAGAAAAAGTCTTCCCACACAACCCACACCTAAAGGGCCTCTCCCCCGTGTGGACCCTTGCGTGGTCCTTCATGTGGTGCCTTAATTTGAAGGCCTTCCCGCAGAACTCGCATTTGAAGGGCCTGTCCCCCGTGTGAATCGGCAAATGTTGAATTAGCGAAGAGACTTCTGGAAATGGTTTCGAACAAAATTTACACAAAATTCCCGGGGGGGTTACCCCAGTGGTAGTAGTTCCAGAGTCCGTGAGGGTGTGGTTCGGGTGGTGAGTTAAAATGTGATGAGTTAAGAGGGAGGTTGTGGGGAAATTGGGGGGGATGGAGTTTGGGGGGGAGGAGGATGTGGGGGAATTATCAGGGCAATAGGGGCAGGTGAGGGGGGATGAGGGTGGGGGGGAGGATGAGGGGGAGGTTTGGGGGGAGAGTTGTGAGGGGGAGGTGGGGGGTAGAGGGGGGGAGGTGGGGCGGGAGAGGGAGTGGTGAGAGGAGGAGGAGTGGTGGGAGGATGAGTGGGGGTGGTGATGAGAATGGTGGTGGTGGAGGTTGCTGCTGGGGGGCTGTAATAATAGAATTAAATTAAATTAGTAACCATGGAAATTATTAAATATTTAGTTGTTATGGTAATTTTGTAGCAATGGATTTTTTTAAATTTAGTAACTATGGAAATTTTATTTTTTTAAATTCAGTCACCATGGAAAATTTTTTTAAATTAGTAACCACGGAAAATATTTTATAAAAATATCTATGGAAACATTTTCATAAAAAAACAATGGTGACGAGAGTAACATTTATTTAAATTAGTAGTCATGGAAATATATATAAAAATAGTATCCATGGAAATCATTTTAGAAAACTATGTAACCATGGAAAATTAATTTAGTAACCATGGAATTTATTAATAGTCAAAAATTTAGTAGTCATAGAAATTATTTTTAAAAAAATTTAGTAACCATGGAAATTTTCACAAAATCAAGTAACCACGGAAATAAAATAATAAAACTCACCCCACTCCCCCCACCCAATCCACCCCCACCACCAGCCCCTCCCCCACTGACGCTCCTCATTTTGCCGACTTTATGCAAGACCTCCTCCTCGCTGTCGTCATGGTTTTCGTCCTCGTTGTGGTGGTGGTTCCGCAGGGCGTAGTAGTCCAGGTTGTTGCTCGTCAACGGCGTGCACGGGGCCGAGATGGACTCTTTTTTGCTCATCTGGAGGGGCGGCTGCAGGGGGGGCGTCGGACGGCGCAGGGACTGCGGAAATATAAGAGAGGTGTTTATTTCCATGGTAACGGTAATTATAATTTTCCATGGAAACGATAAAAAATTAATATCCATGGAAACAATGAAGAATAAAAAAAATCTTCCATGGAAACCATGATGAAAATTTAAATTTTCCATGGAAACGATAGTAAAATTTAATTTTTATCCATGGAAACAATAAAAAAATCTAATTAATTTCCATGGAAACACACAAAAAAAATAAAAACCCACACATACCAACGGCTGCTCCTGCACCACATCCCTCCACGAATTTGAGTTCTCCCCAAACCCCCCACCCCCAACCCCACCCAAATTAATCCCCCACCCCCACTCCCCCCACTATTCGACACCTTTCTCAACCCCCCATCAAACGTGGAATTCTCCAGAATCCTCGCCTTTTTCGAGTAATGCGTGGTCTGCACGGGACTGTTCGAGACGGCGTTCGAGAACCGATTATTTGAAGGTTGCTGACTCTGACTGAGGCCGATTATCTGCAAGTTCTCTGCCGTTTTCAACAAAAGGGGGAACGTCGAGGAGGACACGTTCACCTCGCCCCTGTGGAAATTTTATTTAATTTTTCAGTTGCCATGGAAATTTTACTATCGGTTGTCATGGAAACAAAATTTAAAAAAGTGATAATTACCTGTACATAAAAGTGACGAGCATCTTGAGCACCGCAAGATCCACATCATGTAAAATAATGATCGGGTGTGGGTGCGCCGAGTGGGTTTTTAACAGAGTTCGGAAATAGGGGGAGTTGGCAGAGAGGATCAGGCGGTGGACTTGGACTGATTCCGCTGGGGTGCTACAGACCTGTTTCCATGGTGATTTATTTTATTAATTTCCATGGTAACTTAATTAATTTCCATAGTGACAAATAAATATCCATGGTAACTCTACACGCAAAATTATAAAACCCCATCATACCAACGTGCAATCGGTGAGGACCTCCTGTCCCAGCAGATTCCAGAAACTCTCCAACACGACTTTCGAGTAGTGCTCGTCCCATTTTAGATTATAAATTTCCGAGGTTTCCATGGTTTCTCAGGTACAACAAGACAGATTTATAAAATAAAATTTGAGTTGCTATGGAGATGTGGAGACCATGGTCGGTGGAGAAATTCAAGTGTAGAGAAGACTGACCAAAAAGTGTGTGTGCGAAGAGAGGAGAAGAGTGAATTTTAGTGAAGAGAAGAAGAGTTGCATTCAAGGACACCGGCTTATTTTATATATAGAATTTTTGCAACTATACGAATGTAGTATGCGAATACTGTGCTGTAAGTGTGAGTGGTGGTGGCGATGTGGTGGGTATGGCAACGCAGATATATTTGCGAATTATTTGCGAAAGAGTGTGTGTGTGCGGTGGTGCGGTGTCTGCTGCGATGGGGATGCGACGACGAATATTGCGAATAGGTTGCGAATTATACACGAACGGTTAGAGTCGAGTCTGGAGTGGAGAGAGACGTGTAGGTAGTTACGCTAGGTCGTGAATATCTATGCGATATGCGTATGTTGCCATGGAAATTTTGCTATGCTATATTATTGCTATGCTATATTGCTAGGCTATTGCCATGGAAATAATAAAACCCATGGAAACGGAAAATCTCACCATGCCCCTCGTAGAATAATCCAACAAAGAAATCTCAACTTTCTCACTATATATCCCTATTAAAATCACTATAGTGATATAACCAAAAATTCCATCTCTATCCACACTCTACAATAAAACAACTCTCCATCAAAACCCTCTCCATCACAACATCTCCATCCTTTCGCACTCACTCACACTCCTAAATCTCCCTTAGAAAAAAACCATGGAAACCATAAATTCCTGGATAGTAACCTAACCACACCCACTTAAAATGTCCCTAGAAACGTGTCACACCCCTAAATCACCACCTCCTCCCCCTCCTCCTCCCCGAAAAATCCCATGGCAACTGATAATCCTGTTAATAATCATAATTCACAACGTCTCCATAGAAATTCGTCTCCACACGTCAAATTCCTCTCAAAAAGAAGAGTCAGTTATCCGATTTAAGCGAAGTATAAATTCCCATGACGACTCTTCTTCGGAAAATTCAATCTTGTTGCCAGGACAACCAAATGGTTGCTCGTGTCCGGCGGGTTCGTGGTTAATTGACTTGATTAAGAGTTGTTGATTGCTAAGCAGGATGTGGGTCGTTAATTTTTTTTGACTCAACAGGACCACCAGGGAAAAGGGGAAGGAAAGGGAAAAAAGGGGACAGCGGTGAGGTCGGGGGTGTGGGTCCGGTAGGGCCCCCTGGGAAGAATGGCTTTCCTGTAAGTTAAGAGGGGGGAGAGGTGGGGGGAGTTGTTATGGAGTTTACGTTTTTTTGTGGATTTTACCATTTTTTTAGGCCGAGTTGGGGCTTATGTAGTCGTTATGTTTTGCTGTTCGTCCGTCTTGGGATAACTGTCCTAAACTGATCCAATTTGATTTGAAATTTTGCACGTGTCTGACTCGGGCCATGCGAAGTCCCCAAGATTTTTAAAAAAGGCACAACCCTTAAAAAACCGTCAAAAAACCTTGGTTTTCTATTAAAAAACCCAAAATATTAACCCCTTCCAACGTAACTCCACCCATCTCTCAATTAAATTAAAATACACAATTTTTATTCAAAATTTATTTTCAAAAAGGGCCCCATCGGACTCGACGGTCCACGCGGAGAGCCCGTAACTTATCATTTTTTAAAATTCACTAACCCAAATTTCCATGGAAACTAACAATAAGTAATCTCTCGTAGGGCCCCCCCGGCGACCGTGGTGAAAAGGGTCAAGCGGGCAGTCCTGGCTACAATATTTCCACCGCTGCCAAGGTAACTTAACTAAAAAAATTATTATTCCAATAAAATAATCCCATTTTATACGAATAAAAGTTTGGTGTAAAACGCTCGGTGACGTCCGTTTCTGGGGGAACGATTGGTTACGCTGAAATTATTGCCATCAAGGTTTAAAGATTTTTCACAGAGAAATAGTTTCCATGGCAAACGCTTTTTATTAATTTTAATTTTCTAAATTAACTTTTCCATGGTTTCTATGGTTTCTTTTTTCTTTTCTTTATTTTTTTAAAGGAACTGGAACAACAAGGATTCAAGTTGCAGAGTCATGTTTTAACTTTAAGAGTTGGTTCTTTATTTTTCTGTTGCTATGGCTGCTTTTTTGAGCTTTGAATTTTATTTCCATGGAGATTTTTAATGTGGTTTTTATTGGAATTTAGGGGGAACCAGGGGAACCGGGCCCGGGGGGGCCAAGGGGTGAGTTTTAGAAAATTGTTTTTATAAAAATTGGATAATTATTAAGTGTTAATTTTGTGTAGGTCCCCCAGGAAACGTGGGTGTGCCGGGGATCAATGGGAGGCAGGGTGAGTTTTATTATTTTTAGCACGTTGACATGGAGATAATTTTGGAATTTAATTATTTCCTAGGGGAACGTGGCGAGAGGGGGGAACGTGGAGATAAGGGGGAGTCCGGCGATAAGGTGGGTTTGTAAATCGGCGGACGAACGGACATGACGGTCACATAAGCCCTAAAATTACTTTATTCATACCACCTCTTTGTTTTTATAAAAATTTTCCAGGGAGAAATCGGTCCCCGGGGTGAAAAGGGAGATATCGGATTGAAGGTATTTTTTTTAATCACTAATTTTTCGAACCAAAAATTTACTCCTTAATTTCTAACCAAATAAGCTTCTTATAATTTCGCTACTAACAATTTTTACTAATTTTCCCTAACAACGAAAAGGGCTCCCCTGGGGCAAAGGGTGATCGTGGAATTACCTCATTTTTGGGGGGTAGTAATACTAATAATAATAACGGGGGGAATGTGGGCATTGTCGAAGGACCGCCGGGACCACCGGGTAATTTTTTAATTAGTTAAATTATGGTGGTATTCTTAATGCGAGAGGAAATTTTTACTCTTTTTAAGAATACCACCCTTAATTTAACAAGGGAACCACTTTTGATGTTACGCATGGATTTTATTGCGAAATATTTTTAAAATTTTGGGCAAAATCCACGTGCGACACCCTTGGTGGCTCCCTTGTTACTATAAATTTCTATGCAAAATTCCTAACTTAAAATTCGCCACCCTCTAAAATAAACCTTTACTAAAAGGGCCCCCCGGTGAAAAGGGTGACCGTGGAGATTTTGGGCCCAAAGGCGTTGGGGAAAAGGGGCCCAGAGGAAAAAGGGGGAAAAGGGTCAATTCTTGTTTTATTTATTTTACTGAGTTTGGCTTCAGCTTTTGCTACAAAAATTCTACGATTAATGATAAAAAGTATGTAATGAATTTCCACCAAAAATATCACCCTTTAGAATTATTACTATTATTAAAAAATGACCCTAGGGCCGTAAAGGTCTGAACGGGGAGGCGGCTATGAAGGGCGAACCGGGTTTGAGGGGAGAAACTGGGCCTCCCGGGATCGATGGGAGAGATGGACCCTCGGGACCCCAAGGTGGGTTTTTGTTTCTTAAGCAGAATTTTTTAAGAAAGTATAAATCGGGCCATAATACTAATAAAAATTTTCTAGGCCCACCCGGTTCGATTGGAGGGGTCGGACCTAAAGGAGACAAAGGAGAATATGGAGATATTGGGCCTCCAGGGTGCGTTTATTAATTTTTTAGCAATTTTAACTCGTAATGAATACCCCTAATGTAATTTTTAAATCTCCAGGCTAATGGGTCCACCTGGATTGCCTGGTAAGTTGTTTTTTTAAATAAAATCCATTTCCATGAAAACCCCTAATATTTAAACCCCCCTCGCGCAGGCCCCCCTGGTTACCCCGGCACCCGCGGCGACAAAGGGGATCGCGGGGAAACTCAAAAGTACAAAAAATTACGACGACGCCAACATCAACATTTACAAGATGGAAACTCGGACTTGTCGGAAATGATGATTCAAGGGCCTCCGGGACCGCCGGGTAGTTTTTTTGATAGATTTTTTCATGGGGGAGCTAAATAAAAACGATTAAATTTTATAGGACCCATTGGACCACAGGGACTCCAGGGGCCGCCGGGCTTGAAGGTGGGTTCGCTAAGCCCGAGTCGGGGTTTATAGTAATTTTTCTAATAATGAATTTTGAAATTCCAGGGTTTCGCCGGTCAGGATGGAATGAAGGGGGAACGGGGGGAAAAGGGGGAGTATGGGCCACAGGGGATCATGGGGTTCGGAAAATTATTTTTAATTTAAGAAAATATTTTGGGGGTGTTCACGTCCGTTAAATGTATTGCAAAGTGGCTTTTACCAAGTTGACGTGAATGCCCCCATAGTAGCGATCGGTTTATACTTTTAATTTTAAAATCGAACCCCGAGTCAGTCCTTATGTAACCGTCGTCTCTGCGTCCGATACAGAGTCAATATAAAATCTGAATGACTCTGACTCGGGTTCTCTGAACTCTTAAAAAATATATAAAAACGCCCGATTTATGCTTCTTCACACACAGATTACCCGGGCCCATGGGGATTAGAGGCGATTTAGGACGAAAGGGGGATTCGGTAAGGTCCCACTTTTTTTATTCCCCCCAAAAATTAACAATAAACCTGTAAAAACCCCCTTGTAAATAAGCATGCGGAGCCATTTTTGCACAGCACTTTTGCATGTGATTAATTAAAAATTTCAAAAAAAATAACGAGTAAATAATGTGCAGGGCCCCCCTGGCCTCGACGGAATGAAAGGTGCACAAGGGGAACGGGGTTCCAAAGGGGAGCGGGGCGAACCAGGATTACCCGTGAGTATTTTAATTCTCTATATATTGGGGGTTTCCACGTCACCTCGCTACTCCGTAAAAAAATATTTGCGAGCATTTACAAATACCAATAGGTGACGTGAAAACCCCTTATATAGAGAATACCTGAATAAATTATACAATATGTATTGGGGGTTTCCACGTCTCACTTTTTTACAAAGGCGACGTGAAACCCCCCAATACCCCTTAATAAACTCTAATAATAAATAAATTCCATTAGGGAACGGACGGTATTCCTGGGAGTGAAGTACGTCACTACAAATCACCATTTTCTTCATAGTTTTTTTATGTTTTTTAATTTTTTAAATTAAACAAAAACCTTTTCCTTTTCTATAATTTCCTTTAACTTTCACCACACAAAACTACTAACCAAACTAACAAAAAGGGTCCGAAGGGGGAAATTGGTCACAAAGGGGAGTTGGTGAGTTTTTTTTAACTAAGAAATTTTTTGGGGGCCCCATTTTGATAAATTGAGTCAACTCTGAAGGGCGCCCCTGGAAAGCGAGGTCGTAAAGGAGACGTAGGTTCAAAAGGAGAACAGGGCGTGCCCGGGTTGGATGCTCCCTGTCCAGGTGAGTGATTTTTGTAGATATTAGGGGTATTCATCATGGCTAGTTTTGGAAGGTCGGTGATGAATTTTACTATGTGAAGCGACCCTAACCTAGCTCACGAATACCCCTAATGGAAATTTAAACAAAACTTAAATTTTGTGAATCCCCCTAATGAAAATATAAAAATAAATTTTACAGTTGGCCCCGACGGTTTGCCACTCGCCGGTTGTAATTATTTTACTAATCATAATCCTAGTGTAATAAAAAGCCCCGTTGCCATGGCAACGCCGCCGCCGCTGACGACGACGCCGAGTAGTAGTAGCAGTAGTGACTATTATAACGAGTACGATAGATAATTTTCGGTTGTGAGAATGTTGTTGTGCGAGTTTTCTTTTGTATTTTTTTATATGAATAATAAAAAATATTGTGAGCATGTTATTTATTTGATGAAGTGGAGCAATAAAAATGTCGAGGTTTTATATGGAGAGAATTGTGGGTGTGGGTGTGTTTCTGGGGTGACAATTTTTGTGCTAATTTCGTGCCAAATTCCGTGCCAATTTTTAGCACGCCAAAATTTTGTGCCAATTCTATGCCAATTTTTAGCACAAATTTTGATGCAAATTTTTTAGCACGCCATTTTTAGTGACAAATTTGGTGCGTCATTGCTGGATTTTAATTTAGGAAATATATTTACTTTCAAAAATATTCATCACAAAAATTAGTTAGTCATGTGCAATAATCAATTTACGATTGTTCCACCTCCCCTCTGATAATTCTCAATCCTTCGAAAATACGGTAAAAGGTTGCTATATTTCCAATTTGGATTATCCGTCAGATTTGCCCAGCTTTCGAAATCAAACGGCGATCCACGCAGGTAGTTGAGCAGGCCCAGATTACTCGAACCACCGAGTCCCTTGCCTTGCGAGAGGTTCGTTTTCTGGAAATTTCTTTGGTTTAAGAAAATTTTGTATGAATGTAATTATGTATGAATTCAGAAATTGAAATTACCAAAATCAGCACAGGCATCTCGAGATTCGGCTGTCCCAACAGTGCAATTTCATCTTCTAATATTTGTAAGACACATTTTGCAGATTTGGATAAATCTAAAAGAAAATCTAAAATATTTCTCGAAGGGTTTGTGTATAAACCCTTGAAACTTGTCGAACCTGAAAAGTTTTGACACAAATGTGAGTCCTTAGAAGAAAAAGCATTACATTGGTTTACAGTTTATTTTACCGTTATTTCATAAGCAAGGGTTCCATCCTTTTTCTAAGGACATTAATTAAATAAAAGCAAGCTTTATGAAAAATGATCATAGCATAATGATGGACAGAGCGTTGTACACGAAATTTTGTCTTCTCCGAAATCAAAAGAAGATTCGGATTTTACTTGGGAAGCATGGTGTAAATATTTGGTTTGAAATACCACTGTCAATTTCTCCATTTAATAAAACTGATCAATTCTCAGCTCTCTTTTGCATGATATTTTTTATCACAGTTTTTCTGTGATTTTGTTCATTTTTAAATCAACTTTCTTTTCTACTACTTTCCCCAATCGTTTTTTTAAATAATACCAACAACAACTGACGACAGAGAGATATTCGCTTGGCTTCACATTTATTTGACTGATTCGCTTTAATCGAGTACGACGACGGACAATTAAAGAAAGACGATTTTATGCTGTTTACTTTTTGTATAGGAAAATTGCTAGGCAGAGTATCGATAGTTGTAGTAGTAGTAGTAATAGAGTAATAGGAAAGATCATGGTTGTTAATATTTTTGCAGATTAATAATTACTATAAGCTCCGTGTTCAACACGAAATTATATTCACGAGAGTTCACGTCCTAATTTAGCATTTTTTGATTAGAAGCACGTCAACTCGGACTCAACTTGTAATAATGATAATAATAATAATATGTACATTTAGTAGGATATATAGTAGTCATTTATTTATTGAATATTGTAGTGCTACAAAGTCATTTACAAGTCATTTATTGTATCATATATATTTATAGTCATGCAAAAATTCTGCAATCTAAAATTATTTATTAGCTGTAATTGCACTTCCTCACTAAGATTTCCCACTTTTTGGGACCTTGTTTATTTAAAACTTGTAATTGGGTGGTCAATTTGCATGCATGCAATTTTTCCAGGACCCGAATTCCTTAATTCGGTAAATCAGAAAAATCAGCTTTTGTAAATCAGAAAAATTTTCAGAGTCAGAACTATCTCGGATATTTCTTGGATGATCCCAACCAGAAACAGCAGCAGCCATATATGCAGTATTTGTAATATTCTATTTTACTGGATTTGTCCAGGACCCGAATTCCTTAATTTGGCGCAGATTTAGCAATACTGCGTGCGTGGGAAGCAAGTCTTGGAATGACGGCGTTGCTCTGACACTATAAAGACTCTAATTGCTCGTCGTCCTCGGGTATGGCGCAGTGACTTAATAAGTCTTTTGCCTTCATGTTTGGGCTCCAGATTTATGTTTTTGTTGAAGTTTGGGAATTTCAAATGCAGGAAATTTCAGCGAGACAACATCTTTATGAGTGACCATTGCCAGACTCCAGTAGAATACATCGACATCGTTGGCGACTACTACTAGAGCAATTGATGAAAGGAAGAAGAATCGACTTCAAGTTCGCTATTGTTCGCTGATGGATGCTCTTCGGGCCGACCTGCAGCGTTGACCAACAATCATCCATAGTTATTTGTCGGGTGGCTTTTCTAATTTATGGGATTCAAGATAGTGCTACAAAGGTGTTTTTGTGCCAAATTTCCATGCCAATTTCCACACACACCCCAAAAATTCAAACCCCTCAAAGTCATTTATTCATTAAAACATTAAAATTACATAAACTAAAAACCCCTCATCAAATCTCCTCCCCTCACTCCCTCGTCGTTTTTTGTTTCATCTCCTTCATCCCCCCAAACTCATAAAGTCCCCTTTTGACCTTCCCCCCGTGGGTTTTCTTCCCCCCGTGGGAGTACAACCCCAAAGGATCCACCGTGATTTTCTTGACGTTTTTCTTATTTTTCTTCAATTCCTTGGCTTCTCTCCTTTGTTTATTGATTCGTTGCCTGGTTACGGGGGTGCCGCCCTGGACGTCGTAAACAGCGACCACGTTGGAGGGTTTGTCACCACGGCGGATTATTATTCGGTTTTGGGTTGCTAGGGGGCGGGTAGGTGGTTGCTGGGGGCGACGACGATAAAGGGGGTGGGGTTGGGGGCGGGAGTGTTGGATTGGGCTAGCCGAGGGGCGGTAGCGGAAGGGGCTGTGGGAATTTTAGAAAATTTTTTAGTTTCCATAGCAACCAAGGTTATTTTTACATGGTTACAGGAAAATTTAAGTTGCCATGGAAAACTAAAAAATTCCGTTTCCATGGAAAATTATAAATTCCGTTTCCATGGAAAATAAAATTTAGTTTCCATGACAACCAAAAAAAAATAAAAACTCACCTAACGACGGGCCTGACCTCCCCTGACTCCCTCTCTTCCATGGAAACGTCAAAGCTCGCCAGAGGAATAACCTTCACCTTTTCATTACTCGCCGGTCGATAATAATAAATCGGCTCGGGCCCAGTTTCCTGATAATAATCCTGTCCGTAACCATGGTAACGCTCCGCCACGGGTTGATACCTCCTGTTGTTGCCATAGTAACCAAGACGCCTATTATTGTTGCTAGGATACCTCGTCACATAGTAACCATTTCCAGCATAGAAATAATTTGGTGATCTTGAAGCATAAAAATCGTTGAATCGAGGGTCGTAGTCGGGGGACATTCGAGCGATGCGGATTCCGAGCGATTCTGCTTCATCGTCCTCGCCGGAGGGGGCCGTCGCCTTGACGAAGGACAAAGGGGGGCGTGGGGGGGAGGTGGATTCGTCGGATTCGGAGGCGTCGTCTTGGGCTGAGGAGGTGTCGTCGTCGGCAAGGGTTTCTTCCGAGGAGGTTTCTATGGGGATTAATAAATAATTTTTCTGTTACCATGGCAATTTTTTTGTGAAAATAAATTTATTGCGAAAAAACGTTTTTCTAAAATATTTTGAAAACTTTGGAAAAAACGTTTTTTGGGAAAATTTTTGGAGTTTAGGAGAAACGTTTTTAGGGTAAAGTTTTGGAACACAAATGTTGTCATGGAATTTTCCTTATTAGAAAAAAAAACGTTTTTCACAAATGTAACCATGGAATTTTCAAAAACGTTTCCATGGAATTTTTTAATTTAGAAAAAACGTTTTACGTTACCATAGAATTAAAAAAACTCACCCCCCTGTCTGGCAACGCCCCTGACCCCCTCGTCCACCTGGTTGTCATCGTCGAAAGTGAAGATGCTGCCCGGTGGAGGGACTTCCGAGTAGTAAAGCTGCTTCTCCCCGATCGGGTTGAAAAACTTGGGCACGGGACGCTCCACTTCGTTCACCGTGTCGGAATCGTCTGAGGGAAGGATGACCACGGGCGGGGCGTTTTTCGTGTAGTTTGGATCTATGGGAACCGGTTTAGGATTTTTATTTAAATTTCCCGCCAGAAAATTACACAAAAAATCCCGCCAATTTTAAAATTCCCGCTAGTATCACGTGACACTCACCCTCAACAACCGCAACCACCCCGCCACCCTCCTTGACAACGGTGTCAAAAGGGACTAAAACCTCGCCCTGTTCAGTGACGTAGCCGGGAACTAAGGCTTCCACGGTTTGCACGTTGTTCGGAACGTTTTGCTGCGTTTTCTTGATGGTAGTTTCAGTGTTCGTAACGTTGGTGACGTCATTCACGATGGGGTCGTTCCTTCGGCGGTTGTCGGAATCGTCGTCCTCGTCGTCTTCTTCTTCCTCGTCGCCTTCTTCTTCTTCTGAATCTTCTTCAGAGTCCTCCGGGGTGGGGGTCGTCGCTGGGGGGGACGCAGGGGGGAAGGCCTGAAAAGTTTCCATGGAAATATATAATTTTATGAAAATGCCAAATTTTCATGCCAAATTTCATGCCAAAATTTAGCACAAGATTTTTGGCATGCCAATTTTTGTGCTAATTTTAGCATTCTGTGTGCCAATTTTTAGCATAAATTTTAGCACAAGATTTTTCGCACGCCAATTTTCTATGCCAATTTTCAGCATTCTGTGCCTAAATTTAGCACTAAATTTAGCACTAAATTTTCCCAAAAATAATCAAAAAATTTCCATGGAAATTCCTAAAAAAGAAAAAACTCACAGGCTGCGGAGGTTTATTGGCATCCGTGGCAGCCGGATTAGCAGGGACGGGATTCGCAGAAGGCGATTTCGGTTGAGTGGCCGCTTTAGTATTCACTTGGTCCGTAACTGGTTTGGCAGAACCGGTTTCCACGACGACGACGGGTGATGCTCCGTCGGATGGTGATTGACCTTTGGGAGTTTTTGTTTCCATAGCAATATTTTAATCCGTTTCCATGGAAATTAATTAATAAAAAAAATATAAGTTCCCATGGAAACTCACCTCCGGCAACCTTCAGATCCTGCCTGGCTTTATTATTTCCGACGTTGACCTCGACTTCATCATCTTCGGAACTTCCTCCCCCCAAATTACTGGCCCTGTAGAAATTGCCCCTATTATTATTTTGATACCCATAGTACTCCATGTTGTCCCGATAAGGCCAGTTTTGTGGGAGGGTGTTGGCAACCGTTGCCATGGCAACGAATAAAAATATCACGAGTTTCATCGTTGCTATGCGTCCACTTCGGTGGCTCGGTTTAAACTGCGGAGGAGGACGAGAGTGAAATCGAAAGTTGTTGAAAGTCAAAGAAAATCGTAGACGCAGTGGTCCAGCCGGTTTTTTTGGGAGAAACGGGTTTCCATGGGGCCAGTGAACTTTAATTGTTGTTATGTGGTTGGCATTGAATATTTTGGATGGTTGGCATGGAATTTGGAGTTTTAGTACGTTGGCATGGAAATGTAATTTTAAAAACGTTGCCATAGAAATTAATTTTTTTGTTGTTGTCATGGAAATAATACAATTTTTAATTGCCATGGAAATGTTTTTTAGGTCGTCATGAAAATAATAAAACTGAAAGTTGTCATGGAAATACATAAAATTTTTTTAAGTTGCCATGGAAATTTATTTTGCTATGGAAATTAATTTTTTGTAGTCGCCATGGAAATATTTTTTTTAGTTGCTATGCAAATAATAAAATTTTTAAGTCGCCATGAAAATTATTACTTTTAAGTTGTCATGGATATAAAAAATAATTTATTAAATAAATGCCCATATAAAAATTACAATAAATTACAAAAAACTCAAAAAAATCAACCCGAATTGAAACTCCCCTTGACAACCACATCTCTAATTTCGAGTTCTTCTTTCTTCGGTCCCGCCGTGACCAGTTCGATCCCGTCGTCGTAGTCAAGGCGACGATTAACTGACGCCCCCAATTTTTTACTATGGTCGGCATGGTAACTGACAAAGTCGTTATTTAAATTTTCCGAAATTATCGGCTGGAAATTGCCATACTCGATTTTTTGTGAAAATTCAGATTTATCGTTGCCATGGAAATATTGCGACGTTGGTAACGACGGTTGTTGTTGTGGAGGGTCATACTCGTAAAACCCGGGTCGGATCGTGTTTGCTGAAATAATTGGTTGCTTAGATATTGATAAATCTTTGTAGGTAAATGGGACCGTGGGGATGGTTGCCATGGTTACTACGATGGGTGTGGTTGCTATGGTTGTGGGACTGGTTGCCATGGAAACGACTTCTTCATCTTCGTCGTAATAATATTCTTCAGAGGAGCCGATTGTGGGCTTTTTCGTTTCCTTGACGATTTTCTTTTTTTCGGTTTCCATGGCTTTTTTCTTTTCCGGCGTTTCCATGGCAACGATTTCAAACTCGTTTTCGTCCAGTTTTCCGCTGGCTTTGAGTTTTTCGAGTTCGTCTTGGGTTACGTAGATCACTTCGTCAGAGTCGAGTTCTGTGGGTGGGGGTGGTTCTGTGGTGGGTGTGGCAGTGGGTGTGGTTGAATGAGGGGGTGTAACCATGGGTGTGTCGAGAAAAGTCCCGTTTCTATGGAAAAGTGTGTCAATTTGGGGTTGGTTTCCAAGGAAATTGGGCCGAATGAATTTTTGGATTTGTTGTGACATGGACATTTGCGGTTGTTGTGGGGGGTGTGCCGGGGGGTGTGGTTTTTTGTTGAATAAATTCTGGAGGAAATTTAGCGCAGGGTTTGGTTGTTGTGGTGGTTTTTGGTTGCTATGCGGGGAAATATTGTTGCCATGGTTACCAAATCTTCCGTAACCAGGCAACGGAGCTGGTGGTGGGGGCATCATCACCGTGGAAATTTCACTTTTCGGATTATTTTCGGGATTATTTTTGTCCAAATCCATGGAAACGAGCATTGTGGATTTTATTATGTTGCCAATTTGGTCGGTGGGTGGGGTGGGGGGTGGTGGGGGTGAAGGGGGTGTGGTTGCGTTGGTGATGATGGGGTCGTCAACGTACTCGTACTCGTATTCTGGGGGTGGGGATTGTGGGGGTGGTTGTGGGTGTGCCGGTGGGTGCGCCGGTGGGTGTGGCGCCTGAAACTGTGGGGGGTGGATAAATCCCGGTGGGGGTGGAGGTGGGTGATGAAAAGGTTGAACTGGGAGGAATTGGAGATTTTGAGGGTTTTGGTTGCCATAGTGATTATTTTGGTTGCTAGGAATATTAATTTGGTTTCCATGGAAATTGTTATTTTGGTTGCTAGGAGAAATGCCATGGTGATTCTCGGTAATTTCGTTGGAAACGAGGAAATCGGCTTCTTTTTGTGGGACCGGGATTTCCGTGACGATTTCTTCGACGTATTCGTATATGTATTCGGGTGGGGGTGTGGTCGTTGTTGTTGTTGTGGTAGTTGTGGGGGTGGTCGTCGTGGTAGTTGTGGGTGTGGTCGTGGTCGTTCTCCTGGTAGTGGTAGTGGTAGGCGTCGTGGTCGTCGTGGTGGTAGCAGCCGTGGTCGTGCTCTTAACTCTCTTGGTCGTCATTACCGGAGTTGTTACCGGCGTGGTCGTCGTTGTGGTCGTGGTAACCACGGTAACGGGTGTGGTCGTTGTGGTCGTCTCTATGGTAGACCCCAAAACGTCCACCTCCCCCACCCACCCATCAATGTTCCCATTACTTATTTCTTGTTGTCCAGGCTGCAAAGGGGTGTAACTCATAATCACCGGTGGTGGCGGCCTCCTGAACAATTCCGGTTTATTCCTGTTAAAAAACCCGGGTGGGGGTGGTCCCCTCGGGGGATGTGGGTGTGGCGGTGGGTGTGGTCGAAAATGCATCGGCATCGGTCCGGGTGGAACCATCGGCCGGTAAAAATTGCTCAATGGTCGGGAGGAATTATTTATGCTTTCCACGGCCTCGTTGTCGGTGGGTGTGGTTGAGGAGTTGGTTGCCATGGTGATTTTATTCGGGGGGACGGGGAGCGAGGGGTGGAGGTAATTATAGAAATAATTTCCGTTGTCATAGTAATAATCTTCGAGGTCTTCTTCAGAGGAGGCCGGGGTGGGGGGAGGAGGTGTGGTCGGTTGTGGGGGTGGTGGTGGATTCGTGATGGAAATTATGGGTGTGGTCGGAGGGGGTGTGGTCACCGTGGTCGTCGTGGTCGTCGAAGGGGGCGTGGTCTCGGTAACCTCCAAACTCTCCACTTTATCCAAGAACACGTTTACCGATGATTTTTTCACCGTTTCCATGGAATTTTCCTCATTTTTCATGGCATGCAATAGTTCGTATGGTAAATAGGGGTCGTAGGTTTTTGTAGTCGTGGTCGTGGTAATTTCGGTCGTCGGAGGAGGGGGTGTGGTCGTGGTAGTTGTGGTCGTCGTGGTAGAAGGAGTTGTGGTCGCTTCGGTCGTTGTGGTCGTGGTGGGTGTGGTCGTTGTGGTCGCCTCGGTAGTCGTGGTCGTGGTCCTAAAAATAATTGGTCTCCTGGTAACCTTGGTAACCTCCTTAATTTCCTCCCTGCTAAAAACCTCCTTGGAACTCGAACCCTTGAAAAAAATGGGTTTTTTCTTTTCCACCACTTTAACTTCACTGCTCGTTCTCGAACTCGAACTGCTCGAACTGCTCGAAACACTCACGGAAACACTGGATTCCTTGCTCTCCTGAACCTTCTCCGGCGTCCTCACCGTCGTTTCCATGGAAACCGGTTTAATAATCTCCATGGAAACAGGCTTAATCTCCATGGATCCCGCCTTGACAATCCCCACGCTCGGATCGAAATAAACTTTTGGCGTTAGTTCCGTCGTTGTCATGACAACCGTTTCCTCATTTGGAGATTTGGTGGAGTAAAAACTTGGTAATTTCGGGGGTGCCATGGTTACCTTGTTGAATTTGTAAAATGTTGGACGCTTGTTTTTTAGTTTGGAGTTTATGTTGTAGGTGGAATTTCGCTTGTAAATTGAGCCCCCTTGGTTTTTTAGGGACGTGTAGGAAGAGATTATCGAGACGGAGGGGGGTGTGGTTGTTGAGAAGGTGACGTCGCCCGTGGTGGGGTCCTGTGGAATTTTTTTAGGGAATTAGTTTCCATGGTAACATTTTTTTTTTATTTCCATGGTAACATTTTTTTTCATGGTAACATTTTTTTTCATGGTAACATTTGTTTTTATTCCCATGGAAACAATTTGTTTATTTCCATGGGAATAGAATTTTTCATGGAAACAATTTTTTTTTATTTCCATGGAAATAGAATTTTTTACTAATTCCATGGAATTTTTTTTATTTCCATGGCAACAATTTCTAAAAAAAATTACTTTCCATGCCAACCTACATACCTTCTCCGCATAGAAAGCCCCCTTTTCCATCCCGAACAATCCCGGCATCCGATACCCAGAATTATTCGAGGATCTTTTTTTCCTGTCTCCATGGTTACCATCGCTCGTCCCCTCCCCCGTCGTCACGTGACCCCCGCCGCCGCTCAAATCCAACTCCTGTTCGTCACCGTCCATCCGCGGGCGTCCAACTAATTCCGGATTCGGTTTCCTTAGTTTTATCCTCCGCCGGCGGGGTTCCTGTTGTTGCGAAGGAGTTGGAAATTGTTGCGGTTGCTGTGGAAACGTAGTTTGGTTAAATGCGGACCAGTTCGGGTTTTGCATGTAGAGTTGGGGGGCAGGGGGTTGTTGTTGAGGGGGGCGTTGGCGGTTGCCATGGTGACCAAATAAATTGTGGAACGTAGTTACGTAGGTTTTTTTGAGTTTTGATAAGAGAGGCATTTGTTGTTGTCCGGGAAATTGTTGTTGTTGTTGCTGTGGTTGTTGTCCTGGAAACGCATTTTGTTGCTGTTGTTGTTGTGGTGATGATGGATTTTGTGGTTGTCCTGGAAACGGTTGTTGCTGCTGCGGTTGTCCTGCAAATTGTTGCTGCTGCGGAAACTGCTGTGGTTGTTGTTGTTGAGGCACCGCATTTTGTGGTTGCCCTGGAAATTGCTGTTGCTGTTGTTGTGGAAACGGAGGTCTTGGTCTGGGAAATTGCTGTTGCTGTGGAAATTGATGTTGGAAATTATTCGGTTGTGGAAATAATGGTTGGTATGGTTGCGGGCGCCATGGTTGTTGCTGTTGTTGCTGCTGACCCCCTTGGGGTTGCTGTTGCTGCTGTTGTGGTTGCTGCACTGGGGGCGCCACAAAATTCCCAATGCTCGCACTTCCACTGGGAACTAAAAATTGTTGCCCTGGAAACTGATTCCATTGTTGCGGTTGCTGCTGTGGTCTCCTCCGAAATAATCCAGCCAATTTTTTCAGGGCCCCCACTTTTTCCGGTCCCTGTTGCCCCCCTGGGGGCGGTCTCATGGGCACCAAAAACTGTTGCTGCTGTTGCGGTTGCGATGGAAACGAACTCACAGTCGTGGCATTATTATTTTTAATCTTCTTAATCTTCTTCCTCTTGACAACCTTATCTCCCGTGGTTGCCATGGCAACTTCTTGATTTCCCACAAAATGCTTCTCGTAACCCTGACTAGGTTCGAACTGTTGCTGGGTAAAAATCGGTTTAAACCCGTCGTCACCATGGTTACCACTTGAATTTAATTCACTTTTATACACTGGGAAATGCTCATTTTGTATGGAATTTATCCTATTTATGCAAGTTATTAAAATCACCATGGAAATTAATGAAATAAAATTCATTTTGGTTACCATGGAGACCAAAAATTAAAAGTGTGTTAAATATTTGTGTTTCTATGACATGTCAAAAAATTGACCCAAAAAATTTTTGCACAAAATACGATACGAGAAGTGATGCGAGAAGTGAATGAAAATTTTCGTAACCACGACGACGACGGTGGTGTGCATAGTAACGGTTTTTCTCATGGTTGTCATGGTTATTAAAACGAGTTTTTTGTGGTCGGCAGGGAAATTAGTTCACTTGCGCGACGGGTTTTTCAGAGGTTGGACTTTTGGCCTAGAATTTTTGGGTTGTGGGGATTATGTAAATTTTCAGGGGGATGAAGAGGGGGTGGTTTTGGATTTTTGGTTGCTATGGAAACGATGAAATGCCATGGAAACAGAGTTTTTTTTATTAAGAATGCTGTTGTCATGAAAATGAAATGTCAATTAAATGACGTCATAATTAAAGAAATGACGTCATTAAAAAAATTAATGACGTCACAATTTTATTTATTCATAAAATGCCTAAAATTACCATGGAAATTAATTTCCGAATAAAATAAATCCATGGAAACGCCATAATAATTTTCCATGGAAATCACTACCCAACGGTCCCCAAGTTCAACTTCCCCAAAATGAGCGTAATCAGCGGTACGAAAGTCAACGCCGTTCCGTTCGGTCGATTCGTGTTCAAATACGCCGAGAGGTTGAAGAAGTTGGCTATAAAAATTAATTTTTTAGTTGTCATGGCAACAAGAATTATAAAAATTGCCATTTTACCTCCCCTTCCCTGCGCCTGCGCGGCCGGATTGTTAAATTGCGATTCCAACGCTTCGAGCAGCATTTCCGTCGGAATCCCGATTTTCGTTTGCTCCAAATCCGTGTCAAGGTCCTAAAATTTCCATGGAAACGGGGTTTTATTTCCATGAATATAATTTTCATTTATAAAAAAACTTACGTTGTCATGGATTGAAAATCCGACGGAAATTGAAATTATGGCGAAAATTGAGAGGAGCAAAATTCGACACATTTTTTGGGTTTCTATGGAAACGTGTTAAATAATTTTTGCTATTTGTTTCTATGGAAACTGAGTTTAAATGAATTATAAATTTCATGCAGAAATCAAAGCTTTTTATGCAGAAAAATTTCATACCAGATTTTCCTCTGCTCTAATTTTTCGTTAATATTTGCATAGTAATTAGTTTAGGTTTACTCAACTAATTATGTTTATTTTGTTGCCATGACAACAATGACATAAATTATAAGGCAACATCCTTGACAATTAGTAACCAAAGTGTTTATTTTTTTTCTTTTAAAAATTTTCATGCGTTTCCATGGAAATTTTAAAAAATCCCCCCAGTCCCCCATGGAAACCCTCTCAAAAAAATTCAATTACAATAAAATCAATTACAAAACCCACAAACATAAAATTAAATCTAAATGACAACTGCCAATTAAAAAAACAATAGCATAATAAAAAAAATTGCGTAACCATGACGTAGTAAATAAAAGAATAAAACAATATTTTTCAGTCCAGGATCCATATTTTAGGAATAATCACCATGGTTTTTGTTATTTTATTAATTTTAGTTTCCATAGCAACCGTTGGATCTGGGGCTGGAGTTTTAAATGCCATCACGGGTGGGGCCAAGATCGTGGGGATGGACGTGAGTTTTTTTTTGTTTCCATGGAAACTTAAACAAAATCTAAATTAAATTAATTTTCCAGGCCCTCGTCAACCACACGGTGCGATTGAAGAAGGTTCTAAAAGGTAAATTTGTAAATTTCAGTTGCCATGGAAACCATGGATATAAATTTATTTTTGCAGATACGACGCTGGTCACGGAGACGGATTGCATTGAGGTGAAAATTAGTTAATTTGGAGGCGTTTTTAATTTATTTTGGGGGTGAAATTTATGCAAAATTATGCAAATTTAAGACAATGTTCATGTCGCCGTTTCATCACCCCGTGACCTTCACGGCCAATTCTTCCATTGGGGACAGGCAGGACCCGACCTGTGTTTGGAATTTCGTGGTGAGAGTTTCTATGGAAACTATATAGATTTTTTAGTTTCCATGGGAATTTTTTGACTTACTTTAAGTTTCATATGGAAACGATAATTTCCATGGAAATTATTAATCATATATGGCAACAATTTAAGTTTCTATGCTAAAATTTCCATGGCAACTAAAAAATAATTTCCATGCCAACGAAAAAAAATATTTAAATTTCCATGGCAACAAAATTAAATTCCTAATTCCCCTAGGGCACGGAACCCTGCCTGCCCCTCATCACCTGCCCGACGTTCACGGTCCCCTGCGCGACCTCTTCCTTGACAATCACGGACGGTGTCTATGGTTACGAATCTTTCTGTGGTGATAACAAACCCAATCAAATCCAAGCTTCCAACGATTTACGAGATTTATACGTCACGTTAAATGGAAGCAAATCGGTGAATTTGGAGTGTAACGTCGTCTGCGGGCGGAGGGGGCAAAAAGGGGGCGTGGTTTTAGGGAAGAAAATGGAGCCGAAAGTCAATGCCAATTGTCGTGAGTTTTTTTTTTTTGTCAAGCTTTGTTTTGGGGTGGGTTTTTTTTCGGTGGTAAATTTTTTATTGTTTTTGAGATTGTTGGGAGGGAGTGAAATTGTGAAGTGTAAACGGGGCTTTAGGTCCGTGAAAATTTTCTTAAGGCGCGTTTGGGGTTTGTTTTTTTTGGTCGTCGTAACCGTGGCGATAATTTATAGTACTATCGAAAGTTTCTAAAATCGCAAAGTTTAAACCGAGCTTAAGATCCCAAAAATTGTTTCCTAACCCGAGTTATTAAAACATTCCTTGATAAAATATGTCGAAAATTTCGCTAAAATATCAAACTATAAACCGGGCTTTAGGTCAAAATTTTTCTTAGGTGAGCCTTAAAACTATTTTCAGGCTGCGGGATGAAGGCGAACGACAACCGGATCGTGGGTGGGGAGGACGCGATTAAGAACGAGTTTCCGTGGCTGGTCGCCTTGGTGGAGGCCGGAACGAGGCAGCCGTTCTGCGGGGGGAGCATCATCAATGATCGATTTATTCTCACGGCGGGTGCGTTGATTTTATGCGATTTTTAGAAAAAATTTCCCCACCTAAGACCAATTTTTGTGGATTTTTTGTGCAAAGAATTAATGAAATTTAGAAAAAAATAATCTTAGGCGTGAGAATTAAAAATATATCTCACTGCGGATAATTTTTTTTAATTCCTAACGAAAAAATTTCCCCACCTAAGACCAATTTTTTTCTAATTTTTTAGACAAAAAAAATTAATCTTAGGCTAGAAAATTTACAATAAAAATAATTTTAGCCACGAAAATCCCCAAAAAAACAACCCTTAAGTCAACGTCATTTATCTTAGGCCACTGTTTCAAGGGCCGTTTCCTGGACATCAAAAACATTGAGATAATCGTGAACGGCCACATCCTCGACTCGACTCCGAACTTGGGCGTCCTCAAAGTCAAACCGCCCCCGAAGAAATACACGGATTTGGCGGAATTAGCGAGGATCGATGCGGCGAATGGGTCGAGCAGGTTCGCGGCAGAGGAGGTCTTCGTCCATCCTCTTTACGTTTCGGAGTGAGTTTTTTGTTGCCATGGGGATGAAAATTTATTTAATTGTTTCCATGGAAATATAAATAAATTTCCATGGAAAAAATAAAATTAATATCCATGGAAACACTAAAAATAAATCTCACATAGAACCAACGACTTCGACGTGGCGACGATCCTTCTGGACCGCCCCATCGATTTCAAGGCGATCGGAAAGGCGGGGCCGATTTGCCTGCCGGAGCTGCCGCTGAGCTACATGCGAACCTTTGGCAAAAGACACGCCACGATCGCGGGATGGGGGCTGCAGGGCTTGGAAAAAGAGGGGACCCCAACGGTAGGTTTTTTCTAGGGGGCCGTTCATAAATTATGGAGCGTGAAAATTGAGCGTTTCTCGCATGGGACCTCATTTTTTAGCCTCGCGTAATTTATGAATCGGCCCCCCATAAAAAAAATTCCGAAAAACACTACCCACAAACCGGACTTAATAAAAATTCCCTTAAAAAAAATCCTCATAGATCCTCCAAAAACTCGTTGTGAACGTGTTCCTCCCCTCGGAATGCAAATCCCTGTACGCGCACCGCGTGAACCGGCGCATGCTCTGCGGCGGTTTCAAGGAAGGCGGGAAGGACTCCTGCGCGGGGGACTCGGGAGGTGCGCACCTAAGGTTTTATTTTTTTTGTAATTTTTTCTAAGGCGAGTAATTTTGTAGGTCCATTGGTGATGGAGGACAAGGACAAGGTTTGGTACCAGATCGGCTCCGTGAGCTGGGGGGATGGGTGCGCCAAGGAGGCGAATCCTGGGGTTTACTTCAGGACGACAGAGTCCGGGCAGTGGCTGAGGCACACGGCGAATAGGAATGGGGCCGTGTGGTGCGATGTTCCGGAGTAGTTGGGAATAAAGTGTTTTGTATTTTGTGGAATTTTGTGAGGGTGTGTGAATTTTTGGCATGGAATTGGCACAAATTTGGCATGCCAAAAAATTAGCATTTAAATTGGCAGAGAAAATGGCACGGAAATTGGCGTGCTAAAAATTTGCACACTATTTAGCACAAAAATTGGCACGTGCCAAAAAATTAGCACTAAAATTGCCAAAAAAAACACATAAAAATCTACCCTATCAACTAAACAAATTCCCAAAAATTACCCTACTAAATAACCATGACAACAAAATCATAACATAGGATAAAAAATATATAATACACAAAAAATCATTTTTTTTATTTCAATTTAAATTTTTTTAATAAAAAAAACCACAAAATTTCCATGACAACCGAATTATACACACACGACGACATATTTTTTGAAAAGAATTTTGTTATATATACTCAAAATCACCATGACAACCAGACACGTTCTTCTTTCTCTTCTTCTTTTTAAAAGCGGACAAATTAAATCTTCACATTGCGTACTTTCGGGTCCACCTATGGAAACATAATTTTATTTAAAGAAAAACGTTCGAAAATCACTTATCAAAAGGTTCTAAACTCACTCTCGAGCCAATTCGTTATACTTATCGCGGTCGGTTTTGTATATTCGCGCGATTTCCGGGACCAATGGGTCGTCAGGGTTCGGATCGCACAGTAAAGAGCAGATTGACAAGAGGACTATGGAAACAGTTTTTAAATTAGTATTAGTTGTCATGGAAACAATTAAAAAATGGTAACCATAGAAAATAAATTAAAACCGTTGCCATGGAAACACAAACCTTTGCTAATGGTGAGCGCGGGGCTCCACTGTGACCTCAGGATGTCGAGGCAGATGCTTCCGTTCGAGTTGATGTTTGGGTGGTAGATTCGCGTCGTGAAGGAAACCTTGGGCGGTTTGAAGGGGTAGTCCGTCGGAAAGTGGATCGACAAGAAAAATACCCCGCCTTGGTACGGGGAGTCGGGCTGGGCGAAGTTATTTTTTTTATTTTGGTTGCCATGGCGATAAATTAAGAATTAATAAAAAAAAAAGTGAAAACTTACGGGTCCCATGATTGTTGCTTGCCAGTGGAATACTGTAAAATTATTTTATTAAATTTTATCACCATGGCAACCAATTGAATAATAAAAATAGATTTACAATCATCTCCCACGGGTCCGGCGGAGCACTGAGCGGGGGGGTCGCGGCCGAGGTCTTGCAGTTCCTTGGATTTTAGAATTAAAATTTATTTTCAAGTTGCCATGGTTTTATTTTATTGAAATTTAGTATTTTCAGACCTTATTGATCCGCTTAAGCGCCATTTTGTTTTAAAACTCTTTTGTTACGCCCACTGTTTCCGTTGGACAGAGACACGAGTTGCACCCACTTTTTAAAATTAGGATTAATTTTTTAGGTTAAAATCGTGTGGATCTTAGATTATTTTCCGTCCTTTGCAAACTCTGTGTGTGTGTCTGTGATGTGAGTGAGGGTGATTTGGGTTAGGATCGTGGGTGGCATCTGCCGGGGGTGAGGAGTGGATTTTGGAGAAATTGGTGGGCAGGTGGCGGTGAGGTGGGGATGGGGACACTTTATGGGATGGGATGTTTGTCTGTCCGGAGTGGTTTTATGGTTTGGAAAAAGGTGGGGGTGGCCCTTGGGGAATGATTTTTTTAAGGTTTTTTATGGAAATTGAAAAATCACCATGGTGATTTATTTATTTAAAAAAATAAATTAAACAAATTAAGTTTCACCACTTTGCTACATCCGTTTCTAGGTAAAATAATTTTTAGAGAGTCAAATTTAACCTAGATTTTAATATAAAACTGAATTAGTAAAAATGTTAAAAACGTGCGATTGCTGTAAAAATAGCAGTAATTTAAAGAGCGATTTGGACATTTGGTGCGACAATGAGCAGGAGGAGGTCATGGTCCGTTTTACTATTTATTTAATCACCAATTTATAATTTAATTAAATAAATTTATTTCCATAGCAACCAATCTGTCACCAGGCGATTAATCCGAATTTCCATCAAAACTCCATGGCAACCGGGAGCGGAGGAAGTTCATCGACATTTCTGCCCATGGAATTTATCCAAATTTTAATCCATCAACATGCCAAAACGTTGATTGCTTTGAAGGTGAATTTAGGTTATATAATTTATTTATTTGTTGTCATGACAACCAAAATAAATATTTCCATAACAACAGACGCTCCGCTCGGAAGTCCGCACATTAAAAAAGCCACACCCCCCACCCCCACACCCACAATTATTCCACCCCTTCCCCCACTCTTCCTCCTCCCACCCCCTAAAACCACACCCACATTTATCCCACCCCCACCCTCCCCTCGATTCCGGTCTCTTTTCTACAAAATCCTCCTCAAAGTCCTCCTCCACCCATGGCGACGAATTGTACTCGTTGCTAAGTCAGATCCAGGACAGGATCACGTGTCTGAAAACCCCGCCCACCCGTCGCCAGCCACTCCCACTCGGTTACCTTGACAACGTCGTGGGCAATGGGAATTTCGATTTTTCCAAGTTTCAAAAGGTGGACAGGGCCGTGGTTAAGGCCATTTTGAACTGTGATGATTTGGGGGAGCTGAAGAGGCAGTTGCTCTTTTGTCATGCGAAGGTGGAGGTAATGTCATGGTTACTATTTTTTTACGTTGCCATGGTTACTAATTTCATAATTTTTTAATTTCCAGTCAATGGAACCACCCCCACCACCCCACCCACAAAAAACCACACCCCCACCACCTCACCCCGCCCCACCCCCACCCCCAATAAAAAGTCTGACCTCCTTATCATCAACGCAAAAATCTTTAATTCCAGTTCCTATAGCGAGAATTAAGAAAAAATCACAAATCACAAATAACCACGCCCCCTCCTCAACAACAACAAATTCGACACGGTTTCTATGGGGACAGTGGTTTAATTAGTTGCTATAGTTTTTATTTTGATATATTTTTTCTTGCGCCAATAACGTTTTTTAAAATAATAAAATAAAAAAAAGCACACGGTTGCTATGGAAACGATAAAATTTTTAGCACAACTCCCCGTCGTTGTTCATGGTTTTCTTGATTCGGAGGAGCAAAGTGGTGTACCACTGCTCGAGACGGGAGATGGAGTCGAATTCCTGCACCGTCTCGGTGAACGTGTCGATATCTTCTTCCTCCAGCGCGTTGGTGAGGGACTATGGATAGGAGATTTTTTGTTGTCATGGTTACTATTTTTTTTAGTTTCCATGGTTACCAATTAAATATTTCCATAGCAACACTCACCCTCACAAACTTAAACTCCCTGGTGTCCTGAAACGCGGGATACATGTCGGCATAGCGATCCAGCGCCTGTTTCGCGTTCAGAACATCCACGCAAAGGTGACAAATCGACGCTCGGAAGAAATACTCCTTTGCCGAGTATTTCAAGAGGGAGGACTCCAGGGAGGAGGCTGCTATCTATTTATTATAATTTTTTAATTCAGTTTCCATGGCAACCAAAATCAAACAAATAAAAAACAGTAACTACGCACCTCCTCATAAACCCTCGTCGCTTTAGTATAATCCTCCATCAAGCCCGCATGCGCGGCGACCTTCAAGAGCGCCTTGTTCGCGGCCGCGTTGCTCTCCTCGCCCTTGAACATGTCCGCGGCCTTTTCGAAATAAATTATGGATTGCGCGAGGTCCCCGTCGGACTCCAATATTTCCGCGATCGTTTGATTATGCTTGGCTGCTATGGAAAAGCGACCCATTTCTTGGTATAAATCGATAGAGTGGTTCAGGCAGGTCACGGCTTCTACAAGGGAAATAAATTGGCGTTAGTTGTCATGGTGATTAATATTAATATAATTGTTGTCATGGAAATATATAAAATAAATAAAATAGTTGCCATGGTTACCCTTCGTGTCCGTTTTCTTGTAACACGTCGCGGCATCCACCCAATTCGTCGCGGCGTCATGTTTCGAGCCATTTTTCAAGTGCAATTCCGCTGATTTAGAGAACGCCTCCCCCGCGGAACCCCACTTTTTCGCCATTTTAAACATGTTCGCGGCGCGCTGGTAACACTCGATCGCGTCCGAGGTCTTGTCGCTGGATCTGCAAATTATATTTTATTTATTTATGGTTGCCATGGAAACTAAATAAATAATTAAATAAATACCCAAACAACCCCCCTAAAAACGACTTTCCTCCCCCCAATTTCTTCTCCGCCTCCGCCATCAGTTCAAGGGCTTTCTTCTCCGCGTCGGACATGGTGTTGCTATTGGAATGTGGTTGCTATGGTTACTATTTATTAGTTGCTATGGTTACCAGGGTGCCAATTAATTTTTTTATACGAGAGAAATAAATTCAGGGCCAGAGCGAAATTCTCTATACAACTGCGAAATTTATTATCCTTTTTTGAGGGTGTGTGACACAGATCGATATTTTGAGTCACGTGGGGCGAGGTGAGACTCTGTTTCTATAGAAATCTCAATAGAAATCTCAGTTTACCCCGGGTGAGGAAAACACAGTGCCAACTCATCACCACGACTACGGGAGATTTTTGTGTGTATTTTGCAGTTTTTCTTCAGTTCACTCTTGGCAACCGGCCGATTAAAACCTAAAAATTAAATATGTCTCCATTAGTTACCTTGGTTTTACTGGGGGTTGTTTCTGGTAATTTATTATTTTTGTTTCCATGGCAACGGATTTAATTTAATTTAGTAACCAAGGCAACCAATTTACTTAAAAAATATTTATAAATTTAGTAACCACGGCAACGACCTGCAAATTAACCAGCCCGACCTCCTACACGACCCGTGACGCCTCCGTCCTCACCTCGATCGCCTACATTTCCAATTTCCAGTTGTCATGCCAACCGAGTTTGGCTGGGAAAAATGTCTACGCCGTGGAGGACTCGACTGGGGTCGTGGTTCCCTTGGGGATCGGGGCCGATGGGTCCTATCAGATCTCCATCGTTAAGGAGGTATATTTCCATGGCAACAGTGATTTTTTGTTTCCATGGTTACCATTTATTTAAATTTCCATGGCAACTAAATTCCACTTCTCTCTCAAAAAAGGTCTCAACCCAAACGAAAGGTGACCACACGTTTTCGATCCACTCGGACGAAGGGCTGAGCCAAATAAAGAAAAAGCAACCGGCCGTCGCCTTGGCAACCGTGGTTTTGAACCATCCCGGAGCGTGGTCTGGACCCTGGTTGAATTCCGAACATTTAGCTGCGATTTTGGGGGTTTTGGTCGGTTACGCTGCTATTTCGGGGAAGGGCAAGTTGTTGAGTTAGTGTTGTCATGGTTATTTGAGAAATAAATAAAATTGTTGTTATGGTAATTTTTCGTTGTTATGTGGTTTTATTTTTAAAAATTGTTGTCATGGAAATGGAAATCATAATAATCACCATGCAAAAATAATTAAAAAATCACCATGGCAACGTTGTCTCACACCACCCCAGCCCCGCGCCACTGCACAAACCCACATCCATGCCGACTCTCTCACTCACTCAAATCCACTCATCCGACACACTTCTCATAAAATCTCCTTGGAAACTATTAAATAAATTCAAAATGGTAAGTCTCTTAAATTTATACAGTAACCATGGCAACATAATAATTAAAAATAATCCCACAGTCGGAAGGGACGGCCACCATCCGCACCCGTAAATTCATGACGAACCGATTGTTGTCAAGGCGACAAATGATCGTGGACGTCCTCCACCCCGGTCGCGCTTCCTTACCCAAAACGGAAATCCGCGAAAAACTAGCGAAATTGTACAAGACGACGAACGACGTGGTTTTCTGCTTTGGATTTAAGACGGCTTTTGGAGGGGGGAGGAGTTCCGGGTTTGCGCTGATTTATGATTCGCTGGATTTGGCGAAAAAATTTGAGCCGAAATATCGACTGCAGAGGGTGAGGATTTTATTTTATATTTTGGTCGTCATGGTGATTAAATTCGGTTGTCATGGCAACTAATAATAAAAAATGTGTATCCATAGCACGGCCTTTACGAGCGCGGAAAGACGACCCGAAAGCAGCGCAAGGAGAAGAAAAACAGGATGAAGAAGGTCCGCGGCACGAAAAAGACCAAAGTGGGCGCGGCGGCCGCGAAGAAGGTATTTTTTAAATTTTTTTATTCACTGTTTCCATGGAGATTATTTTATGATGAAATAATTTATGATATAATAGCCGAGAAAGTGAAGGGTTATATATTGGAGGTATTTATTTTCGGATTCAAAAATTTAGTGTGTTTCCATAGCAACGAGTTTTGGTTTCTAAAAACTAACAATTTTTTAATAGTCTTTTTGGTTTTAAATTAACTACAAAAAAATCCGTTTCCATGGTGATTTTACTAATTTAAATTTTCTCATTTCCATAGTAACCGAGATGACCATCAGAAGACCGCGCCGGCTGTTTATATAATAAAAATTTCTTTTTTGTTATTTAAAGGAAATAAAAAAAAATCTCTAAAAAAATCCATAACCATGGCAACAAAAAAAATTATTAGCATAGCAACATAGATGACTCACCACCACCCGGGTATCGCGATTTACCCGCTTTTTTTCACCAAACCCAAATATCACCACAACACAACAACACTTCAGAGTTGAGTGAATTTAATCACAAGGACGAATCAATTTAATTTTAGTGTAACCATGGCAACCGATACGGCAACCACGCCCATGGAAACGCCACCTCCTCCGATGGAAGTTGAATCTCTCACAGAAGCGGCCTCAAGGCAGATGAGGGAGTTGGGTAGGTTTTTTAATTTTTATTTTTTAGTTTCCATGGCAACTAATTTAATTTTCGGAAATAGATCTCAGTAAAGAAACGCAGAATGGTAACTCAGCAAAGAAGAAATCCGCTGCCATGGCAACGCCCCGCTCGTCGTCCGTTTCCAGGGCAACGATTAAATCCCCAACGACGCTGAGATCTCCTACGACGTCGTCAACGGGGAGTTTCACCGATGAGAAAATTAGTAAGCTTGGTTACTATTTTATTTCCATGGTTACTAAATTATTTATTTAAATGTGTAGAACTGCCCATGAATAAAATCACCGTTGGCAACGCTCCATCCCCACAAATCTCCAAGGCAACCTCGAAAATTGGATCCTTAGAAAACACCAGGTTTTCATTAAATTAAATTATTTGTTTCCATGGAAAATAACATGAATTAAATTTCCATAGCTACAAACCGTCGGGGGGCAAAGTAAAAATTGATCACAAAAAACTAGAGTGGAACGCAAAGAGTAAAATTGGAAGTTTGGGGAATTTGGGGCACACGCCGGGCGGGGGGGCCGTCAAGGTAATTTTTTTTTAAATATAGTAACCATGGCAACCAAAAAACGAAATTAAAATTCCAGATAACAACGAAAAAAGTGGAGATAAAAGCCACGTCCCGGATCGGTTCCCTTGACAACACGGGTTACAAACCGGGGGGAGGAGCTAAAAAGATTTTCGATGATAAGGATTACATGAAACGGGCCAGTCGAAGTTCCGCCTCCAGTTTTGGTGGGGCTGCTGCTGGAGGGAAAAGCTCGGAAAATTTATCAGCAAAAACCTCTCGGGCCACGCGAAGTCTGTCCGTGAGCGATAAAAAAACTGCGGATGACTAAAAAAATTTTTGCCTTTTTCTTATTTGGCTAACGTGTAAATTTATTATGTAAATTGCTTATTTAATGTAAATAAATTCCAGTTTCGTTACCATGACAACAGATTTATTTTAAATAACACGCATAGCAACAAGGAAAAAAAGAAGAGAAATTAAAATTTATCGCGCATGCGATTTGCAGAACGGGCGCCCTTGTTTCGCGAAAAAACTTTGACCCTCCAGGTTTTTCTTGCAGGCCTGCGGATTTAGGATTTTATTTGGTTGCCATGGAAACTGTAGAAAAATTTAGGCTCACCGAACAATTGAAGCATTGCGAATGATAATTTTGACTCATGGCCTCCACCCACCGATCTCCAGCCTCGATCGGAAAACCACACCCATAGCATTTCGTCGTGAACAGCTCGTTCCAGTCTAAGGATTTAGTTTCCATGGTTACTAATTCTTAATAAAAATGGTTGCCATGGTTACCAGCTTGACAATAAGCAGCCCCATCCTCCACGAAAAACGGCTCCTTTCCGAATTTTTTACCGCATTGTCGGCAGCTATGGAAATTTAATTGTAATTAAATTTAATTGTGATTAAAATTGGTTAATTAAAAATTACGTGAAACAATCGGGGTGGAAATCTGTAAAATAAAAAAAATTATTCAGTTTCCATGGAAATTAAAAATAAAGGTAACCATGGCAACCACGCACCCCTCCCCATGGCCTTGAGACACTCATTTTTGATCCTTTTCGAGCATTTGGCGCATGGCGGCGCGATGTTGGCTTCCCAGCAAAATTCGCAATGGAGATTCGGCGATAGGTCGACAAAGCCGATTTCCATCAAGTCACGTGAGCAGGACGCACAGGAAAAGTGGGAGGGGCAGTAAAACTTGGTTGCCGTCGAGATGAAGGGGCCTCTGGAATTTGGTAACCATAGAAACGGGAAATTAGTAACCATGGCAACTATGAATTTTTTTCTATTGTTTCCATGGCACCTCACCTAATCTGCTTCTGGCACACCCCACAGACGGCAACCCTGGAGCTCGGCTGGTTCAGAATCCCACGACCGATCCGATTGGCTAAAATCGAGGAGGAGGAGGACTTGCCACCCCCACCGAAATTCGACGTTTTGTTCTGGCTCGCTCCTCCCACCGACTTGTTTTGACCACTCCCGTAGCTCGCTCCGCCCCCTAACTGACCGCCCCCGTAGTTCTGATTGGCTCCGCCGTAGTTTGGACCACTCCCTCCGTAGTTTTGATTGGCTCCATAATTGGCTCCTCCTCCTCCTCCGGCTCCTCCCACCGGTTTAATTCCTATGGCCCCGCCCCCAATCGGACCTGAATAATTCACGCCGAATTGTGGACCGCCTCCTTGGCGGATTGGGGGCGTGGCCATGCTGGCAGGGGGCGGGGCGACAGGGGCGGCAGTGGGTGGGATCAGCGGTTGTTGCATCAGTAAGCTGGAAATTTTAGGAACAAATTTCAGTTATCGGGCCACGCGAAGTAATTAAAATTTTACTTTCAGCGGGCCACGCGAAGTAAGAATTATTTTGTTTTATCGGGCCACGCGAAGTACTTTACCTATTCAACGGTTGATAAGGGACATGTTGCTGTTTGAATTTTGGACTCGTTTCCATGGGGGCCACGCCCCCTGATGGAGCAGGCGCACCCCCTCCAATCGATGGCACACCCCCCGCCGGCGGCCAAACCACTTTGCTCCCCTCCGATGAAGAAAATGACGTCGAAGAAGTCGTAGTTTTCGACTGCTTGGATTCATAAGATTCAAAGTAGTTTTGCTGTTGCTGTTGCTGTTGCTGTGGAAATGACGACGGTTGCGATGGAAACGCCGGTTGCTGTGACAACGGTTGTTGATTTGGCGATTTTGGGGCCGTCACGTGGGAGATTATCGTGGGGCCACCGAACCCGGTCTGCAATTAAAAAAAATCATTGTTTCCATGGCAACCAGGGTCCTTTGACTGTTTCCTTGGAGAATTTCTAGACAGGGTCATGTCAGTTCAAAAATTCTCCAAAATTTTTTTTACAGATTTTAATGTTTGGGAATATCCTCCAAGGAAACAGTCAAAAGACCCTGATGGCAACCAAAAAAAATTAATAAAAAAAACACCTGAAACGGGGCTGGCCCGCCACCCCCGAATTTAGGCGACGCCAGTGGCGGCAGTGGTTGAAACGCTGGTAACGGTTGCGATGGCAACGACGGTAACGATGGCAACGGCTGCGTGTAGCTAAATGGTTTGGTCGCGGGTGGCGCGGTGGGCGCGCTCGTCGCGACTGGACTCATCCCCCCCGCGACCAAACCCGGATTCTGTTGCCTAGCAACCAATTTAGCGTGGATGTCGCAGTAGAGTTTGTTGTTTATGTTGAAATATCCGACGTTTTTGAGCGACTGGCCGCACGTGGAGCACTTGAAACAGTCCACGTGCAGGTTTTTTTCCTTCACCCGGACGAACACCCCCCTTTTTTAGTAACCATGGCAACGGTTAAATTTTTTAAGTTTCCATGACAACCGATAATAGTAACCATGGCAACGAAAAAAAAACCTGCACTTACACAATCAACCTCTCGCAATCCGCGCAGATATTCGTTCCAGGCGCTAAGGGCGCGGTGTTTCCGGGCGCGCTGCTGGGTTGTGGCGCGGGAGGCGTGGTCACCATGGGTTGGAAATTGATGGGCTGAGTGGGTGTGGTCACCACGGCGGGGGAAATTTGCTGTTGCTGGGGGTGCGGTTTTGCAATGGCGGGAGAGATTTGCTTCGGCAGGGGTTTCGGGTTTGGTGGGGGGATTTTTTCTGTGGAGTTAAAACAATGTTATTGTTGTCATGGAAATTAAATTTTGTAACCATGGAAATAAATTATTGTAACCATGGAAACCAAATAATAAATTATTGTAACCATGGAAATAAAAAAACAAGTAACCATGGCAACCTTGTTGTTGATGCTGCTGCCCACCCCCACCGAAACTCCCCACGATCCTCCCCAAGGCCGGGCTATTTTGATACGTTGAACTTTCGTACGAATTTTCCTCCCCGGAATTCTCTTCCTGTAACATTTTGTAAACTTCCGAATTTTCGTAGTTGTACTTTTTCTCGTTCTTCTTGAAGTTTACGCTGCAAAAAAATTACGTAATTAAAATTTGGTTGCCATGGAAACGAAAAATAGTTGCCATGGAAACACTGACCCGATGGCCCCCCCAGCCAAGACCTCAGCCTGGGCGGAGAGGGTTTCCGCGATGGACGCGTCCGAGTACATGTTGATCGGCGTGTTGAACTGTTTGTTCACCAGGTGCGCGCCGGACTATATTTTTTAATTAATTAGTTGCCATGGTTACCATAAATTTATAAATTAATTAATAAAAATAAAATGGTTACCATGCGGGAAAAACGGTTGTCATGGGGATGGAAAAAAATAAAATAAAGCGAGGTTAAAATTGAGGTTTATAAATTGCGAGGTTTATGAATTTATGCGAGGTTTACAAATTTACACGTGCGTGGGTTTACGAAAAACCATGCCATTTCGTAATTTAATAAAATTACCTTCCCCACCGCAAAAGGCTTGACCCTTGAATTAATCCCCCCACCCCCACCCCCACCGACCACACCCCCATTACTTTTCTTCAAACTAGTCTTTGTCCATACCTGATCTGCCCCTTGCCCCCCCTGCCCCCCGGTAACCATAGCAACCTGGGGCGCCCACGTCGTCGTCCCCGCTGCCTTAATCACCACGAAATCCACGGAATTCCCAGCGTTTTTAATCACGTCCTGCGCCGCCTTGTGCGTCAGATTCGAGGCGTCCGAGGCGTTGATCTTTAGCAAAACGTCCCCCGGGGAGAGGCCCGATTGGGAGGCGATCGAGTTGGCCGTTACCTAGGCAACGGATTAATTTATATGGTTGTCATGGCAATTAATTTTTGTTTTCGGTTGCCATGGAAACCTAAAAAAAATAAAAACCCCACCTTCAACACCACCAGTGGCTGCCCGAAGTCCTTCCCCCCATGGATCCTGAATCCCCACGGAGTCCCCAAATTCGGCCTCGACAATTTCAACGTGGTTGCCATGGTTACTGAAAATTTCGGACTAAAACTAAGAATGGCGAGGAGGAGAGAATGCAGGAAGAGGAAGTGGAGAATGGGGAAAAAAATTGCAAGGTTCGAGAAAAGTGCTCGAGAGTCGTGTGAAGATCTGGAGCAGTGGCTATTTTTAGATTTTGCACTGTGAATTCCGGTGGAATTTCGGTGGGCATGACTGCTAAAAAAAGATTTGTTGTCATGGGGACGTTTTTATTAAAATTTTTGTTGTCATGGAAATTGTGCGTCTTTTCCATGGAAACTATTTTTAAAAAAATACCTTAACAACGATGAAAAATCACCATGGAAACGAATTTAAAAAAAATTGCCATGGAAATGTTGTCATGGAATTTACATACAAAAAACTATGCACTTTTTCCATGGAAATCTCATTTCATGCATCACCTTTATGCATCTTTCCCATATGGAAACATAAAAAATCACCATAACAACCATATAAAATCACCATGGCAACGGAAAAAAAATTCAAAAAAACCATCGAAACATAAAAACAATCCCCCCATTTAAAAAATCCCATAAATCCCCCCTCGGCGCGCGCCTGCGCAGTCCCCCAACCCCAACCCAACCCATATTTTTTGCTATACACACTACTCTCACTCACTCACTTGACTCTTAGAATACGGACCACACTGCATTGAAACCCATCCCAAAATCCACACTCTCACTCCGAGGAGACAAATTCTGCGGCATAAAAAAAACTACTTCAGTCACAACACACTTTTTAACTTTCTAGTCAATGATTTAAGTGGTGGGTGTGGTGCTCGAGAGAGAGTGGGTGTGGTTGGGTGGTTGCCATGGCGATGAACGCGACTACCCGGTTCTCCGACAATTACGAGTTAAAAGAGGAGTTGGGCAAGTTAGTAAAAAAGGCACTTTTTTGTGTGTTGTCATGGAAATATTTATTTTTATTCAAATGTTGTGATGGAAATAAATAAATAAAATTTAGTGAATTTATTGCCATGGAAATATTTTTATATAAAAAAATGTTGTCATGGAAATATTTTAATAATAAAAATGTCACCATGGAAATTTATTTTTATTAAAAAGTTGCTATGGAAATAAAAAAAACACTTAAAAATAATCCTAGGGGCGCCTTCTCCATCGTCCGGCGCTGTGTCCAAAAGTCGACGGGGTTGGAGTTTGCAGCGAAAATCATCAACACAAAAAAATTGAGTGCTCGAGATTTCCAAAAGTTGGAACGCGAAGCGAGGATTTGTCGCAAGCTGCAGCATCCTAACATTGGTATTTATTTTTTATTTATGGTTGCCATGGTTACTGAAATTAATTTATTGTAAATTTTAGTCCGCCTCCATGACAGCATCCAAGAGGAGAATTTCCATTATCTCGTCTTTGACTTGTGAGTGTTTTTATTAAATCGCCATGGAAATTAAAAACGGTAACCATGGAAATAATCTGTAACCATGACAACGCAGAGTCACCGGAGGGGAATTATTCGAGGACATAGTCGCCCGTGAGTTTTATTCCGAGGCGGACGCGTCGCACTGCATCCAGCAGATTTTGGAGTCTGTGAACCATTGTCACACCAACGGCGTCGTCCACCGCGATCTCAAACCTGAAAATCTACTCCTCGCCTCCAAGGCCAAGGGGGCGGCCGTTAAATTAGCCGATTTTGGGCTGGCCATTGAGGTCCAGGGGGAGCAGCAGGCGTGGTTTGGTTAGTGGATTTTTTTCTTGGTTGTCATGGGGATTTTTGTGGGAATTTTTTTTTTTTAGTTTCCAACTCGGGCTAGGCGAAGTTTTGTGGAATTTTTTTTATTGTCCACTCCACGGGCCACGCGAAGTTCCATGGAAATTAATGATTTTTATCCATGACTTCGCGGGGCCCTATAACAAAAAAATCTCTACAACTTCGCGGAGCCCGAGTTGCATAAAAATCCACGGAATTTTTTTTAATTAAATTTTTAATTCCCTTTTTCCATGGAAACTGAAAAATTAATAAATTTCGTGACCTTAGGATTCGCCGGAACCCCTGGCTACCTCTCCCCCGAGGTATTAAAAAAGGAGCCGTACGGGAAACCGGTGGACATTTGGGCGTGCGGCGTGATTTTGTACATTTTGCTCGTCGGCTACCCGCCCTTCTGGGACGAGGACCAGCATCGGCTCTATGCACAAATTAAATCCGGGGCGTATGACGTGAGTTACCATGGAAACTATTATTTTGGTAACCATGACAACCAATTATTTAGTAACCATGACAACTAAATATTCCAGTACCCCTCCCCCGAGTGGGACACGGTCACCGCGGAAGCCAAAAACTTGATCAATTTAATGTTGACCGTGAATCCAAACAAGCGGATCACCGCCTCCGACGCTCTTAAACATCCATGGATTTGCGTATGTCTTTTTATTAGTTGCCATGACAACCTAATAATCACCATGACAACCATTTTAATTGTTACCATAGCAACGCGAACGAGTAGCTTCAATGATGCACCGCCAGGAAACTGTCGACTGTTTAAAGAAATTTAACGCTCGCCGGAAATTAAAGGGCGCGATTTTGACGACGATGTTGGCGACGCGGAATTTTTCATGTAACTCAAAATTATTGCAAAATCCAGTGGCATGGCAACACATTTTTTTAAAAATCAGTCTTTTCAGCTCGCAGCATTGTGAATAAGAAGGAAAACACGACCTCGCTCACGTCGGGCTCGGGAAGTCAAGTCAAAGAGTCCACGGATTCATCGACCACGCTCGAGGATGATGATGTCAAAGGTGGGTCGGTCTGTCGGTCTGTCTTTTTTTTATAGTAACCATAGCAACCGATTTTTTTAATAACAAAAAAATAGAAAACTCTTTCTCTCGTGTTTTTTTTATTTGTGTTTTTGGTGTTTTTTTCGTGGTGTTTTTGGTGTTTTTCAATCTTTAAAACCTTAAAAAAGACTCCTCCTCGACGGAATCCCCTCGGAAGACGGGGACAACAAAAACCTCTGGATTTAGCGATAAAAGGACCGTGACCGTTGTCATGCGAGACGTTGCCAATAACAACAATAACGATTTTTTGTGTTGTGAAGGTACTAATTTATTTTTTTAATTTTCGTTGCCATGGTTTTTTATTTTTTTATTTTTATTTATTTTATAGACAAACAAAGAAGCGGCACCCCCTCAACCTCATCCGTTGTCATGGCAACGTCGTTGTCAGGTAATTTTTTATTTCCGATTTTTTTGAGTGTCGTTTTTGGGGTGCGTGAATTTATTATTTTACAAAAATTGAGAGAAAGAGTTTTTAAAAATAGTGTTTTTTTTTGGTTGCCATAGTTACTCTATCATTTAAAAAATCCGTAACTAAGTGAATTTTTATCTTATCCATAAGCTAAAAAAGCAGAGATAATCAAATTGACGGAAAATATTATCGAATCAATTAACAATGGAGATCTCGAACAGTACACGTAAGAAATATTTTTTTTAATTTTCCGTTGCCATGACAACCAAAAAAAATAAAAATAAAATCCCCTAGAAAACTGGCCGACCCGCACATGACGGCCTTTGAGCCGGAATCCGTAGGGAATTTGGTGGCCGGGATGGATTTCCATAAATTTTATTTCGAAAACAACGCCATGACGACGACGTCGGCGGCGGGAAAGTTTAACAATTCAGCATCATCAGGAAGAAATACGACAATTTTAAATCCACACGTTCATCTCCTTGGAGACGACGCCGCCGTCATTGCGTTCATTCGGTTGACGCAGTTTTTTGACAAGTATTAAAATTTTTTATTGTTTCCATGGAAACTATGGCTTTTTTTATAGAAAATAATAGTTTCCATGGTTACAATAAATCTCCATGGTAACTAAATAAAAATAATTTCGTAATTGTATCCATAGAAACCTAAGTGGGACCCCCGCGACGACGCAGCACGAGGAGACGCGCATCTGGCACCGGAAGGACGGCAAATGGCAAATGGTTCACGTGCATCGATCCGCGTCGTCAAGCGCGAAATGGCCCGTTGCCAATAGCAACGCCTCCTCCTTAAATTAATTTTATTGACTTGGAAGATGAACAAAAAAAGTTGATATTAATTTGTGATTCAATTTTTGATGAGAAATTTTACGTTTTTCCCACACACACAACACACACACGTTTTCTTCATATCGAGCTTTTTGTATAAAAAATAATTGGTTGCCATGGAAACGTGGTTTCTATGGTTACCATGAGGTTATTTAAAAAAAATTATCAACACTCTCTCTCTGTATCTCTAAAAAAAACACACTTTTTGATGGATTTATTGCCTTTCTCTGGAATATTTAAAAAATGTGGTGGAAATGATGTTGCCATGGAAACTTTGACTCTGTGAATTTTCTCTCTGGAATAATGTTTCTCTCGGTGTGATTGTAATTTTTATGACAGTAACGCGAAAGATTGGGGTTGAGGGGGGGCGTGGTTGCCATGGTTTTTTGGTGGATATATAATATAATAAAAAAAAACGTTTTTTCTTCCCGTCTCTATGCAAATGAAATTATTGGTGGGTTTGTGTTTTTTATTGAGCATTTTTTGCATAAATCATACGGTTGCCATGGAAATAATTCAATAGTTGCTATCACGATTAGTAACGTAATTTTTAGGTTTAGATTTTTTAATGTCATCATGGAAATAATTTAATAGTTGCTATGACAACTGAAAATTTATCTATGTAAATGAATAATTGAGAGAGTTTGTAAAATTATTTATTGACAAAATACCAAAGGAATTATATAACATATTATTATTCTTTTATATAGTTAAAAATTTGGTAACCATGGTAACGTAAAAAAAAGACCTGTGTGTGTGTGTGTGACCTAAATTTTACTTTTAATATTTATAAAAAAATCTCCATAGAAACTAATTTTACTTGAGGGTAATTATAATCTCGTATTTTACACGAATCTATCTCTCTGGTTGCCATGGAAATGAAAAAAAATCTGTGACACCAAAACTGACCTCTGCTCATTAACTTGTCTTGTTATTAAGACGTATTGTTATTTAAAAAAAAAATTATATTTACCCGAGTTCATTTGTGAAATAGGTTTGTCACCCATGGTAAAACGTCGTGTGATGAAAAAAGACCAGCGACCGTGCCTTTTCACTTTGTTGCTTCGTTGCAAAATCACAATTTCAAAAAAAAAGTTATGTTGCGAACTCGTAATAATTTAATTATTTATTCAAAATGGTTTTCTTAAATTTTACTTTACGAGTAAATAAGCATTCACTAATCAGAGAATGTGGGACGACACTGACCATGGAATGGACGGTGCATGGACATTTTATCATTTTTTTTAGTCACACATTGTGTTAAAGGCTTTTCCAAGAAAATGTGAACCTTTTTTTAACTGATTTTGGACTAATATATTATTTTTGGTAATACTTGACCCGTGTGTGTATTCACATATAAAAGGATTAATGTGTGTCTAATTTTATTAGACTAATAATGTGGTTATTTTATAAGAAATAACCTACAGTGCAGACTCCATATAGCCCGAGTCAGGGATAAGAATTTTACCAATTTTGTCATATTCTTCTATTAAGACCCATTAGCAACCTATCCACCAAATTTCAGCTTGGTATAACAATTTGGAAAAATCAGTATGGGTCACCCCCTAGGGTCACTCTGGTTGCACTTTGCTCACTTTTAACTTCATAGTCTTTAATTAGAAGCCATTAAGTATCATTGTGCCGGATTCCATCTTTTTAAAGCAATTTCTAAAAATCGGTATGGATCACCCCATAGGGTCCGTCAAGATGATAAGTTTTCCAACTTGAAGTCATTTTTATCTATTAGGAGCCATTAGCAACCTCTGTACCAAATTTCAGCTTTCTACAACAATTTTGAAATTTTGGTGCATAAGACCCCACCCACCTAGATGACCTCCACCCGTCAACCACTGGACCGATTTGGCCCATCTTCGAACTCGTTTCCTAACTTTGCCCTATATGCATGTGGTAAAAATTTCAAGTCAATCGGTTCAGCCGTTTTGGCTCTATCGTGCCGGACAGACGGACGGACATGACGGTTCCATAAGCCCTGACTCGGGCTAAAAAGTATGTATAAAAACTTTTTTTATTAATTTGATCCATACCAGAAGCAGGATCTCAAAATTTCAATTCAGCATACGAAATTTCAACTTATGTGTATCAACAACACATTCGAAGCAAATGCAAATAAGCGAAAGAGAAATTTGCATAAAATAGCATGAAAATTTGTTTGGAGATTTTTAGCCCAAAAAAAGGCTTATGTACCCGTGCTGTCTGTCCGTCTGTGAAAAGTGCGTAAAATAAAGAGTAAAATTGAACATTTTTTCTTGCATAAATCTCGCGGTTACCATGGAAACGGGAAAGTGCGTAAGTCTATAAAAAAACCCGGGCGTCATCAGGATCGATCCCGGAATCTCTCTATCTACGCACAGCTGGCTCTGACCTAGTTTTTCGAACGCACGTGTCCATACGCACAATTTTGTTTCTGAATTTTTAATAATAGAAACTTCGCCTAAGAATTAAATTTTAAATTTCCATAGAAACTTCGCACCTAATAACACGCAAAAAATTGCATAAAATTCCATAAAACTCGCAAATAATTCCATAAATTTTTATCATCAAAATAACATTTTCCATGGTAACGCCGCAGTGTTTTTCTTGGTCAAAGTAAATAAAACATATCACGTGATTTAAAAATTACTACAAAAAATTTCATACATTTTTCGTAATTTAATAATTTCATGAAAAAACAACTCCACAAAAAATAAACTAAAAAAAAAATAAAAACCCGACAATTTCCATGGCAACCAAACCCGTAATCTTATCTCGGTTGTTATGCTTATAAAAAAATTTCCTTTACAAAACAAGAAGACGGCATTTCATTCAGAACGTCACTCTCCGCTGCGTAAAGTGTGTAAGTTTTATTCAATTACTAAATTTTTGACGTTAAATATTATTTATTATTGGTCGTCATGGAATTTAACATTTTCTATGAAATTCTATTGTTTGTATGCAAAATTACATTTTTCATAGCGTTGTAAATTTTTTAATGGCATAGTAACAATATTTTTTAAACAAGTTCAAGGTACGTCAATTGTTAGGTTGCCATGACAACAAAAACAAGTAATTAATTTATGATTTTTACGCAAACGCGTCATAACAATGGATATAAATAGGTTCTCGGTTGCCATGGTTTTTTTATAATAATAGATCTCAAGAAAATGGCAGCCAAATTGGAGTCAGCCGAGCCCCCACAGGAAAAATCCCCCCGCCCCCCGCATTCCAAAAAATTAAAGTATTTCACTACCATAGCGATTATGTTGGGGAACATTACTTTTGTGAGTGGATAATTTTTTTTTAATTATTCGGTAACCATGGCAACCAAAAAATTTATTTAAAAAAAATTAGGGCTGCGCATTTAACTTTTACTCCCCCGCACTGGAGGATCTCAGAATAAAGTACGAAACGGACGTGGACGACATTTCGCGGATTTTCACAATTTTACTAGTCTCCTACTGCTGCGGGGCCTTGTCAGGTAAATTTACATAAAAATCCGTTTCCATGGCAACAAAAAAAATAAATTCCGTTTCCACAGCAACGATAATTTACCGATACGTGAACCGCCAGCTGGGCGTAATTTGCTGTTTCTGCGGAATGTCTGTCGCCTTGTTCCTCACGCCGCATGTGGAATCGAAAATCGTGTTTTTCGTACTTGGCGGGGTGCTCGGGATAAGCATCGGGGCCTATGATTGCGCCCAGGTCGTGTGGATGATCGAGATGTGGCAGGTGAGTGAGGAGGGCCAGGCGAAGTTTTTGATTTTTTTTTAGTAAATGCGGGTCGCGCCAAGCTAAGTTAATTTCCATGGGAACTTGTTATTTTTAAGTAACTCGGGCCCCGCGAAGTTCCACTAATTTATTACCTAACTCGGGCCACGCGATTTTTTTTTCATGAAAACTGATAATTTTATACTCTGTAACTCGGGCCGAGCGAAGTTTATGAAAATATACGGCTCGGGCCCCGCGAAGTCACTTTCCATGGAAACTTATAATATTTGTCCATCTCGGGCCCCGCGAAGTCCCCTCCCCCAAAAAAAATCACCATGGAAACATAATATTTTTTCCTAAAATCCACAGGAAAAATCGGGTCCGTTCATCCAATGCCAGCACTTCTGCTACGCCATTGGCTCGAACATTCCCCCGATTTTGATGGGTCCGTTCCTACGCGACGACAACGATGACGACGAATTGGAGATTAAGAAACGTTCGGAAATGCTGATCCCTTTCACCGTCGCGGGAATTTTGTGCTCCGGAGCGTTTTTCATGCAGTTGATGCTATTTATTTTCTGCCGCTACTACACACCCCCGATGTACGGGAAAGAAATAAAAGTGGAGAGTTGCCATGGAAACGTGGAATTTAGTATTAAGAATTTGTTTAAATTCTTTGGGAGTCAAAAGTTTAAGTTGATCGTCGTCATGGGGTGTTTTGCGGGTGAGATTTTATTTATTTTTGGTTGCCATGGAAATTAATTTTTTTAAATACGATTGTCATGGAAACTAAAAATAAATAAAAAATTTTGTTGCCATGGAAACTAAATTTTTTTAATGGATTGCCATGGAAACTAAAAAAATTTTCAATCCACAGGCGCCTACCAAGGAATGGAACTGACCACCCTCCAGTTCATCCCCACCTTTGGCCAATATTCCCCCATAAACCTCTCAGAATCCACCTCTGCCTACGTCCTCACCGGCTCAACGGGCTTATTCGCTATTGGCCGATTCCTTGGCATCTTTATAATAATGAAGGTCCATCCCGTCGTGATGCTCATCACAAGTCTCGCGATCGTGACCACGGGGAACGTGATCCTATTTTTTTGGGCGGGAGAAAATTTGAATTTATTTTGGCTCGCGTGTTGTATATTGGGCGCAGGATTTAGCACCATGTACGCGAGCTGGAGCGCTTTTATGGAGAAATATTTGGTGTTTACGGATGCGGTGGGGGGGGCGCTGATCGTTTGTGGGAGTCTGCTCGCGGCAGTGTATCCCGTCATTGTGGGGGGCGTGATTGAGAGGGATACCAGGGTCCTAGGGGGGGTTAATTTTTTTTCCATTGGGGTTTGTATTGGCGGGTTGGGGGTGGGGGGGTGGGTGGTTAGAAAGGGGAAATGTGAGAAAAAAGAGGGTGGGGAGGAGTGTGGCGGGAGGGTTTAAATTAATTGTTGTCATGGTGATTTTAAATAAAAAGAATTTTTCTATTTATTTCTAAAAATTGTGCTTTATTTTTTGTACATTTCCATGGTTTTTTTTGTATATATAAAACTCTCTAAAAATATTATTTTTGTACTAAAATTACTTTCGTTTCCATAGAAACTTTTAGTATATTTCCATGGTTACACATTTGTAAAAAACCCCAAAAAATCCCCTAAATCGGAGGCCTCGACTCATGTGTCAAATGGGGAACGAGACTGAAGCAAAAAGTGTTTGTAAACTCGCAACAATTTGGGTGCAGGAAATACGCGGCGGCTAAAAACAGCCCCATCAGCGCGAAATTCAAACCGACCACGTGACTCACGAGTTTCCATTTCCTTGGCGGGGAGCGTCGAATTTCCTTTCCGCGGCGACTGCAATTTGGGAATTATTAGGAAAGATTCTTTTAATTTACTAGTAAAAAAGCCCTTACTTTTTTATTATTTTCTTTGGTTTCCATGACGACTTTTTTGGATTAATCACGCGCAGATCTTCAAAGCCCTTCTCCGCTTCGTGGACTCTCTGAAAATATTTAAATTTAAAGTAACCATGGCAACCAAAAAAAAACAGTAAAATTACCATCTCAATAAACCCCACCACCGGACTCGACTCGGGCAACCACGAAGTAATTTCACTGGCGCTCTTTTTCAAATTATCCAACCGTAATTTCCGCTCCACTTCCAAATCCGAGTCCGAAACGCTCGAATCGTGGAAATCGTCAGTCACGTGACCAGAATCAGTGGACGCGGCAGAATTCAAATCTTTGATGCGAAATTTCGGACGCATCAATCTTTCAAATTCGGACTTTTCCCGCTCAAATTTTTCCCACGCTTCTTGGAGATAACGCATTTTTTCGAGGAGATACGTTCCCCTGGAAATTATAGTTAAATTCTTTTTAGTAACCATGGCAACGAAAAATTTATTTCCTAAAAAACTCACAGCTGAAAATTCTCTTCATAAAGTTGATACAATTCGACGAGCTGATTTTTAATTTCCTGATTTTGATTTTGATTAAAAAATTTACTCGTCGTCATGGAAACGGAATTTAAATTTTGCAACGTTAATTTCCGATCCATTAATTCTTGAAGCATTTTTTGAACGTTTCCGATTTTGTGGTGTAAATTTCCCAAATCGTTCGAATCAAAAGGCTCGAAATGCTCGAAAGTCGTGTAAAATTTGGAGAAATTTAGTTTCAAATCGGTGATTTCCTTGGAGATTTGGGTGAGGCGAGAGGTTTCAGTGATTTTTTGGTGCAGCGTTTGCCAGCGGGTGTGGAGGGGGGTGGGGGATGAGAGGGCGGTGAGGCACGCGGTTTCCATGGTTACCTATGAAAATTTTAAAAAATTATTTTTTTTGGTTGTCATGGCAACAATTTTATTTTATAAAACTTACAAAATCACAATCATCTCCCGTGGCGACGAATTTTTTAAACAAATTTTCCACGAAATTCAGCTCCGTTTGAGATTTTTGCGTGATTTCGTCAGAGTCTGAGGAGGATGAAGTGGAGGACATTTTGGTCTGTAAATTGGTTTCCATGGTGATTTAGTAAAATGTTTCCATGGCAACCAAAAATAAATAAAACAGTATCCATGACAACTCACCCCTCCCCTTCGTTTCTCAAACCCACCAGCAAAACTGGATCCCGAACTGGGCCTTTGATTTAAGAATTGTCCATAATCCTCGCCGAATGCGAGCAATTTCAACGTGTCGTTCGGATCGTAGGCTTCCTCGCTGTACGGCTCGCTCAGGTATTTTTCCTGTGGAGTTACCATGGCAACAATTATTTACTTAAAATAAACTAATGTTATATCTTTACATAGCAACGGATATTTATTGAGTAACCATGGCAACAGATATATTTACCTGATAACTGTCCCAATCTTGTTCCGTGTTTAACGATCCCATGTCGCTCGTTTGCAGAGGCAGCGGTGGGGGTGGGGATTTCTCCGAGACAGGGCCTGAGATTTGGAACACAGGGCGGAGGGGGTTGCCATGGTGATTTGGTGATTGTATTGCGGGGGTTGCTATGGAGATAAATTAGTAATTTATTTATTTTATTTACCATGGTGATCATTATCCATGGTTGCTATGGAAACGAATTATAAATTTTTAATATTACCATGGTAACCATGGCAACACACCCACCTTTCTCCACACCCACACCCACATTTTCCCCAGCATCCGACTTCCTCCTGCCCCCCCTTTTCCTCACCCTTTTCCTCCTCCCAAGTGACTCATCCGAACCACACCCACCACCACCGAGAAACGCCGCAGTGTCGCTCGAATGAAACTCGAAACTTTTGGGGCGTGGTTTTTTCTTCTTTGAAACAAATTCCGCTGCGGAGTCGTCGCTGGTTGAGCTCCGGTTTCTAAGGAAATTCAGCGTCGCTTGGGTTTGGTGGAGCAGCAGCGTCGAGGTCGTCGTCGTCGTGGGGTCGTCTGAGGAGGTGGAGCTAAAGTGGGAGGAAGAGTCGGATTCTGCGCTTGCGTCGCAGCTCCCACCAGGCGTCGTCGTGGGGGGTGGCTGTGGAGGTTTTTTTTAAAAATTAGTTGTCATGGTGATGAAAATTGAATTTATCGGTTTTTTCGTCGTTATGCATAATATAAAAAAAGGTTGCCATGGATTTGATTATTTGTTCGATGCAAAATTAGTTGAAAATTAACATACGAGCTCGTAAAACTAATTTTCCGCGCATTTTAGTAACTCTAATTTGATATTTCACGCCACTGGTTGAAATTTGGTTATTTTTGCGTAGCAATAAAACGGACAGTAAATTTGACAAAGTACTCTAATTATAAAATTTAGAATTTGAAATAGAATTTACAATTATCCCTTGTTCGGATTAATAATCACCAATCCGATATTTCCTAACTCTGACCAGCAAGTGCGTGTCTAAATGTTTTATACTACTAGTTTCTAAATTTAGTAGAAATTTCTTAAACAAAACTACTATTATTATTAGTAAATTGTTATATTGGCTGCTAATAGCAACCAGCTACATTGCAATTTTGATGAAGAATGCTTAGCAACATGAATAGTGTCAGATACCTCCATCAAAACTTTCTCAGTTTTAAACCGATCTCAATCGGATTTGTTTTAACTGATGCATAATCGATTTCTGCATGATAAAATCATGTTTTATGCATATAGTCATTTGGTACAAGTGTCTCAAATTTCGATTCTAAAGTTTCAAATCGAAATTAGGGAGCCCACGATACAACTTTTCCACCAGGAAAGCTGTAAAACATCATCTCCTCATTCTCCTCTGCACGATTGCCTTTTACACTTTTTGGCTATCTTTAACCGTTAAGGCTCTACCCCTCTTGACATTTTCAAAGGGTGTATACGAAAGCATACTTAGGCTTCGCCGTAACCATGGTGACGCTTTTTTTTGCGGGCACCATTGTTACTTTTGCCTCACCTAAGAAAAAACGTAATTTATGGGCGTTTTTTGTCGTTATGCAAAATTTATCGGTTTTCATGGTGATACTTTTTTTAAAACGGTTGCCATGGAAATTTTAAAACCCAGTTGCCATGGAATTTTTCATCAAAAACTCGGGAAACGCACATGTCAAAAACCTAAATAATAAATTTCCACACTGTTCGAGACTTCACCGCTCTTTCGAACCTTTTTTGAACCTCGGCCAAGTAAAACCCGGGTGCTGATTTCCTCAGTTTACTCAACGAAACCCGAGACAAATGACTCTCTCAAAAATCCAATTTAACGCTAAATTATGTCCTCTGGAAATATTTGACCCAGTTTCCAAGGAAACCTTTGCTCCTTATTTATTGCTGTCTGGGTAACAGAAATTAGGTCAGGTTGCCATGGCAACTTTTTTATATAAAAAATCCACGTGGTTACTAAAATTTGTTGTCATGGTAAATAACAAAAAATAAATATTACCAGAAAACCCATTTCCTGTGGATACATTTCTTATCTCCATGGCAACATTAAATAAATATTTGCATTTCCTGTCTGTGTAAAACTCCATAGCAACGAAAAAAAGCTCACCTTAAATCTCCTCCCAGCGTTGCCATGGTGATTTTCGCTATTTTCCTTGGAATTCTGCCGCACCCACTGCCGCACCCGGGCGGTTTTCAACTTTTTACCCACCACACCCCCTGCGTCACACCCACCACTCTGAACCACACCCCCACAATTCCCCCCACTTTTGATCTTCTTCCTAGTCTCCACCAAAATCTCCTCCATTTTCGTAAATTTCTCCTTTAATTTAGCAAATGATTTATCTTTAATTTTAGCACTCGCACTCACACTCGTTTCTATGGCAACGGGATCCTCACACTCTTCGTCTTCACCACTGCTGATAAAGCCCCCCAGAAAATCCCCCCCATTAAAATTCCGTTTAGCTAATTCCTCCGCTTTTTCCACCAAATCGCCAATTTCTTTTTCTAATTTTATTCTATTTTTTGTTTCCATGGCAACCATCGTTGTTAACCCACGATTAAAATCCATGTTTTCACTTTCCACGTTGCTCGGCGACTGATTTTGAGATTGGACGGCGTCCAACTTATCTTCACCGCCGCTCGAAAATGCGATCGTGTCGCTGTTGGTTTCCATGGCAACGCCTGAGGGTGGGTGGCTGGTTGGTTGGCATGACAACATCTCCTTCTGCTCGCTATGTTTGAAATAGTAAGTGGAAATGTTGGCCCCGTCGAGGAGGTCGTCCAGGTGGAAGGGGGCGTGGCTGAGGGGGGCGTGGTCGAAGGGGGGCAGTTTCGAGTAGTTTTTATGGGTGGGTTTCCGCTTCAGGTTTTGGGAGGTGGAGCTGGAGCTGGAGTGGGTGTGGCTCGAGTGGGAGGAGTTTATGCTCGAGGAGGAGCCTGAAGTGGGTGTGTATAGTGGAGATTGTTGTGGGGTAATCTGTAAAAAATAGGTTTCCATGGGGATTTTTAGATTTTTTTCCGTGGTAACAATTTAAAAAAATAATAATTTCACATATTTCCATGGAAACAATTTTTTTAAAAACATTTTCCATGACAACACGAATAACAAAAAAAACAATAAATCAAAAATCTCCATAGCAACTCTCATGACTGACACATTTCGACACTGAATCTGACACATGAAAGGTGTCGATAAAAGGTTGCTTAGCAACACAAAAAATTCAAGGCAAAAATCTTTTGTGTGTGATTTATGCCTTAACAATTTAACAATAATCACCATGACAACTTACGCAAACGGAATCATCATGTAATTGTCCCATGACAACGTCTTTTTCTTCATCGATAAAATTAAATTCTTCGTTGCTATGCACTTCTTCTGTTGCTACGGAATTGATATCCCCGTTGCCAAGGCGACGATATTTTGTCAGAGGTTCCGCCGTTTCCTCGTCACTCGATAAGACACTTTCGCGTCCGATGGATTTGTTGCCCTGCAAATAAAATAAAAAATATCGTTTCCATGGCGATTTTCTATTTTTATTCTAAAGGAAATGCCGTTTCTCTCTTAGTTTCCCAAGGATAAAAATCGCGACGCATTCTTTAAGAGAAATTAACAGATAAATTGGTTACCATGGAAACCGTTGGAAACTTGACAAAGCAGAAAAATCTCCATGGTTTTAGGAAATTTATTAAAAATCGCTGCCAAATTATTGGATCGAAAAATAGGGGGATTTCTCTAAAGTATTTTATCATCTCGGTTGCCAAGGTTATTTTCAAGCGTTGTCATGGCAACGATATATTCGTGACAACGAACAATAAAATTTTGACATGAAAACCGTGTCTAAATTGTGTTCTCATGACGACTCGAGTGACGTTGAGAGAGTGGAGGAAAATAAAAAAAAGTGCCAAATTCTCCATGGAAATAATGATCAACATTATCTTATCTTAAATTTGATAAGGTAATAAAAAAATCGGTAACCATAGCAACATAAATAAATCACGGATAATAACAACCATTTCGGCAGCTCAATTAGCCGTGTTTTTGTTAAAATTTTGTAAACATGTCGCCATGGAAACGAATTCACATTTATCTTTTGGAAAAATAAATAAACAAATGTTTCAATTAAGATTTGTTGTCAAGTCGGATTTTAAGAAAAAAACCATGGCAACCGATTTTTTCTCGTATCTATTTTTAGCACGAGTGTAATCAGCCAAAAGGAAATTACATGGTCGGACTAAAAATACTTGAGACTCGAGTTTTTTTTATGAGTTAATGCGCTGAAAATGTTTGGTGAATTTTCGTTTCCATGACAACCAAAGCCGATCCTTAAAATCGAGTTTTTTCTTGAGACATAATTTATGACCAAGAGAGAGAACAAAGGAATTTGCATTTTTATGTCGCTTTTTTTATGTTGCCATGGGAATTAATTAAGAATTTCGTTGCTAACACAAGTGGTTGACATGGTTTCCGTAGTTACAATATTTTAGGGGACCAATTTCCATGGCAACCATTTTAAGAAATACATTTTCTTAATTTTAAAATTATAACCTTGGCAATTAATAAAAAAATTGTAACCTTGCCAAAATCGACCATTGTTTAATGGATTAATGATTAATTAATTTTAACAAAAAAAATCACCATGGCAACCAAATACCTTTTTAAGCTGATTATTGAGATTGATCCTGACACCCTCCAAGTGTTGAATCCACTCCAAAACGCGTAACCTCAGTTGCCACCATCGTTTCTCCAATCGCGATTTCTTGGCAATTTCCCGAGCACTTTCCTCAAATTGACGCAGGGATTCGTGAACTTTGTCGCTTTTTGACTCTATTTCGCTTTGTAAACCCTGCAAATAAATAATTTATTATTTCCATGGAAATTTATTATAATAAAAAAAAGTCAAATAATGTTATGCAATTAAAGATGGAGAGATTACAAATAATACAAATCGTGAGGCGTGATTCGTATCTCTTGGTAACCATGGCAACTAGTTTTAATTTAATTTTTTTGTATAAAATAGAATTTTTTGTTTCTATGGAAATCTTAAAATTAATTTAAAAAACATAAAATTTCACTTTCATTAAAATAAATTGGTTGTCATGACAACAAAACTTCCGTTGCGAAAAAAAACTTAAAGATTGAGTAATCGTTGGGTCGTTAATCTTAAGTAAATATTTGAAATATTAGAAAGTTTAATTTTTTTAAATCACCATGGCAACCGAGTTAAATAATATTGTAGTCATGTGACACACTTTTTTCTCAAAATTTTAATTGTCATGGCAACCGTAATTTTTCCTGACATTCATTGATCACATACATAATTAAGCATGACTTTTATCGAGGCTAATTACCGAGGTGATTTACCGTTACCATGACAACCACAAAATTACTTCACCTGATCCACTTTTGAAACTTTATTTTCAGAAAAAATATATCGTCTCCATGACAACGGAAAAATTTACGAAAAAATTAAATCCTACTTTTTTAGGTCATTAATTTGCAAACAAATTGGTGCTAAATAACCGGTTTTAAAGCCCATAGCAACGAATTGGTTGCTATGCATTTATTAATGGAGCTCAATTTACACCTCTTTGTAATAATAAACTCCCGTTAGACGACTACCGTGTGTGAAATCAATCAAATATTGGGGCCAAAATATTTTTTTATAAAATCACCATGGCAACATTGTATTTTTAAAATTGCATAGCAACGCAGCATGTGCTTTTTTAAATAAAAATCAGGGTAAGATTGATTATATTTTTATCTCGGATCTGGTTTCCATGACGACCACACGAAATGGTTGTTAAGGTGAGAATTTACTGATTTCTTATCGCAATTAGTAAACAACAGTGTTTGAGATTTTATCTTTAGTGTTGTTGAAATGAATCTGGTTTCCATAGCTGCGGGGTTTTTTCTCTCGGTTGCCATGGTTACCACAAAAAACCGCACCCTGTTTTTATCGTTGCTATAAAACAGTTGAAATATTTATTTAGTAAATTGAAATTAGAGTTAACATGGAAAAGGTTTAGCTCCCATAGAAACGAGTAATTAATCACCATGGCAACTCCATTGTGCGAGTTTAATTTGACTTGATTGTTGTTACAGGATTTCAAATTTGTTGACCTTCTTTTTCGTAATTAAGCGATTTACATTTTTTAATTAACATTTTGTACTTGAAATTTAAAATGTGGTTGCCATGGCAACAATATTACTAAAAAATAATACCATGGCAACGCAAATAATCACTACTACGGTAACGGAACGATAACGGTACCCTTTGCAAAATCACCTTTAATCATGATATTTACAGATCCCTTCCGCCAATTTAAGAAAATTTAGTAACCATGGCAACCAATTACCTATAGCAACCACACCCATTTGCAAATAAAACACAGTTACACCGTAACTTAATTTCCATGGCAACCATCTGTTTCTCTAGGGCTAATTTTTGCTCCTTTGTTGTGCTCATTTTTTTATGTCATTCCCATCATTAATTTTATCGAGTTTTCCTCGTGTGTGTGTTGCCATAGTAATAATCCTTAATTTCGTTGCTATTACACGTCTGAGGACGTTGATCTTTTATTATATTCGGTTGCCATGGAAATGATCTTTATTTTATTAAAAATCATGATTAATTTAAGAATTACGGGATTAAATTCCAGTGACGAAAATAAGTTTCCATGGCAACTGTTTATTTAAATAAATCCATTAAATATTTATTTGCATTTTGATTGCCATAACAGCATGACTCCGCATCTTCACTTTGTTTAACATTCCGTAATCGTTTGTTTGATAGGCGAATGCAATCTCCATGACAACTCAACACTTTTAAAAAATTCTAAATATAAATCACCATGGCAACGTTAAATTCCATGGAAACGAAATGGTGATTCGCACAACTGAATTCGCTAAGTGGATGACATTTTTGTGGGCAAAAAGAACCATTGTTTTTTTGCGGTTGCCAAGGAAATTGTTAACTTTTTTCGTTGTTAAAGTTGCTATGGAAACTTTAATTCAATTCCCCACCGTGACAACGAGTTGAATAAATATTTTTACAAAAGGTTGCCATGGCAACGACTACAACAAAAAAAACGAGTCTCAGAATTACGTCAATCGCAACAACTCATCATCATATTGCATCGTCGTTGAAGCTCATTAAGAAAATTGCTATGGCAACGCAATCGGTTGCCATAGAAAATTTATTCTTCTTCTTCACTCGTGGAAATTAATCCTCTGCACGAAATTGTTAACCTTCGATGGGTAATTAGCGTGGAGGGTTAATTGCGAAATGCTTAATTTTAGTGGTTGCCATGGTGATTTTTTTTAAGTGTAAATTATGAGTGGGTTGATTGTTTGCTTAATTTTATTAAAAGATTTTTCCATGACGACCATGTGAGCACAGACATGTGGTTTTGAAATATAGACAGTTTTTTGCCCATTAGTAATTTGATACCATGATTTTATGTTATGGGAAAATGTTGGTTGTCATGGCAACTGGGGTTTAATAACTCGGCAAATGTAAATATTTACGTTTCCATGTGCAACATGTGCATTTTATGTTTTTTTTTTGTGGGATTATTTTCTATGGGGAATTTTTTAAAATTGGTGAATTAAAGATTAATTTTTAAAATTAAAATCTACGGTTTCCATGGAAACCATGTTTACACAGATTGAGACCCCCCTCTCACGAAACTCTAACCACTCGACTTTCAATCACCATTTGACATTTGACAGACTCACAAAAAAATTATCTCTCAAAGACTCGCGTGGGATGCGAGTTCGTGGAGGTCTGGCTTATCTTTTTTTAATGGTTGCCATGGAAACGAATGAAAAATTATCAACAATCACCATAGCAACGTTAAAAAAATCAATTAACCCCCACCAAAAATGGTATTTTCCTTAATTTCGAATTTTAAAATTTGGCATGGCAACCTAAATAAAATGTAATTTGCACTTTCATATATAGCACACACGTTTCCATGGAAACAAAATCTCCCTCAAAACACACACAGACACCACACTTACGAATTATTTATGCAAACACGATTTTGAAAGAAGTGAAATTATTTCTATGGCAACAAAGATTTAAAAAAATGAATGGTTGCTATGGAAAATTCACAACAATGGAACAACAAAACACACACACACGTGTATTTACGCCTAGCAACAGACGTTGGTAACTATGGGAAATTAAAGGAGTGTTTTGTTAAGATTACAAAGTTTACACAGTGGATTTTTCTCTTTTCTTATCGAGTTTTTATCGTGCCGAGAGTAAATAAAAGGTGAAAGTGTTCGGAAATCACGTGATTTTATTTCCGGGTTCGGGGTTTTCAACCCGGAAATTGCGATGCACACGGGAATTTTTATTGTCATTTTATTAGTTTCCCTGGCAACCTTAAAATAAATCGGTTCCCATGGAAACTTGTGAATAATAAATTATGAGGAAAGTTTCCAAGGAAATCGATTTCCTTACGGAAACTTCCATGGCGACGGGGAAAAAGGGTTTAATTTCAAAGCTCTCTCGTTTTCCACTCGGAGGAGATCCGCTCAATAAATATTTTCCATGGAAATCTGCCCAAAGGGTAAACAAGGGGTTCCTTGTCCTTGGAAATTATTTTGGTTGCCATGGAAATTTATTTTTTCAGATCCATGGTTACGAAAAGTATTTCCAAAATTATAAGTTTTTTAATGGTCCACGCTGGTTCATTTAAGAAATTCCATGGCAACCATGAAATTTATTCCATGGAAACCACAGGCATAATTTCCATGACACCCAAAACCCAATAAATCTATTATTACCATGACACACTACGAGAATGGACCTTGAAATAATTTTAATTTTCCAAAAGTTGTTAAGGGAACCAGTTTTTCCTTTTAAGCAGCGCGATATGGCTTGATTACAGAGTTGCCATGGAATTTCTCGCCTGGAGGAAGAGCAAAATATATAGGAAAATATAAAAGGGTTAACATTTTTATGCCCTAAAATTATAGGCTGATGTTGCCATGGAAATTTTATATGCGGAAATTTTAGTAGTCATGGAAATGGAGTATGTTTAAATTTGTGAAATGTAAAACAAGTTTCGTTACCATGGAAAACAAACTCTCAAAATATTTACCTTTAATTAAAGATCCAAATTATCCCATAAATTGCAAATAAACTTACAAGTTATAGTAACAAACATCACTAAAATTTCACGGTTGCTATGGAAACTTTTTTATAAAACTTGATACAAAACTGGACAATTTCCGAATTGACAGGACAGGAATCTCGGAAACGGAGAAACTATGGAAACTATGGAAAAATATAAAAATTGAGCAAAATCGGTGAGAGATTTTTTGGCGTGACTGAACACTTTGCGTGGTGGCTGAGGACTGACGAGTAAGTGACGAAGAGCGTGAGCGAGGAAGAGCAGCGATGAGATTTTAGTGTGTGCGAGTTGAGTTGAGATACGAGGGGGGTTCGTAAATATTTACGGTTTTAGAAGTTAAGTAGGTTTGAGTTGAAGGGGTTTTGGAAATTGGCATAAAATTTGGGTGGCAAAAATTAGCGTGCCAAAAAATTGGCACGGAAATTGGCAGAGAAATTGGCATGCCAAAAATTAGCATAAAATTGGCACGGAAATTGGCAGAGAAATTGGCATGCTAAAAAAATGGCACAGAAATTGGCACAAAATTAGCACGCCATTTTTTGGCACATTAAAATTATCACACCACAAACCCTCCAACCTTCTGAACCCCCCCTCGTAGCACCAACAAAACAACTCAACTCCAACAAAGAAAACAAAGCCCACAAAGCAACTGCATCCAACCTGCATCCACCACCCTCAACAAACCATTTTCATTTCACGAATGTCCGCTCGAAACACCTTCTGCCAAATTTCATACCATTTAAACGCTGACACCCTTCATGACAAAAGTCCCCTCTCGCCGTCGTCACCCTTCGCAGGTGAGCAGGCGATCAAACTTTTTTATAAATCCAGGCGTGTCAGTCACCGACGTGACTCACTAATTTAATTGCACACCTGAACCTCCTCCTCCTGATGGGGAGATAACATTTTGTTTATATTTCCATGGAAACACGTGGAATTATTAATCGATCAGCGTGACTTTATAACCAACAAATTATCACCAAAACAACGACGCTACAGTTAAATCGATAAAATCTCCATGGAAACAAAATTAAAAATTTTTCGCATATGCTAAAAACATAGCGTGACGACTGTCATAAATATTCAAACAGGGGAACTGATCACCTCCCTCAATCTCTCGGTAACCATGGTTACCATTGCGAATAATCAAATAATGGACAAATCGTGATGGCGAAATAAATTGTGCACTTTATTGATGAATTGGTTGTCACGACAACGTGTGGGATTTTTTTTATGTGTAGTCATGAATATTCTGTGGAAACTTTGTAAATTGTGTAATTTAATAAAAAATAATTTACGCAACCGCGTAAATTACTAATTGAATATCGATTCTGTTTAATAAAACGCACCTGTTATTTTTCCACCGTCCTTTAACAAATACTTTAAAAATACTTCGCCTAGCCCGAGTCAGAGTCTTTTCTAATATGATTTTTCATGCTTTTGTCTCTCAGACAGACACACCGACACGCCGGTCACATCATCCCTCATCATCCTCGATCCCCTTTTCCGACCATTTAATTCTATACCAAAAAAACCCGGATGCGACAATTGCGCACAATTGACGACGCAACGGAACTGGATTTTTTATCGTCCTTTTTTTTATAAATCAAGTTTCCATGGTTACCAATTTCTTTAAATCTCCCAATAAAAATAGCACCCTCTAAAAAAATCACTAATTTCCATGACAACGAATCCCACTTTCACATAACAAAAAAAACATTTCTATAGCAACACAAACTTTCTTTTAAATCCCAATTTCAAGTCCTCATTCTTATTTATCCATTTATGGTATCAAAACTACAAATTGGTTGTCATGGTAACAAAAATTTCAAGAAATACTATTTAAACATGCAATTAACTTGCAATTAATGATGAAATCGAAACTAATTGCCATGGTGACAAAGAAAAATTGCGTTGCCATGACTACGAAAAAAATTTGCAATGTAATTTAACTTTCTTTAAATTTTTTTTTGTTACAAAAAAATTCTTTAAAAGTCATGGTAACAAGTTGGATACTTTTTTTTGGTTGCCATGACAACGAGTTCAATAAACTCGAGAGACGGATCATTATTTCGCGAGATTAAAGCGGAGCAGAAATAAATCGTACGCACTGAAAAATCGTAATACGCACTTGAGATGTGCGAACAATGGGTTTCCTTGACAACGCGGTGTTATAAAAAAAAATGGGTAGCAACTGATGCGAATCTAGTGATTTGTTGTTGTTGTTGTAAAAGTGCGTGTGAATTTTATAAGGTTTTTTAGTGAGTTACGCGATTTGATGTGGGAGGGTTTTTTTGTGGTGTTGCCATGGAAATTGGTTGATAATTCCATGGTGATGAGATTTTTTTAATTATGGTAGCTATGGAAATGTAATTTTAATGGGAATAAATTTTTTTTATGGAAATTTAAAGATTTTCATTCGTTTAAAAATTGAAAATTTCCATGACAACAATTTTGTTATTTGTGCTGTTTCCATGGATTTTTTTTAGCGAATTTGAGTTTTATGGAAATTAAAGAAATAAAATCAAATTCCATGGGAAAAATATTCCTTATGGTAACTATGGCAACACAATTTAAATAATGTCAAAAAAAATTTAATGAAAATTTCCACTAATTCCCCACTAATTCATTTTAAATTATTACAAAACTTTCCATGGAAATGAAAACCTCACTTTAAACAAAAACTTTTACATCTTTATAAAGCCATCAGCATGGCAACTGAAATTTTTAAAATTATGGTAACTATGGAAATGTAATTTTAATGGGAATAAATTTTTTAATGGAAATTTAAAGATTTTCATTCGTTTAAAAAATTGAAAATTTCCATGACAACAATTTCGTTATTTTCATGGAAATGAATTTTTTAGCGAATTTGAGTTTGTATGGAAATTATATAAATACAATCAAATTCCATGGGAACAATATTGCTCATGGTAACTATGCCAACATGATTTCTACACAATAAAAATTAAAACTTCATAAATTTCCCTGATTCGTTTAAAATTAACAGAAAAATTTCCATAGAAATTAAAACCTCACTTTTAAAAAATTGCAACCTCTATAAAGCCAATAATCGCCATGGCAATTAAAAAAGGCAAAAAATCTCACCTTGTGATGTTCCACGAGGATTTTGACGAGTTCCGGATTCCATTGTGTTCGGAAATCGAGGGGCTGGAGCTGGTCCTCCATTTCGCTCAGCCACTCACGCAGCCAGTCGATCCCGGAGTCGTTACCTGGGTTTTTTAAAATTAATTTTTAAATAATTGGGAAATTAAAATAGGGAAATTTTCAATTAATCTCAAAAACTATAGTAAATAAATTACCTGACTTTTTCCCCGTTTCCACGGCAACGGCGGGGCTTTGGCACAAGAGGATTTTTTCCAGCGCGTCCCACTGCGAATTTAAGTGGCGCATCCGCCAGCCGCATTCTTCCTTCAAGAGCGGGAAGCTGTGAAAATTAGGTTTAATTTAATGGCGGGTGTTTTAAATGTTTAAATGTTCGTAACGCTATTTTTTTGTGGAAAGGAAAATTAAATTTCTAAAATTGTAAATTAAAATTAGTTAAATAAATTCTAAATTTGGTTAAAAATTTCGTCGGAAATTGGGATTAATTCTTAGATTTGATCTCTTAAATTGTCAAAATTTGGCACGAAATTGGAGTGCCAAAATTTTGTACTAAAATTTGGCACGAAATTGGCACAAAATTTAGCACAAAATTTAGCACGCCAAATTTTGGCAAAATTTTGCACAAATTTAGCAGGAGACAAAATCCGAAATCCCCAATCCTAATCGTATTTCTTTCGTAATTCTTCTTAAATCGTCTCCGTAACGCTATTTCTTATCAAAACAGTTACAGAATTACACATTGTAAACACGGTTTAAATTTGCTAAATGTCTGTGAATTTGAATTTAAATTTAAATTTTCATAATTGTCAATTGTACCTATGGTTAAAAAAATTGTTCGTAACGCCTTAACGATTAAGATTAATTTCGGATTAAATCTCGAATCTTAACGGGATTAACATTCGTCCATTTTAATCGGGATTAAAATAACATTCATCGGGTTTGGTTATTTTTAGGATTAAAAGTTTAAAATCACGGACTGAATTGGGATTAAAGATTAATTAATCCCCAATCCTAATCTTAATCTAATCCCGGATTAAAATGGTTGTAATTATTTCAAATTCAGTGGCGGGTATATATTTTAAATACTGAACGTGTCCGTAACGCTATCATTTTTAAAATTGTGAAAATTTACAAAAAATTAAAGCTAAATAAACATAATAATTTCCAACATTGTAAATTGTAACTATGGTTACAAATTTGTCCGTAATGTCTATTATTTTCAGAGCACTAGGATTGAAGATGGGTTAATTTCACAAATTTCGGAATTACGGACTTAGATTAGTGATTAAATTACCCTCGGGATTAAGACTAATTTGGGATTAAATATCATTCATTTTTTTGGGATTTGTGAATTTTCGTGCAAAAACCAGACAGACAAATTGGCGTGCCAAAAAAATAAAATAAAATGGCACAAAATTTGGCACGCTAAAATTTAGCACAAAATAGCACAAAATTGGAAATTAACAAAACCCTAAATACCATTTCCCCCAGTTTTAACAAAACCGAATTCTATGTCTAAAATTTAATTTTATTCCAAAATATGAAAACTCAAATGTTCGAAACCATTTAAAAAACTGTCCGTAACGCTAATTTCCCGCGCCAAAAAACGCACCTCTTCAACAAACTCTTTGCATTTTCATTAATTTGAATCCTCCAGGGTTGTCTTCTCAAAAGCTCGGTTCCCTGGGAAACAAAATAAATTTTTAAAAACCCAGTTTCCATGACAACCACCAATAAAAATATTTGTAAAAAATTACCAATTCACTCAGCGTCCCCGCATCCGCGGAATTTCCCCTTTGAACTTGTGCGTAATTTAACCAATCGCAAATAACGGTGTAATCTTCCAAAAATTGACCAAGATTCGTTTCCACCGTTACCTTGGATATAAAATTCATTCGTAAACTTTGTAAAATTACAAAAATTACAAAATTACAAAAAACCACCTTTGAAATTAGGTTTCCATGGATTTCTTCTTCCTGCATTTGCACATCGTCCTCACCTCCTCCTCGGTCGTCATAGGAACGTTCGTAGGAACCCCAAGATCGTCGCCACATTTTCTTTTCAAATGTGCGCCTGAAATTAGATAAAATTTTAAGTTTCCATGGAAATGATATTTTTATTTTTTTTAATCACCTTGGTTTCCTTGACGACGAGCATAATCTTGTGTTTGTTGGTGATTTTCTATGATTTTCAGGTGTCGCCAAGGACGACATTGACTGACTGCACTTCATTTGAGGCATTTTTCGGTTACTATGGAAATTTAAAAAATTTATGACGCTTCCACGGAATTAAATAAAAAATTATAATTCTAAAAAAACTCACCAGATAAAAAGTGAACATGTTTATATGGAAATTATTATTATTTTTTACATAATAATAAAAATAATCTAAAAAATTAAAGCTCTCTCAAAATCACAGCCTTATTTTTACCCTTAAAATAAATTACTTGGCAACTATTTTTCTATTATTTTCCCTGCTTTTTGGCACTAAATTTACAGCTTTTTTGTCTTTATTTTATTTATTATTGCAGATTCCTTTCCGTTAGTTTTAGATCCGTTTCCTTGGTTATTGTACAGTCCGGTTTTTTTTTATTTTAAGTTTCCATGGTTACCAACTTTTCTCCTTAGATACGAAATACAAAGTGTATAGATTTAAAAAGGTAATTGGAAAATTACAAAGTTTACAGAGGTATTTTGTAAAATTATTTTTTGTAAAATTACACAAATTATTTTACTTTTACAAATTAAGGATATTACAAAAAAAACAATTAAGTACAATTTTTTAAATAGGAAAATTTGAAATATTGGTTGCTATGGTTACTCCGAGGGGATTTGGGCAATGACGACGACGGATGCGAAATCCTGGTCTCAGCCCCTGCGAAAAATAGAAAAAATTATTAGTATTTTTTCATGGCAACGATTTTTATTAAAATAAAAATATTATTTACTAATTATCCATGGAAACGATAAAAAAGTTGCTATGGAAACCATACCCCGAGTTTTATGCAATTTAACACAGAATCACAAACACATCTTTTCTCGTTGCTGTTCGTTACTAAAATGCAAATTATTTGTCCGTTGCCGTTGACGACTGACGAATGAATGGACTGAGAAATAAACTGAGCTGAACTCAATGATAAGAAAAAAAGTCGGTTAAACTCTCAGTGAGATAAAATTTGACACCGGAAAATATTTGCATTTTGCATACGCGAAAAATGTGATAAGCGACGACGACGACAGGAAAAATTAATTAAAATACGCGTTAAGAGACATTAAAACCATGGAAATTCGCACACCTCATTCACACAAAGTGATTGTTTTAATTGTCTTTTATTCTAATTAGTAGCCCGAGTTGAGTTGTTTCATTTCCCATTTTCTCTCAATTTCCACAAGGAAATTCCTAAAAACAGACGCACACACACACCGATCACATAATCCCCTAATCGGCCAAATTCCTTTGAAAACACCAATTCCTTGGTTTGCATAGCAACTTGACTCAAAATTTGCATACCCGACGAAAAATCCACATTTTTGCATTAATAAATCGAGTTTAATAAAATTTAAGTGCTCCACTTTTTACGCGATATAATTTTTAAAATATAACGTTTCTATGGAATTAATTTTTTGTTTTATATTTATTATAACAAAATTAATAATTTCCATGGCAATCACCGAATTCCATGCGAAAATCGCAGTCGTTGTTATGCCAACGGATGAAATTCCATTCAGCGATATGGTAAAAATCGAGTATGCAAATGATGACCCGAAGCGATTGCGACGATACGAAAAAAAACTTCCGTAATAATCAGCGATGTAAACTGGATTATTAGATTTGGATGATGCAGGAAGGAGATTTGGTTTCCATGGTTACCAGGGTTTTTTTTCGAGTGGGTGTTTTAGTAATAGAAGAGATTGAAACATTAAAAATTTATGAGTGTTATTATAAAAATTTCCATGGAAACTTAAAAATCGTCCTTGACAATGTTTTACTAAAAAAGATGATCTAATTTCTTGTCGAATTAATTAATGGTTACCAACCAATTCATAATTAAACAAAACCAATTAAAAAGATAAAGGTGCGTCACGTCGTCGTCATGGAAAAATGATACAAAAATTAATTAACAATTAATAAAGAAAACTCCAATCTCCAGGGAAACAATAAAAAAACTTTTAATTAATGGTTGCCATGGAAATAATGTTGTTATTGCATATTTTCCACCAACAAATCTCCTCATTAAAAAAAGCGTAACCATGGCAATTAAAATTATCAGATGAGAATTATCTTATTTTACAAGACATTTCCGGTTACCATCTTTTTCTCAAACTCTCGGGGACCTTGAACTCTTGAATTCTTTTAATAAATTATTGTTGCCATGGAAATTTTTCAAATATTTTATAATTACCATGAAAATTTCGAAAATAATTTCCATGGTAATTACACAAAAAAAATAACAATTAACACGCAATAACAAAATCCCCATGGAAACTCTTTTCACATGCAAAATTAATTTCTCTCTCTCTCCCTTTCATAAATTAATTCAAAACCCAATTTGTAACCATGGAAATTCGCATGTCGTCGTCAAAAATATTTGCACAGTTGGATGTGAACTAGGTCGCCTTTTCAATTTCGTTTTCAATGTCAGGCGAAAAGGTGTGTCGCCATGACGACCACGCAATAAAGAATAATAATAAAATCTCTGTTATTATTAGCGACACAAAAATATCACCATGGAAAATAATTGAAAGTAATAAATTTCATGGACAAACCGCACACAAAACACGCAAAAAAAAGAGTAAATAAATAAACCGTCGTGGAGGTTTTGGTTACCACGTTGTTGGTACGAATGGGTATCCATGGCAACGATATTAATCAAAGTTTAAGGTCACTGTGGGAAACAATGGATATGGATATTAAATGTCCAGTATGTGAGTATTTCCTGGTTTTTGCGTGAATGGTGTGGAGTTTCCATGGGAATTGATAAATTAAATTATTATGTTTTCGGCGTTAGAGTTTACGTTTTTTTTGGAAAAAGTATTTACGAAGTTTAATAAATTTTAATTTTTATAATTTTAATTTTATATTTATGTCCAGTGATTATTTCCTGCTTTTTATGGAGAGGTTTCCATGGGAATTAATAAAGTTGGAAATCAAATTAATATATTTTCGGCGTTAAAGCTTTACGTTTTTTAATGAGATAAAAATCTACAAATTTAAGTTTTACGAATCAAAATAAATCTCGTAAATCAGTTGCCATGGTTTCATTCTTTAAAAAAATAAAAACACCAGACTCACCCCTCAATTAAATCTCCCATGGTTACGACCACTCCCACTCCCACCACCACCCACACAATTAACTTATTAAAAACCACACCCGCTTTTAAATCAAAAAATCTCCATAGAAACTGAAAAATTCTAAAGACCAACAGAAATTCCACTCGTAGCTCGTCACTCGTAGCTCGTCACTCGTAGCTCATTGATCAACCTGCTGCTGCTTTACGACGACGTTTACGACGACGAGAGCGAGGGTGGTATTTTTGCATCCCTTCAATTCTAAGCGTTTTCTGAGCATTGCGAGATTGGAGATTGGAACGAGTGAGGAAAGGGTTGCGATGGTTGTTGTAGTTACCAAATGAAATATTAATCTCGCTGTTGCTGCAGCGTTTTAAAATTGCATGCCATAGATGCCGTGGATACGATGGCGTTGCTACGGTTACCGTGAGGAGGAGGGTGATTTATTTGTTAATTTTTTGGGTAAATATTGTTGCCGTAGTGACGGGATGATAATTAGTTTGAGATTTTGTTTCCATGGAAATGTTTGTTTAAAGAGATGTGTGAAATTGAGGATAATGCGTATGGCCCGAGCCGTTGGGTTGGTCAATTTTCATATTGCATGGGAAATGTCTCAGGACAGACACACACTTCGTTACATAAGCCTCCTCCCCCAAAAATAAAAAAAACGAGTTGCCATGGAAACTAAAAATATATTTCTGTACAAACCGACTCCAACCTTACGTCGCCTGGGCACAAAGGAGGTCGGTTGTTGTAACCATGACAACCCATAAAATCCACACCTGCACGAAATCCACACACACACGTCTTAATAACAAGACGTTAATGAGCAGAGGTCAGTTTTGGTGTCACAGATTTTTTCATTTCCATGGCAACCAGAGAGAGATTCGTGTAAAATTCGAGATTGTAATTACATTCGAGTAAAATTAGTTTCCAAGGAGATTTTTTTATAAATATGAAAAGTAGGATTTAGTGTCAAGCTGGGGTTACACAGAGGTCAGAAAGAATATTTTTGTGTTACCATGGTTACCGAATTTCGTTGCCATGTAAAATTTCTAGTCGCCATGGAAACGAAAAAAATTTAAACCCCGCTTCCACCCAACAATACCACGATGATATTCAAAAACCACTTTAAAAACAAAGGTAACCATGGCAACCGAGTTCCAAATAAGGAAAAATTGTTAAAGTGTGAGAAACGGGAGTTGCAAAAAATTTTATATCTTCGTTGATTGTGTCATGTTCATAAATGGGCATCAATTCACCTGCTGCGTGTGAATAACCCGAGAATTATTATCGCCATGGAAACTGAAATTCTCTTACCGATTTTTCACGTTCCTATGGAAACCAATTCCGTAAAAAATCTATGAAAACGAAAAAATATTATTGAAACCATTTCACATAAAAATTCTCAGAGTTATAAAAATTTACTTTAAACAATTTCACAAAATTTCCATGACAACTTTAAAAAAAATCCCACGAAACAACGGCAACACGCATGTTTCGACTGGCAACTAAAAAAATCACACGTTCGCCATGACTACCAACGAAATATATTCAAATGGCAAATGTATGCGTAAAGTGTCGTAATTTACGCACTTTTTACTCTTCCACGTTAATTACAATCCGGTTTAAAAGCCGTTTAGAGAAGAAGCAGAGGAGTTTAGCAACCAATAATTATCAGTCGTCGCCATGGAAATTATTATAATTCTTGTTTACCCATCGAAACATTTACGCAAATTTTACGCACACCAAACAGACACGATTATTGTGATTTTATGACAGTGTCGTTAGTTATGAGGGTTGCCATGGTAACGCTATTTCACAATTTAAAATTCCCATGGAAACCTGGCCTAATTAACGAAACACGTCCCCAGTTACAAAAAAATGCATTAAAATTCCACTGTTTAATTCATTTAACGATTTTATTTTACGAGCAACACGATTGGTGAAAGGTGTCAAATTTTTTTCAAAGCTACGTTTCCATAGCGACACATCAAAAAACAGCAAAATTAATTAAACGCCGCTTAATAAATCAAACGTTCAACGCGAAGAACGCGTAATTTACGAGAGTGTCATTTATGACATTAATTTATGGATTTGTTTCCATGGAATTTAATTGAAATTTTTTTAATAAGAATTTTTTTGAGTAACCCGATTGTATTTTTATCCATGGAAACTATTTGCATCATCGCATTTTTTACCCTTCCACCCACGCACCACCATCGAAAATAAATCTCGATTCTAAATCTTTCGCAGCCTCAAAAATTCCACACGCACACTTTTTTTCTTCACTCTGAAAAGATCAGCACCTCCAAAAAAATCATGGATTAATCTTTAAACTCGACGACGTTTCCATGGATTTATTCGCTGTTTTCGTAATCTCGCAATAAATTTGTGGTTTAAAAAAGGTGACTCTGTCGGCATTAGCGAAAAGGGTTTAAAACAAAAAAAAACAGGGTGATGAATACCCCTTTTGTTTGCTTTGTTGGGTTGGGGATTGGATTTTACAGAGGTTGATTCGTATTTCCATGGCAACAATGAAATCATGGGTGGTAAATGTGTCATGTTGCCATGGAAACTGCTGTGCGTTTTTTTAAAAATGGCATTGAAATTTTATACAAAAAGCCGACTCTTTTGAGTTTATTTTGTTTTCCATGACGACAATTTTGTTAAGATTTTAACAATGTTTCCATGGCAACCAGTTCCTATGGGATTAAAATTATAATTTCAAAATCACCATGGAAACTTTCTTTTCGACATTGCAAATCTCCGGATGTGTAACCTTAATAAGTTACTAAATCAACGGGGGTCACGATTTACACTCCAAAAATGGTCGTCATGGTGATACAAATCTCAAATTATAATGACTAATTGTTCCAATAAATCTGATAAATGAGCGATCGAATCGCCCATCTAATTTGCATAGCCAATTTTTTTTTATTAGACGCAAGGGTTTCCATGGAAATTAATTTCACGCGTAGAACCTGCGTAAAGAAATTATTGTGTCCTCACTTTCACCTCTTTTCTGCGGTTTCGCGTCGTCGTCATAAAACAAATATTTGAATGAATGAAAACTGGATTTTTAATGTGATTTTGCTAGTTTTGGGGCAGTTTTTTGTGGTTCTCGTTTTTCTCTTAATAATCCACTGATCCCAATAATTCAATTTACTTTGTGGGGGCCGATAGTTTGGTTGCCATGGAAATTTTTGGTAATCTAATTTAATGGTGACAGGCCTAATCTGGAAAAAAACTTTCGTTTTTCATGCATAGTTTTTAAGTTGCCATGGAAATGATTTTAATAAATTTAGATTAGCTCCTTAAAAAGATTTTAAGTTTGCCATGGAAATTAACATCTCAAAAATTCCCTTCCTAAAAATCCCCATTTCCATGGCAACCAAAAAAATCTCGGCCAAAATCCTTTCTCTCTCACATCTCACTCAAAGCCAACAAATCAATCAATCACCATAACAACATAATAACATTTCCATAGCAACACTAAAACCTTACCGAAATCTCGGTCAAATAATAAATCTCTTCTTCTTATTTCCACTAAAAAATCCCATTTACGAATAAACCACAAAAACTAATCATGCGTTGTCATGGCAACAAATACGGTAATTTATCCACACAGAAAACAAGTTCCTAAATGCGCGCAATAATTTACAAAGGTACACAAAATGTGTGTTTGTGTTTCTATAGCAACACAATAAATCTAATGAGATGAGATTGATTGACAAGGAAAGACGGCATAGGTTTATGGCTCCGTTTAACGTTTCTTCTTTTGACTAATGGATCCTCGTTTCCTGGGTGATTTTCATATAGTCAATATTTACGTTTGGGCCATTTTGTTGTCATGGTGATTTTTTTTCTTAATGTTTAGAATTAACATAACTGTTTTGTTTCTGTCTCATTATGGAAATTTCGTAGTGTAATCTTTGTGATTATTTAGTTATCACAATTTTGACAATATTTTATAAAATTGTAACCATGGAAACGATACAAATTTCCATGGCAACCAGAGAGGTGAAAGTGATTTTGAAAAAACTAAAAGAGCAAAACGCGATATGACAATTAAAGCTCATTTTTCGCATAAAATCGTTAATTACTCGAGTTTATTTAGCGCGTGCGATGTGAAATCGATCCCTAATCGCGAGTCACCTATCACCCAGGAAGATCGTTATTTTACATTAAAATTAAATAGGAAGATGACCCTCGAGGCGAAATATTTATTTTTGAAAAAATTGGTTGCCATGGAAATTTTTATTTTTTTTAATTCCCACGCCCCCAATTTAACCCCCCTTCGTCATTACAAAGAATATTCTGCGCCTGCGCAACAAAACAAATTATCGCCATGACAATCCAAAAATTTTAAGGTTGGTCAATAAAAAAACTTTCCTTGTCACCACTCCCAGAATGACAACACAGAAAATTCTCTTCTCGTTACCACGGTGACGGAAATATGATAACAGTTTTATAATTACGCATTAGAAAAATATTTTCATAAAAGTTGCCAAGCAACTAAAAAAAATTATTAAAAACCGTTTCTTAAAAGTGCTCGAATGTGTAATTACATGTTTTGTTTGTTGCCATGGAATTATAAAATCTTGTGTCTTTGTCGTAAATTAAATTTTTATCACCACAGAATTATAAAAAAAACAGTTTTTAACAGACTAATGACATGGCAACGGAAAAATTCTTGTCATGGTTACGGATTTTCTATGACAACGATTTTTACACACATATTTTGTAATTATTAACACTCTGATTAATTTTTTAAAATAAAAAGAGTTGTCATGGAAAAAACACTCTCGCTCTGGGTGCGTGAGGTAATTATTCATCATTATGCAAATGAGCTTGGACTGGTCATAAATTAGGATCAAAAGTGGCGATTGCGATGGCTGCGAATTCAATTTGGATCTACATTTTTTTCTCCTTTCTTCATTGCCATGGAAACTTTTTTAAATAAGATTTCCATGGCAACAATAAATCCAATTTTCCACACAGTAACTAAAAATAGATCATCATCTCTATAGCAAAAAAAATAGATTGAGTTGTTTCCATTTTTTATAAAACCGAGACATTCACACATTACGTTATTTACCATGGCAACCCTAAAAAAACACCCAAACAAAATCCATGAATACCCCGAATACAACAGATCAGCGACCTTTTTCTTTTATAATATAATTTCCACA